ATCAGATATTTACATTATGATAGCAAAATTACAATTATGAAGTAGCAACAAATATAATTTTATGGTTGGGGGTCACAACATGAGGGACTGTATTAAGGGGTCGCAGCATTAGGAAGGTTGAGAAACACTGCTCTAAACTGTGCTCAATACTGTTGAAAATGGCTAGAGGCTTGACAGAAATTTGTCCTGACTGACTTCATTATTTACTCCTCCCAAAATTTTAATTAGAGGTTTTAGAATCAAAAGCCAACCAGAGATTATAGGCTGTCTGTCTCATAAGTCATGTTCTAGTTTTTTTCTCATTATTATTTTTGAAAAGGCCTCCCAAACCATGAAGTTATGTCAAGGCAACAGTTTTAGACGGCGGACACCAAGTCTGTAGCAGACATATCTGAGTGAAACCACACATGACTACCTAATTCACAGATGACAGAAAGCCATTGCAGACCCAAAGCTCTTGCAGTGCAATGACTCCCTAGTCCCTGTTGTACAGCTGGGCTTGAGATGCAAAGCATCTTCATCTGTGCAAAACAGCTTCCAGACAAAGCTAAAGCATTTAGAGACACAAATATTTGGCTAAATGGGAATGCCATCAACGCAGCCTTGGGAACAAATACCAAAAAGTAGGAAAAAAACCAAAGTGGGATAAAGGTAGCACTAACAGACATATGGGATGGACAGACAAACAAATTTGATAGCCGAAGTAGTACCAGATCATTGTCTCATATCTGTAGGACAAATCTCAAATATCCTCAGAATGAACTCTATTTTGCTAGCTGGACTGAGAGATCTGCCCAAAGAGCAAGGTACAAACTCTGGGTGCATTTATACTGTGTACAATTAATGCAGTTTGATGCCACTTTAACTGCCAAGGCTCAGTGTCACGGAATCCTGAGAGTTGTAATCTGGTGAGGTACCCACATTCTATGGCAAATAAACCTAAAGATGGTGTAAAACTACCATTTTCCATGATGCCATAGCACTGTGCCATGACAGTTAACATGCAAGTCAAACTGCATTAATTCCACAGACAAGTTGGCTGAAAAGGCCTAAAAGGGTTGGAGAAGGAAAGGAGGGAAGGGGGAAAGGATGAGGCCAAGCTATATCAGAGTCCAATGTCCTCAAGTTAAGGGACACAGCCATAACAGCAGAACAGAGTTAAGCCAGAGCAATGGTTGTCCCAAGAAAAAATTCAAAATCCCTTAGGTTGGAGGAGGGATCTGGAGTCAGCACAGCTCAAGTCAACCTAGTGCCCATGAACAGCAGAGAAGGAATTTCAGCCCAGTTTTTCATTTTGTGCTAAACATGTATTATTGGAGCCCTCAGTGGTGCAAAGGGTTAAACCCTTGTGCCAACAGGACTGCTGACCAACAGGTCAGCGGTTCAAATCTGGGGAGAGCAAGTTGAGCTCCCTCTGTCAGCTCCAGCTCCCCATGCGGGAACATGAGCAAAGCGTAGTAGCATGAGCAAAGTAGGCGTTGATGATTATGTGTATTGTTTGTGGATGTGCGTCTTATATATTGTTCACTGTTTATTTTTACTGTAAACCGCATTGAGTCGCCGTTCCAGGCTGATAAATGCGGTATACAAATAGAGCAAATAAATAAATAAATAAATAAATAAAGCCTATGGTGAAACATCAAAAACATCTGGGCATCCCCTGGGCAATGTCCTGGCAGCAGCCAGGCTCCTTACTGGAGCAAACTATAGGGAGCATACAACACCCCTATTAAAACAGCTTCATTGGCTGCCGATAAGTTGCTGAGCCAAATTCAAGGTGCAGGTCATAACCTATAAAGCCCTAAACGGTTCGGGCCCCGCCTATCTCCACGATCACATCTCCTTCTATGAACTGGCACGAGCTATAAGATCTTCCGGGGAGACCCTCCTCTTGGTCCCACTACCGTCTCAAGCGCGGTTGGTGGGGATGAGAGAGAGGGCCTTCTCAGTGGTGGCCCCCCGCCTCTGGAACGCCCTTCCAAGGGAAATAAGACAGGCCCCATCCCTGCCCTTCTTTTGTAAGAGCTTGAAGACCTGGTGGTTTCAACATGACCAGTTCTAACTCAGCCCTACACATTGTCAAATTATTCTTCCTACAAATTACCCAGATCACTTCCTCTACTCGGCCCCGGAATGAACAGCCACAGACTCGTACCTAATATTATTGTTGCCTGCCAGAGCATTGCACTTAATTTCCAGGCCTTCTAGAATTTTTGGGCTTGCACAAATCTTGGCCCGGCCTTTTAAATTATTAAATTGCCTTGAACAAGTAGGATTACTTTTAATATATGTGTGTTATGGCGACAATTTTCATGCTTATATTTTGTTTTGTTGATCTTATGGTTATGCTGTTTTTACTTTGTATGTTTTGTGATGTTACCTGGGAACCGCTCTGAGTCCCCTCGGGGAGATGGAGAGGTATATAAATAAAGTTTTTATTATTCTTATTGTTCTTATTCTTCTTCTTATTATTATTATTAATGTCCTTGCAAAGAGCCAATTCTCTCACACCAGAAATGACTTGCAGTTTCTCAAGTCACTCCTGACAAGGGAAAAAAATAGCTCAGAAAATATTAAGTAACACACACAATTATGTCAATTTTCACTTAGTTCTCCATCGCCAGTGAAAACTGGCCTTCAAAAACGACAAGCCTCAACCAGCATGTGCGAAACATCTGCAAGGCAAAAAAACTCCCAGGTTTGATTTGAAAAGAAAAAAAAATAACACAACAGAGCAATCAGAACAAGCCTGATCTGGCAAGCTTAGTGGTACCAACTGTGTCACAACTATTCCAAAAACACACACATGAAAATAAACCATCATCACAAACACATTTCAAAGCTATCAAACATACATTGGCTTATGTAAGCTCAGAGAAAGTAAGCGTTGAAAGGAACATTAACCAGACAATAAAGTAAGTAAGAGTTTCAGACATGCCTCTGAGCGATGCTGGCAAAGTGGCAGGGAAGATAGAAGTGGCAGGAGCAGGAATAATGCTGCTAAGACTTGTAACTCTTAAATGCTTCGAAAAAAGAAATGTTTCGTATTTCATATGGGTTTTGTAACTTGGACATACATATTCCCCTTCAGCCTTCTTAAAAGAAGAAGAAAAATTACTGTTGCTCTCCACTTTATTGATATAACTACAACTGAAGTTCTCCTTTTTGGTTTTGGCACAGAGAATGTGTGGTCCTCCTTATATTGTTTGTCAGTAGTTATCATCTTCTCTAGTCAGCACAGGAAAGGTAGTAAGAGCAGGTGGAGTTGCATTGCTCACAGCACAATGACCAGTGGTTAATTAAAAATTAACTCTATATGCAGATAAGAAGCATTAATGTACAAACATAAAGAAAAAATACTTTTTAGTAGTGCCCCGTTAGTGATTGAAAGCCAAAACCACATTTGATGCCGATTTGACCAATGGGAAATTCCCAGAAGGAAATACTCCAGATATGTCTGTGTCTCTTCTTCATAAAAAGAAAAGAAGTAAGGGATTATTTCAATTCCTCCACCTCAGAGAGATATTACATTGGCCAACACACTTTTTTGTGCCTGAAATGTTAGACCTGTTTCTGGGTATATTTGACCTGCTGGCTCCAAAAATGGCGCCCTATCAGCTCTAGTTTTTGAAATACAGAACATATGCCATGTACTACCACTTGTCCATTAAAAATCAGGTAGTATTTCAAGGTAGTGTTTAAATTAATATCTTCTAAGCATGAAGGAAACATAGTAAACACTAAAAGAAAAATGTACTACTTGATCCATACCAAAGTTTTGCATACCAGGAGCCCATGAGCCCAATTGAATTGTCTCAATCAGCGCCCCAAAGAACCCCACGAGCAGGCATAAAAACCAAGACACCAAGAAACATTTTTTGGTTGGGCTGTGCTATCTATTCATTCCCTCTCAGACACCTACATGTAATTTAATGTAATGATGTATTTTAATTATGTTGTGCCCCATCTTGAGATGTAAGGGGAAGAGAGACAGATAATAAAGAAACATTGTTATTGTTGTACATCTCAACAAACACATACACAAGCATGTCCTCTGTCCAGCACATTGTAAATACCTTCCTTTGATCTCTCCATTACTCAGCCACTAGTAGAGATACTTCTCTTGATCTCAATGACTGCAAGCACATGTGGGGCTTTGAAATGCCCCAGGAAGCATACTACCTATGAGGCACACTTCATACAATGCCTAACCACTACTACTGAACAACCATATACACCTCAAGATGACTTTGTCAGCAGAAGCTCATGGTTACAGTGTTAGAATGTTTAGCTGTTACTGTTTATTTGCCTTCAAGTAACCAGCCTCAGGTAGCTTTTCTTGCCGTTAAGCAACAGTTGACATTTAAGATGTATCTTGGATTACAGTCCAATGATGCCATCTTGTGGAAACAGTAGCACCTGGTCAGCTTTTTCTGTGTGTGTATGTGTGTGTGTGTCAGGAGTGACTTGAGAAACTGCAAGTCGCTTCTGGTTTGAGAGAATTGGCCGTCTGCAAGGACATTGCCTAAGGGACACCCAGATGTTTTTGATGTTTTACCATCCTTGTGGGAGGCTTCTCTCATGTCCCCGCATGGGGAGCTGGAGCTGATAGAAAGAGCTCATCCGCACTCTCCCTTGATTCAAACCTCCGACCTGTCGGTCTTCAGTCCTGCCGGCACAAGGGTTTAACCCATTGCACCACTGGGGGCTCCACCTGGTCAGTTGAAACTGGAAGAGGGAACAAGCTTGTAACAGAACTGTATGCAGGATTCTCTTTTCTGCACAGATTAGTTCTAAACAGAACAGAAAAGACATGGCTGTTTTTCTGGTCCTCTCTTGATGTCTGTGCTGATCAAAAGGTCAAAAGGCTGTGCGGTGGAGGAGTTCTGTGACTAATAAACTATCCAGAGCAGACTATGTACACTGCCTTGAGCTTCTTAGAGGGAAAATAGGTTTACGTAACAAGATAAAGCAAAAGGGCTCTTTTGCAGACCACTTACCATTCAACTCTGGAGGAAGGTAAAGGTGGTATGTGCTGTAGATGTCATTAGACATCTGGAGCTGGAGCTTGGTGTATTTCTTTAGAAGCTTAGTAATATTCTCCTCCTGGAAGGGAGTCTTTTCCAAAATGACTACAGCATCTTTCCCATTTCCAGAAGCACTTTTCACCTGCAGGAAAGAGAACAGTAAGAGAAGACCAAGTGGACATTCCCATAATAATAATAATAATAATAATAATAATAATAATAATAATAATAATACTTTATTTTACCCCGCTACCGCATTATCACAGGGTGTCTGCGCCCCACACCAATGGAGAAATTACACTGCTTAGCCGGTATTGCACCACCTGACATCTGCCGGGAAGTAGCAGCCAATAGTGAAAGGACCAAGGCAGAGACATCTCCAGCTCATCCCTTGTTTGGGTATCAGCCAGCATGTCAACGACTTAAATCAAGACATAGTTTTCTTAGATCTACAGAGACACTCGCTGGAACACCTCAGCAAGCGAGAGTCCAAAAGTGGCAGGCCCAAATCCAGCACCTCAATCCGTGGGTGATACCAGATGAGAGACTCCCCCCTGGGCACACAGAAGACTGGGCGACTTGGAAGGCGCTGAACAGACTGCACTCTGGCACCACTAGATGCAGAGCCAATCTTAAGAAACGGGGCTAAAGGTGGAATCCACGGCAGGCGAGTGCAGAGAAGAACAAACCACGGACCACCTGCTGCACTGCACCCTGAGCCTTGCCACATGCACAATGGAGGACCTCCTTACGGCAACACCAGAAGCACTCCAAGGGGCCAGATACTGGTCAAAGGACATTTAATCAACTACCAAGTTTGCAAAATCTGTTTTTTTTTTAAATCTGTTTGTTTGTTTTGTTCTGTTAGAAATGTAATACAATGGTATGGTTGCTGATGACACGATAAATAAATAAATACCCCGCTACCATCTCCCCAAGGGACTCGGTGCGGCTTACATGAGGCCAAGCCCACAATACATCAGCAAAAACAACAACAATAATACAAAACAATGAAATAAAACTCATATACAAAAATAGGCAGTAAACATCAACAATAACGCAATAACATTTAAAAATATGGCTGGGCCAAATGTAATGATTAAAATTTTAAAAATAATGCTGAGCAAGACCAGGTGAAATATAACTAGGATAGAATTTCGGAAAAGAATGGGGCAAACAGACATTCCTAGATCACTAGGTACTTAAGTACCTCATTTAAGGAGGAAGGTCACATAGAAACCCAATAAACACATATAAACATCTTATTTAGTTGGTGGAGATTCCTTAAGTTCCATGAGTGTGGTTAAATCTGGATCTAACCCAATAATACAGCATTTAAAAATGCATATACCACTCTTAGCTTTCCAAGTGCTCCAGGTTACTGCAATCTTTGTAAGATTTGCTAAGATGCTCTTTAATAGTCTCCTGTTCTAATTATTTTTACCCTTTGCGTTGTAATGTTATGTTTTAATGACTTTAATGCTATCATCACCATTATCATTCTGCTTTCCTTTCTTAAATGAGACTCAAAGTGACCCACAACATTAAAAGCAATCCAGTTTAAAACCTACAACATCTAAATATTAAAATGAAATTAACATATAGTTACATACAGGGTGCAGCAGCATAACTTCCTTTTTCTCAAAACTTAATAAAACCCATTGTATGAATCAGAAAAAAAAATTATAATGCAGGCACATACCTAAAGTTTTGTTTTACGTAGTTTTGAAAATCAAATTAGGTTGGTGACGTCCCCCATTTTCCATACACTGAACAAACTGATTTCTGGCATTGTCATGACTCTTGCCAGCATAGCAGGTGTTATGTTGGCAATTTCTTCCTGGATGTTGGTCTTCAAATCTTGTAGGGCCCTTGGACGGGATTAAAAAAAAAACCATACAAGATTTGAAGACCAACATCCAGGAAGAAATTGCCAACATAACTCCTGCTATGCTGGCAAGAGTCATGACAAACGCCAGAAATCGGTTTACTCAGTGTATGGAGAATAGGGGACGTCACCTACCTAATTTGATCTTCAAAACTACGTAAAACAAAACTTTAGGCATGCGCCTACATTATAAAAAAAATAAATTTCTGATTCATACAATGGGTTTTATTAAGTTTTAAAAAAGGAAGTTATGCTGCTGCACCCTGTACATCAGTGTTTCTCAACCTGGGGGTTGGGACCCCTGGGGGGGGGTCACAAGGGGGTGTCAGAGGGGTCGCCAAAGACCACCAGAAAACACAGTACTTTCTGTTGATTATGGGGGATCTGTGTGGGAAGTTTGGCCCAATTCTATTGTTGGTGGGGTTCAGAATATTCTTTGTAGGTGAACTATAAATCCCAGAAACTACAACTCCCAAATGTCAAGGTCTATTTTCCTCAAATTCCACCAGTGTTCATATTTGGGTATATTGAATACTCATGCCAAGTTTGGTTCAAATCCATCATTGTTTGAGTCCACAGTGCTCTCTGGATGTAGGTGAACTACAACTCCAAAATTCAAGGTCAATGCCCACCAAACCCTTCCAGTATTTTCTGTTGGTCATGGAAGTTCTGTGTGCTAAGTTTGGTTCAATGCCATTGCCGGTGGAGTTCAGAATGCTCTTTGATTGGAGGTGAACTATAAATCCCATCAACTGCAACTCCCAAATGAAAAAAAATCATAATTTTTTGAGTGATGGTCACTCCTTGTGTTGTGAGACGTTTTGTTGCCAAATTTCATGTGATTTCGTTCATTGGTTTTTTTGTTTTTAAGGTACTCATTATGCACAGAGCATTTTTATATAGATGTCCAGGGTGGGAGAAAGAACTCTTGTCTGCTTGAGGCAAGTGTGAATGTTGCAATTAGCTACCTTGATTAATAGCCTTTCATCTTCAAAGCCTGGCTGCTTGCTGCCTGGGGGATCCTTTGTTGGGAGGTGTTCACTAGCCCTGATTGATTCTTGTCTGGAATTTCCTTGTTTTTGGAGTGTTGCTCTTTATTTACTGTCCTGATTTTAGAGAGTTTTTTAAAATACTGGTATCCAGTTTTGGTTCACTTTCATGTTTTCCTCCTTTCTGCTGAAATTGTCCATAAGCTTGTGGATTTCAAGGGCTTTTCTGTGAAGTCTGACATGATGGTTGTCAGAGTGGTCCAGCATTTCTGTGTTTTCAAATAATATGCTGTGTCCAGGTTAGTTCATCAGGTGTTCTGATTGAAAGTCTTCTGTCTTTCTTGAGAGGGGGTTAACTATAGTTGGACAATGGATGTCATTGAGGTTAAGACTCCTTTTCTGTCCCTGAGAGAGATAAATCATAGTAGGGTGTGAGAACCCTTTGTTATAGGTCTCATTTTTATCTATTAAATCTGACCTTGACTATTCTGTTATGGGTGCCTTCCAAATCCATTTAATGTATCTTCCTCCCCTTTAATAGTCATCTTCCAAACACTCTGAATTTGACCTAGAGTCTTCCAAAAGCCATTTATCTAGGATTTACGTGCTACTTGGAAATTATAGAGATGCCTGGCAATTTCCTGGCACTTCATCAAGCGCCTCCATTATCTCAAAGACGGATTTACATAGGACAATAAAAGAACGTACCCAACCGTATCCCCCCTCACGCATCCCCCCCTAACCATGCCTGGGAGAACCTGCCTTCCTAACACCATACAGCTGTAAACAGCGAATTAAAAGATCACTTGCAAATTTCCCATTTTTATAGTCCCTGAGAGACAAGTCCATCCATCTTCTTTACAGCATTAGAGTTAACTGCTAGTTTGCAATTCGATTCCACTTTAAACATTAAACATGAAAAACTGATCTCCAGGCGAAAAGCAATAGATATGCTAATAAGAAAAATAATCTAAGCCTCAGGATGCATATCAAGCACTTTTGTTAGGGGGAATAATGGTAACCTGTGCCTTTCCTCTACACAATCCCTGTTAATTACTTCTGGCTGCTAAGGATTGGGGAAGTGGCTCCACTTTATCCAGGGCACTTCCACCTTCAAAAACTGCCATAGCCAAGTGAAACAGTTTTTAAAACCCACTTTATTTTTATTGAACATTTTGCTATCTTGAATGCAGGTGATAGTGTTACATTGGATGTTTAGAGAATTTATTATTATTACTAGCCGTCCCCTGCCATGCGTTGCTGTAGCCCAGTCTGGTGATCTGGAAAATAATGAGAAGGTGTACCTTGGGAAGTCGGATCTGGCCACGGTGGTCCACACTCTTGTTACATCCCTAATAGATTACTGCAACGCACTCTACGTGGAGTTGCCTTTGAAGACTGTTCGGAAACTTCAATTAGTTCAACGGGCGGCAGCTAGATTACTCACCAGAGCGTCATACAGGGAGCATACCACCCCACTGATATGTCAGCTCCACTGGCTGCCGATCCAGTTCCGAGCACAATTCAAAGTGCTGGTTTTGACCTACAAAACCCTTTACGGCTCCGGCCCAGCGTACCTGTCCGAACGTATCTCCTTTTACGTCCCACCTCAGAGTTTAAGATCTGCTGAGGGGGCCCTGCTCTCGGCCCCACCTTTATCACAAGCGAGACTGGTAGGGACGAGGGACAGGGCCTTCTCGATGGTGGCCCCTCGCCTGTGGAATGCACTCCCGGGGGAGATTAGGACATCAATATCCCTCCTCTCTTTCAGAAGGAAGCTAAAAACCTGGATGTGGGACCAGGCTTTCGGGTAAGCTGGCAGATGGACAAAGACAACCAATGACGACCAGAGTAGGAAAGGACAATGATGACGATGCGAGATGGTTTACGGATTTGAATTGGTGAACATTGACCACAGGATGATTTTATTGCTGCTAGTATACTGTTTGATTGTTTTAATTTGTTATAACTGTTGACATTATATGGTAAATTTGTGTATTGTATATTGTATTGTATTTTGTGAATTGTTAGGCATCGAATTGTGCCTTTTGTAAGCCGCCCTGAGTCCCCCCTAGGGGGTTGAGAAGGGCGGGGTAGAAGCACCCCAAATAAATAAATACATAAATGTTGATTTATGATATATGTAATGTCTTTATGCTTGTGGGTAAACACGGTAGTCCACGCTCTGGTTACATCCCGTACAGACTACTGCAACGCTCTCTATGTGGGGTTGCCTCTGAAGACTGCTCGGAAGCTTCAAATGGTCCAGCGTTCGGCAACCAGGTTGCTAACAGGAGCGGCACTCAGACAGCATACTACTCCTCTGTTGCGCCAGCTCCACTGGCTGCCAGTTTGCTACCGGGCACAATTCAAAGTGCTGGCGTTAGCCTATAAAGCCCTAAACAGTTCTGGCCCTACTTACCTCTCCGAACGCATCTCCTCCTATGAACCGACTAGGACACTAAGATCATCTGGGGAGGCCCTGCTCTCTGTCCCGCCTGCATCACAGGCACGCTTGGCGGGGACGAGAGACAGGGCCTTCTCAGTGGTGGCCCCTCGGCTATGGAATGCCCTGCCTGCAGATATCAGATCGGCCCCCTCCCTGCTGGCGTTTCGGAGGAAAATGAAGACCTGGTTGTTCAAACAAGCATTTGATTAAACAGTGTAATTGAACATAGGAATACGGAATAATGGATGATGAGACTGGATTCTGATTTTACTGTTGAGGCGCTAATGATTGTTATATGGATGTTTAATGATTTATGTTACAATTGTTTTTAATTGCCCTATACTTGTCTCGTGATGTGTTTGTATCGATGTTGTTCACCGCTTTGAGTCGCCTGAGGGCTGAGAAAAGCGGTATATAAAATAAATAAATAAATAAATATATAAACAGTATTTCTTGCTGTTTCTTTCTCTGTCTCTCTATGAGCTCTCCCTTACAAATAGTTCTGCCCCTTTTTTTCTCACCCTGAGTTTTTAAACCATTTTATGTACATGCGGCCCGCCAACTGTCATTATGTTCAGTTTTAATGTTTTGTGGATATTGTTTATATGCTTATAGGTTTTCTACTTTAATGTTATGTCATTTATTTTATTGCAATTTGTGTTGTACTGTAATTTGTTGTTTGGGCTTGGCCCATGTAAGCCGCTCTGAGTCCCCCTTGGGGAGATGGTGGCGGGGTATATATAAAGTTGTTTATTATTATTATTATTATTATTATTATTATTATTTGTCAGAATTGATGTGGAGATTGTCTGGTATGCCTACTCTGGAACATGCAACATATAATAATCCTGCTATTATAGTTTGCCCCAATTCTGTCGTTGATGGGGTTTAGAATGCTGTCTAATGAACTATAAATCCCAGCAACTACAACTCCCAAATGTCAAAGTCTATTTCCCCCCAAACTCCATCTATGATCATATTTGAACATATGGAATATTTGTGCCAAGTTTGGTCCAGATCCATCATTGTTTGAATCCACAGAGCTCTCTGGATGTAGGTGAACTACAACTCCCAAACTCAAGGTCAATGCCCACCAAACCCTTCTAGTGTTTTCTGTTGGGCATGGGAGTCCTGTGTGCCACATTTGGTTCAATTCCATCATTGGTGGAGTTCAGAATGCTCTTTGATTGTAGATGTACTTTAAATCCCAGCAACTACATCTCCCAAAGGGAGAAACCGTGGAGGCCGTGACAGACTTTGTATTTCTAGGTGCAAAGATTACTGCAGATGCAGACTGTAGCCAGGAAATCAGAAGACGCTTACTTCTTGGGAGGAAAGCAATGTCCAGTCTCGATAAAATAGTGAAGAGTAGAGACATCAGACTGGCAACAAAGATCCGCCTAGTCAAAGCCATGGTATTCCCTGTAGTCACCTACGGATGTGAGAGCTGGACCTTAGGGAAGGCTGAGCGAAGGAAGATCAATGCTTTTGAGCTGTGGTGTTGGAGGAAAGTGCTGAGAGTGCCTTGGACTGCGAGAAGATCCAACCAGTCCATCCTCCAGGAAATAAAGCCCGACTGCTCACTGGAGGGAAAGATACTAGAGACAAAGTTGAAGTCCTTTGGCCACATCATGAGGAGACAGGAAAGCCTAGAGAAGACAACTATGCTGGGGAAAGTGGAAGGCAAAAGGAAGAGGGGCCGACCAAGGGCAAGATGGATGGATGGCATCCTTGAAGTGACTGGACTGACCTTGAGGGAGCTGGGGGTGGTAACGGCCGACAGGGAGCTCTGGCGTAGGCTGGTCCATGAGGTCACGAAGAGTCGGAGACGACTGAACGAATGAACAACAACAACATCTCCCAAATGACAAAATCATTTTTTTAAATGATGGTCGCTCCTTGGGTGAGTAGGCGTCTTGTGGCCAAATTTGGCAGCAATTCGTCCAGTGGTTTTTGAATTATGTTAATCCAGAAATGAACATTGCATTTTTATTTATATATTATTATTATTATTATTATTTCTTACTCTGGCTTGAAGTGGGTTACAACCTAGCTAAAACACAAAATCATATGAAATATACATATTGAAACATATTTCTACAAAATACATATATCAAAATACACAGAACAAAAATGAAAAAAAAGTGAATTCAAAATTTGTGATTAAAACTGGCTGGGTTTTATGTAACTGACACAAAAAGTTCAACAAATTACAGGGGGGGGGGGCATTGACAAACAAAGGAACCTGAAAGACTGTGTTTCTGCAATGCAGAGGCTTGAGCTAGATCACTGTTTCTTAAACTTTGGGTCTGGACCTCAAATACAGGGCACAAAAAAATTGGCAACAGTAAAAGGTTTCTGAACACCACCTAGTGGCTGTTTTAGGCATTTACGCAAATCTATTAAAGATTATTATTGTTGTTGTTGTTGTTGTTGTTATTGTTGTTGGGCTTGGCCTCATGTAAGCCGTCCGGAGTCCCCACTGGGGAGATGGTGGCAAAGTATAAATAAAGATTATTATTATTATTATTATTATTATTATTATTATTATTATTATTATTATTGTGTTGTTGGCCTTGGTCTCATGTAAGCTGACCTGAGTCCCCATTGGGGAGATGGTGGCGAGGTATAAATAAAGATTATTATTGTTGTTGTTGTTATTATTATTATTATTATTATTATTATTATTATTATTATTATTGTGTTGTTGGGCTTGGTCTCATGTAAGCTGACCTGAGTCCCCATAGGGGAGATAGTGGTGGGGTATAAATAAAGTTTATTATTATTATTATTTCACAAAAATGAAATAAAAAAGAACTGCATATTGAAAACATTGCTCAAATTGTTAACATTTAAAACACAATTACGATCCCTTCTGCTTACGATCCCACCTGCGTCACAGGCACGTCTGGTGGGGACGAGGGACAGGGCCTTCTCTGTGGTTGCCCCCCGACTCTGGAACACCCTCCCCAAAGACATTAGACTAGCACCCACCTTGGCAGTCTTCAGGAAGAATCTGAAGACCTGGCTATTTCGATGTGCCTTTCCGGAATAGGATAATCTCCAGCACTACGTCCCAGAAGCACCTTATTAGAGTTTAAGACTCTCTGCACATTGCACTTGCCTGGAAATCCAAAATACCACCTGCCACACCCAGCACTTTTTAACCTGTACCCATCACTGGCCCGGCCCTGGTTTTTATTGCGTAATTGATGTACTGTTTTGTTATTGCTTATGTTTTAATTTGCTTTAAACTGTATGGTTATTATTTATTTATTTATTTACCTTACTTATATACCGCTGTTCTCAGCCCGAAAGCGACTCACAGCTGTTCACAACAAATACGAACAGCAAAAATTCAGTGCTACAGTATAGAAAGAGTTAACAACCTAACACATTACACAATTAATAAACAGTTACTACAATACCCATTCACTGTCGTCTCGTCATCAAAAACATGTTCCAGATTCGTCATCCATTGTTCCATTCCAGTGTTCATTAACCAATCATTGCACTAATTATTCGAATGCCTGCTCAAACAGCCAGGTCTTCACTTTTTTGCGGAATACCATTAGAGATGGTGCTAGTCTAATGTCCGTAGGAAGGGCGTTCCACAGCCGAGGAGCCACCACCGAGAAGGCCCTATCTCTCATCCCCGCCAGCCGAGCTTGAGAAGCAGGCGGGATCGAGAGCAGGATCTCCCCGGAAGATCTCAAAGTCCTGGTGGGCAGAGATGCGGTCGGATAGGTAACTTGGGCCGGAACCGTTTAGGGCTTTAAAGGCCAACGCCAGCACTTTGAATTCAGCCTGGTAGCAGATCGGTAGCCAGTGGAGTTGGCGCAACAGGGGGGTTGTATGCTCCCTGCGCTCCGCTCCTGTTAAATTCATGGCTGCCGAGCGTTGGACTAGTTGGAGCTTCTGAGCTGTCTTCAAAGACAACCCCACGTAGAGAGCGTTGCAGTTACTGTTTTGTGTTACTGTTTTGGTTACTGTTTTGCTGTTGTTGTGTTGAGGGCTTGGCCTTTGTAAGCCGCATCGAGTCCTGCGGGAGATGCTAGCGGGGTACAAATAAAGTTTAATAATAATAATAATTAGGTTCTGCTGAAAGAGAGTGATCTTTAATGCTCTTTCCAATGCTGACAGTCTGGGACCAAACAACAGAAAGGACACAAAAAGGACAAATTTACACTATTTCTCTTTAAAATTAGCATACTTTTTTTCTTCAGGTCAGAATGCTCATTCCTAAATTAGAGACAGATGAAATAGAGATACAGTTCTCTTCCTGCACTTCACAAAACAAGGCAATGAATGAATGAGGACCTTCGACCTCCCCCATAAGAAGAATGGTAAATTCCACAGGAGGATAAGTAGCTTATGCCGGCCCCGCCCCCTGATTCTGATTGGCCGACAAAGCACTGTCCTCTAGCTCCCCCTATAACAAGAATGGTATCTTCCACGGAGGAGGAAAAGATTCCGTTATCGCTGGCCCCGCCCCCTCATTCTGATTGGCTGCCGCGGTCCAAATCAATCAGAGTACCTTCCCGTGAAGGAAGATGGCCTTCTCCCGCGCAGAGTCTCTCAGCACTTTGCACACGGAAAGTTCCGCTAAAGAGAAGTCGCCAGCCACGGCTTCACTCCCTGGAGGAGCGGCGGCGTCCCCGTCGTTCTCCTCACGCTTTCTCTTCGCGACTGGGGACTCCGCCATGGCACTACCGGGCAGGGAGCTCACGCGCATGCGCACTCGCGGGCAAGCCTACATGAGGGACAGGGCAGGGATCTCACACGCATGCGCACTCGCGGTCAAACTTTCCTAAAGGCAGGAATGTGGGACTGTGCATGTACTCTGCGCATGCGCAAGAGGAGTCTCACGTTTTGAACATAGAAGTAGGAAGAAGTAGAGTGACAATGGAAACAGTGTGGCAAAAAAATATATAACTCCTTGTTACTTTTCAGCCTTCTATTTGAAAAACATTCTTTATTTAGTGCCTATTAGACAATCTGTGAGTGAATTAGAAAAGGAGTGGGCAAACTTGGGCCCTCCAGGTGTTTTGGACTTCAACTCCCACAATTCCTAACAGCCTACTGGCTGTTAGGAATTGTGGGAGTTGGAGTCTAAAACACCTGGAGGGCCCAAGTTTGCCCATGAATCTAGGCCTTGCACAGTAAGACCAATCAGTCCCATTGAAGGCTTCATCAGATACAAACTTCCTTCCATTCAGGCCCAAGTTAGTCTCTTCTGCTTGTATTTTGGTCGAGCTCCTGTAGATCTGAAAAGGATAAGAAAGAAAGAGGAGTGGGGTTAGGAGCCATAATCCAAATGATTCAGACCACTTTTTGGTTTTCAATAGTTTGGAATTTAGTACCTGGTGAATGACATCTAAAGCCTTTGACTGTGTGGATCATAATAAATTGTGGCAAAAATCACAACAGCAAAACAACAGAGGGGAAACAAACAGGCACATAAAATCACTCTCAACAAAAGATTCCCCCCAGGCGCTTCCAAGCCATTGAATGCAAATCAAGACCTCACTACCTCTGAGGATGCTTGCCATAGATGCAGGCGAAACGTCAGGAGAAAAATTGCCTCCAGAACATGGCCATATAGCCCGGAAAAACCAACAACAACCCAGTGATTCCGCCTTTGACTGTGTGGATCATAATAAATTGTGGCAAGTTCTTGGTGGTCTGGGCATACCAAGCCACCTTGTCTCTCTCCTGAGGAATCTGTACAAGGACCAAGTAGCAACAGTAAGAACTGACCATGGAACAACAGACTGGTTCAAGATTGGGAAAGGCGTACGGCAGGGTTGTATACTCTCACCCAACCTATTCAACTTGTATGCAGAACACATCATGCGATGTGCAGGACTTGATGAATGCAAAGCTGGCATAAAAATAGGAGGAAAAATCATTAGCAACCTTAGATATGCAGATGATACCATTTTAATGGCTGAAAGCGAGGAGGAGCTTCTAATCAAGGTGAAAGAAGAAAGCGCAAAAGCTGGGTTACAGTTAAACATCAAAAAAACCAAGATTGTGGCAACAATAATGATTGACAACTGGGAAATAGAGGGAGAAAACATGGAGGCAATGACAGACTTTGTATTTCTAGGTGCAAAGATTACTGCAGACGCAGACTGCAGCCAGGAAATCAGGAGACGCTTACTTCTTGGGAGAAGAGCAATGACCAATCTCGATCAAATAGTGAAGAGTAGAGACATCACACTGGCAACAAAGATCTGCATAATCAAAGCAATGGTATTCCCCATAGTCACCTATGGATGCGAGAGCTAGACCATAGGGAAGGCTGAGCGAAGGAAGATAGATGCTTTTGAACTGGTGTTGGAGGAAAGTACTGAGAGTGGCTTGGACCACCAGAAGATCCAACCAGTCCATACTTCAGGAGGGAAGGATAGTAGAGACAAAGTTGAAGTACTTTGGCCACATCATGAGAAGACAGGAAAGCTTAGAGAAGACAATTATGCTGGGGGAAATGGAAGGAAAAAGGAAGAGGGGCAGACCAAGGGCAAGATGGATGGATGGCATCCTTGAAGTGACTGGATTGGCCTTGAAGGAGCTGGGGGGTGGTGACGATCGACAGGGAGCTCTGGCGTGGGCTAGTCCATGAGGTCACGGAGAGTCGGAAATAACTGAACGAATGAACAACAACAACGAATGACATCTCTCTATCCTTTTAGGGCAAGTAATTGTCTATAATGTCTAAGCCTGTGGTTCTCAGCCTGTGGGTTCCCAGATGTTTTGGCCTTCAACTCCCAGAAATCCCAACAGTCGGTAAACTGGCTGGGATTTCTGGAAGTTGTAGGCCAACACACCTGGGGATCCACAGGTTGAGTATGACTGGTTTAAGCATTTCATTTTCTACAGAAATGCTCTTGAGGTTCCTTTGATGGCTACTCTTCCCATTACATTATTGCTCAGTGTTTTCCCATGTCTTGTATGGAATCCTGTTCCCATTTTCAAAAACTGAAAAGCCTTCTCCATCCCATCACACTCCTAATCAGATGGACTACAACTCCCACTATCCCCAAGGCAACATGTTGAGAGGAAGCTTTTAAACAGAGGCTGGATGGCCATCTGTTGGGAGTGCTTTGGTTGTTCTTTTCCCTGTATGGCAGAGGGCTGGACTAGATGGTCCATGTGGTCTTTTCCAACTCTGTGATTCTATATGATTTTGTCTGGATAATGCCAGAATAAAGTGTTAGTATGTGGAATGGAAATCCAGAACAGCTAGAAAATCAAAGTTAATGATCTTGCACTTTTACTAAATCAAGTTTAGTAAAGGCAGTTTCAAAATTACAAACAAGATAGGTTCTGTAAGTTGTTCTGAAGTTAAAATCGGAATAGGTACATTTTTAAGTGTAACTCCAGCCAAAAAATAGATAGATAAGCTCTGGATAGCATAGGGAAGGGTTAACACCCTATGGTGTTTGTTTTGCTGCCTGTGCCCCTGTTTAGACGATTTCACCTTACTTTCTCTGTGATAATTGGATTTTGAAAAAGTTGGCTTGTTGTGGAAACAAGGATTGGTGCTAAAGCTTCGGTGGAGCCACCTTTTCCCCATGATAATAACTCTTCCAGGAGTAGATTTCCCTTTCAAGGAGTAGATTTCTCTCACTTCCTTTTGTCAGATATTTGTAACTTAGGGACTGCCTGTAATCTTAGATCAAGTTGCCCCCCCCCAAAAAAACATTGAATCCGCCCATAGAAAGACCTCTGTGAGAAATGTGTGTGCCCTTTGACTTACAACGGATCAGCGTCTCTTTGATCTGCTTGAAGCTGGTCTCCCAGATGGCCACACTGATGTAGTAGATGCACCGGAGCTCTCTGGGGTAGTCCTTGCGGTTCAGGTCTTTCAGCACAGGGATGGTGCGCCCGTTTGCCATGGGGGCTTCGGTCAGGGCGTGGTGCATCTGGTAACGGCACCAGGGATCCGTGAGGAAGTGGGGGGTGATGAGCAGCACCCAGCAGTGGCTGTTCTGGACCGCGTCGCAGAGCTCTGTCACAACGGCGCCCCCCGGTACAGCGTCTCTTGGCTGAAGAAAGCAGCGGAAGCGTTCAGGCTGGCTCTCCAGATAGGAGACCAGCTGTTCCACAAAATCGAGGTCCCCTTCATTGTGGCAGATGCACACATCATAGGGTTTGCTCCAGCGGATGCTGTCAGCACTGTTTGTGCTTACCAAAAAGGCAGGGGAAGCTTGTTTGGGGCTGGGTATCAAGCCACTGGCCGAAGTGCAAGAGCTTCTTGCCGCAAGGGGTGAAGGGAAAGATGATGAAGATTCAGTAGCATTGTTTCCTGAAGGTTTTGGACCTTTCTTGGGTTTCTGCAGGAATGTTTTCAACCAGCCTGCAATGTGAACAATATAAAATCTGGTAAAGTTGCAAGTGGCAAGATAACATACTATAAAATGATTTTTCTTTCTTTCTCAAGACCCACCATTGATTATGTGCAGAAGTGGTCAGAAATACACTTTCAGTTTTGTTAAATATATTTTTTTAAACTTTGTGTGCCAAAACAATGGAGGCCCTGCATGACGTTTTAATGAAAAAATTCTATTCCTGAAGGCTTCTAGAAATGAGAATAACCTTTCTTAACTTTGGTCCAAAAGCAAGGTGCTGGCTGCTGGAGCTGATGAACAACTGCACTACATCCTGTCAGATCCCAAAAATCTGGAGGAAAGCAAGAGTCATAGCCATCTTGAAACCAGGCAAAGACCGTAATGATCCAAAAAGCTATAGATCAATCTCCCTGTTGTGCCACCTTTACAAAGTCCTGGAGAGAATTATTTTGCATAGAATTATGGGGGAAAAATAGACCCATGTCCGATTCCACAGCAAGCTGGCTTCAGGAAAGGCGAAAGTTGCACATCGCAAGTGCTGAACCTGTGTCTATGTGTCAAAGCACATAGATGGCTTTGAAAGGCAGCAGATCACAGGAGCTGTCTTCATAGACCTGTCAGCAGATTACGACACTGTAAACCATGGCCTCCTCCTGAGAAAAATGTATAATATCACAAAGGACTACCATCTCACCTGCCTCATAGGAAACCTGCTACAAAATAGGAACTTTTTGGTTGAGTTCCAGGGCCAGAGAAGCAGATGGCAGAAACAGAAGAACGGCCTGCCTCAGGGGAGCATGTTTGCTCCATCCATGTTCAACATCTACACAAATGACCAGCCACTGCCAGAAGGGACAGAGAGCTTCATCTATGCTGATGATCGTGCTATCACCGCTCAAGCAGGGAGCTTTGAGATGGTTGAACAGAAGCTCTCCAAAGCTCTAGGTGCTCTTACTGCCTACTACAGGGAAAACCAGCTGATCCCTAATCCATCTAAAACACAGACATGTGCTTTTCACCTTAAGAAAGGACAAGCATCCCGGGCTCTGAGGATTACCTGGGAAGGAATCCCACTGGAGCATTGCAGCACACCCAAATACCTGGGAGTCACTCTGGATCATGCTCTGACCTACAAGAAGCACCGCCTGAATATCAAGCAAAAAGTGGGTGCTAGAAACAATATCATATGAAAGCTGACTGGCACAACCTGGGGATCACAACCATACACAGTGAAGACATCTGCCCTTGCGCTATGCTACTCTGCTGCTGAGTATGCATGCCCAGTGTGGAACACATCTCACCACGCTAAAACAGTGGATGTGGCTCTTAATGAGACATGCCGCATTATCAAGGGGTGTTTGCGCCCTACACCACTGGAGAAATTACACTGTCTAGCCAGTATTGCACCACCTGACATCCACCGGGAAGTAGCAGCCAATAGTGAAAGGACCAAGGCAGTGACATCTCCAGCTCATCCCTTGTTTGGGTATCAACCAGGACGTCATTACTTAAATCAAGAAATAGTTTTCTAAGATCTACAGAGACCCTCGCTGGAACACCCCAGCAAGCGAGAGTCCAAAAGTGGCAGGCTCAAACCCAGAACCTCAATCCGTGGGTGATACCAGATGAGAGACTCCCCCCTGGGCACACAGAAGACTGGGCGACTTGGAAGGCGCTGAACAGACTTGCGCTCTGGCACCACGAGATGCAGAGCCAACCTTCAGAAATGGGGCTACAAAGTGGAATCCACAACATGCGGGTGTGGAGAAGAGCAAACTACTGACACCTGCTGCAATACAACCTGAGCCCTGCCACATGCACAATGGAGGACCTCCTTGCAGTAACACCAGAGGCACTCCAAGTGGCCAGATACTGGGCAGCGGACATTTAATCAACTACCAAGCTTGCAAACTTTGTGTTTTGTCTGTTTTGTTTGTTTGTTCTGTTAAAAATGTGATACAACTGTTCGGTTGCCTGACATGATAAATAAATAAAAAATAAATGGGAAAGTACTTGACAAGCAATCTTGGGTTTAATGTATTGTCGAAGGCTTTCATGGCTGGAATCACTAGGTTTCCTGTCGGTTTTTTCGGGCTATATGGCCATGTTCTAGAGGCATTTTTCCTGACGTTTCGCCTGCATCTAAGGCAAGCTTGCCATAGATGCAGGCGAAACGTCAGGAAAAATGCCTCTAGAACATGGCCATATAGCCCGAAAAAACCCACAAGAACCTAATCTTGGGTTTGCAAAAGTGGCTGTGAGGCCTCAGAGCATAATATTACATCTCCTGCACTTATATACACCTTCTTGCTAAACCTTCATCTCTATACCACCAGCACTCATTACACCAGTTTAGTATCCGATTTACAACACTAGTGCTATTGCAAAACACACATAAATAGTTACGTTGATGGCTTGCATGCTTGTTAGCTACTTAGTCTCCTTTCAGAATTAAGAACATAGTAATCTTTTCTGTACCATATCCTTAAACACAACCTTCTCAGAGAAAACAATCTGGGTTTCTGAACTAATCTTCAGGTTCTGCCCTCAATGAGATTTTTTGCAAAAAATAAATAAATAAGAGACTCAGATTATGAAACACTTCTAAATACTAATAGGAAAACTATAGCAACAAATTATTTATTTATTTATGTATTTATTTGCAGTATTTATATTCCGCCCTTCTCACCCCACAGGAGACACAGGGCGGATTACAATGTACACATATATGGCAAACATTCAATGCAAAAGACACACACCCGATATAGACAGTCAGAGGCCATTTAACTTTTCTGGCTGCCAGGGGAGCTGTTGCTTTCATCGTCTATCTGCGACACTAATGAAGTATTTTGTGCATTCCCTGGATGCTTTTTGCTGGAGTCTTTTTTATGGCCTCGTAAATTAGTTAAATTAGCCTCCTCACACATAGGTGGTACTTAATTTTCCGACTTGACAGATGCAACTGTCTTTCGGGTTGCAAAGGTCGACAACAAGCTACACAATTGGTTGGAAGCTCACTCCAACCCGGGCTGGCTTCGAACTCATGACCTTTTGGTCAGAAGTGATCTTAATGGAGCTGACACTCAGCCAGCAGCGCCACAGTCCAACAAATACATGTCCCCAGGTAGAGGTTCCTATACGAGAGTACAAGACCCTGCCTAATCCACAAATACATTAGACATATTGTTGACTCTGTCTGGACACCACTTTCCATAGTTGTCCCTAGATCTATCTGAAAATCCCCAGTGATCTCCCCTCCAAAGTATTAACCAGGCCTGACATTACTACGATTCTAAATTCAGGTGAACTGGGGTCCGTTCAAGGTGAGATGCTGGTCCAAACCCCCCTGGGGTGTGGTCCAAACAATGTCTCTCTGAGCACAGGCAAGCCAGGATCTGCTTACTCACTTGACATATCAGGAGCCAGTCTCAAATGAAAAGCATCCAGCATAGAAGCTATTCATCACGCTCTTCTGTTTGTCATGTACACAAGAAACCAACTCAGGGCAGCTCCTGAAATCTAAACAAGGAAAAAATAGCAAAATTAGTTTGCCACATTGACCAACTTTTGTAAGCCCAGAAATTAATTGATAAGTGAATACAAACACAAAGAAATGGAAACATTGTAAGACCCACAATACTGATTCACACTGACTCTGCACAGAGAAGAGTGAAATTCACTGGGTTGTTGTAGGTTTTTTTGGGCTGTATGGCCATGTTCTAGAGGCATCCTCTCCTGACGTTTCGCCTGCATCTATGGCAAGCATCCTCAGAAGTAGTGAGGTCTGTTGGAACTAGGAAAATGGGTTTAATATATCTGTGGAAAGAATGTTTCTTCTGACCACCTTGATTAGCATACAATGGGTTGACTGTGCCTGGAGCAAACTTTTGTTGAGAGGTAATTAGATGTCCCTGCCTGCTTCCCCTCTGTTTCACACCTAGCTCTCCAGCAGACAAGAGTCCTTTGTCTCACCCTGCCAAATAATCACCCTGGAACTAGGAAAATGGGAAAACTAGGAAAACTAGGAAAATTTTCCTAGTTACAACAGACCTCACTACCTCTGAGGATGCTTGCCATAGATGCAGGCGAAACGTCAGGAGAGAATGCCTCTAGAGTCTAGAACATGGCCATATAGCCCGAAAATCCTACAACAACCCGCCTTGACTTGGGTTATTTGCGGAAGGAAGCAAACAATGCGTTTGAGAAACCCTCCATTGGCAGCAAATAGGATTTAAAATAAACCTATATGTATAATCCGAGGGAAATGCATTCTGGAAGAAGAGAGTAGAAGCTAGTTTTGGAAAGTGAGAAGGGGCTCACCAATGGAGATCGACCCGACCTGTGGCAGCCTTCCGGGTTTTGGGAGGAGGAAGCAGCAATTGCAGACTGGGAGGAAGGAAGCTGCCACAGGGACGCTCCCTCCCCGGAAAGCTTTGCAAAGTAACCCACTCGTGTCCTTAACTGTCACAATGACCCTTTCTCCTGAAACTCAAAACACTCCAGAGTTGTCCAGAGCAGCCACGCTTTGTTTCAGGCACAACATTATTTTGCAAATGCTTATACAATGACCTAGTATATAGGCATAATAATGGGTTTAGGAACTGCATTTTGTGTTTAGGCATGAGGCTAGATCTACACTGCCATATAATCCGGATTATCAAAGCACATAATCCGCATTATCTGATTTGAATATAATCCAGTTCAAATCGGATAATGAGGAATGCTATAATAATCTGGGTTATATGAGTCTGCACTGCCATGTAATCAGGATTATCAAAGCGCATAATCCGCATTATCTGATTTGAATATAATCCAGTTCAAATCGGATAATGAGGAATATCTGCTATGATAATCTGGATTACATGAGTATGCACTGCTACATAATCCGGATTATCAAAGCACATAATCCGCATTATCTGATTTGAATATAATCCAGTTCAAATCGGATAATGAGGAATATCTGCTATGATAATCTGGATTATATGAGTCTGCAGTGCCGTATAATCCGCTTCCAAGCAGATAATCTGGATTTTACATGGCAGTGTAGAAGTTGCCATGGTCCCATCTCCCGAGGTATCTCGTGAAGTAGGTCCAAACATTCCAAAATCTGAAATCCTGGCCATTTCTGATCCCTTTTGGTAAAGGGACACTCATCTAGTAATAATAACTGGAAGCTGTCTTGAAGTCATGGTGACAAACCAAAAATTCAGAGCCACCAGCTATTCGCCCCAGTGAGGCTGACTTAGATGCATCTACACTGTGGAATAAATGCGCTGTAACACCCATGCCTACTTTGGTTCAAGTCCCACGGCCACGCCTCCTTCCCGTCTCGCCCAATCAAGGAGAGGCGAGAGAGCTAGGGAGTCCCGCTTCCGATTGGACGACCCCAAATCCCACTCCACCAATCAAGAGCAGCCGCTTATTTTTCTTTCAGCGCAAGTTAACGCCCGGTCGTCTTGTGGGCGTGGCTGCCGAGTTATCCACCTCTCCTTGATTGGGCGAGCCCAGAGGGGGCGTGTCCATGGGACTTGTGTAACTTGGGCAGGAGGAGGGTTGGGCATGTTACACAAGGAGGGAGAACTTGTTTTGGGTTCCTTGCAGCTGGGAGACTGTTTACAAGAGGATTCACTCGCAGGTAAGGGCTTTTAGGGGTTCATCCACACTGGAGATATAATAAACTTTGACACCACTTGAACTGTTGTGCTCACACTACCATGACTCAAATCTGTAGAACTGTGAGAGTTGTAGTTTTACAAAGTCCTTAGCCTTCTCTGCCTAATCTTAATCTTGTGCTATGCTAATAATATATTGTGTATACATATAACATTGATAATATTATAATGAAATACAATATAATACTAATAAGAATACAATATAATAATTGTATATTATAAATCACACTAGAGTAAGTCGCACCCAGCATTGGCTAATGATAGGGGATTGTGGGAGATGCAATCCAAAACATTTGGAGGACCATAAGGGCCCTATCCTTGTAGCAGATATTCTACTTAGCACTTGAAAGGAGAGGAAGATGAGTGTGTGTGAGAATTTAATATTAATAATAATGTATATTTCGCTGTATCTCCTTGACAGGACTCAGACGAATAACAGTACATATAATATAATATATTGTATATACAAGGGATATTTTTAAAGTAAGGTCTGTTTTGTTGTAGACACTAGTAGTTCATACGCATACCACAACAAGCTCGTGCGTCGTGTACCGGCATGCCTCGGGAACAACTGTGCTCAGTTTCCGCTCTGTAGCTAACCTGTACGGTTCTGTTCTGTGCTTTAAAAATGTTTAAGTCTATGAACTCACCCGCCGCATGTGAGGTTCGCTCAGTGATACGGTTTTTGTCAGCAAGGAACCTGCCTGCTGCAGAAATTCATCGACAGATTTGTGAAGTGTACGGTGATACTGTTATGAGTGAAAGCAAAGTGCGTAAGTGGGTATGACAATTCAAAGATGGCCGTGACAACGTCCATGATGAGGACCACTCCGATCGCCCTTCTTTGATTACGGACAATTTGGTGGCTTCAGTTGATGCCAGGATTTGTGAGAACAGGCGCTTCACAATAACATGTCTCTCAAACGAATTTCCTGACGTGTCGAGATCAGTGCTTTACAACATTGTTTCTGAACACCTAAAGTTTAGGAAACTGTGCTCCCGTTGGGTCCGAAAACTCCTAACAGAGGACCACAAAAACCAAAGATTTGAGTGAACTCTTGGTTATCGGAGCAGGCGGCAAGTTTTTATGAAGAGGGTATTTTAAAATTGGTTCAGAGGTATGATAAATGTTTGAACAAACTTGGTAACTATGTTGAAAAATAGAGTGAAGTATGTACTTTCTGAAAATAAATTTACTTTTTTGAAATAAACTTTCCAGCAAAGGAAAGGATCCAGCAAAGGATCTTCACCTTGTCGGGGCGCTGGAGCTTGAGCACCTCAATGATGTCATGAGCGAAACCGTGAAGGGCCACCCAAGACGGGACGGTTGTGGCAGAGAGGTCAGACCACGCGTGATCCCTGGGGAAGGCAATGGCAAACCACTCCAGTATCCTTGCCAAGAAAACTAAATGGACCAGTACAACCAGAGATATGTCGGTATGCCATTGGAAGATGGGACTCCCAGGTCGAAAGATGGCCAAAATGCTACTGGGGAGGAGCAGAGGATAAGTTCAACTAGCCCCAGATGTGATGACGCAGCTAGCTCAAAGCCGAAAGGAAGGCTAGCGGCCGACGGTACTGGAGGTGAACGACGAATCCGATGCTCTAAAGATCAACACACCATAGGAACCCTGGAATGTAAGATCTATGAGCCAGGGCAAATTGGATGTTGTTATTGGTGAGATGTCAAGACTAAAGATAGACATTCTGGGGGTCAGCGAACTGAAATGGACTGGAATGGGCCACTTCACATCAGATGGCCACCAGATCTACTACTGCGGACAAGAGGAACATCGAAGAAATGGAGTAGCCTTCATAATTAATAAGAAATTCGCTAAAGCGGTGCTTGGATACAACCCAAAAAATGACAGAATGATCTCAATTCGAGTGCAAGGCAAGCCTTTCAACATCACAGTGATCCAAATATACGCCCCAACCACAGCTGCTGAAGAAGCAGAAGTAGATCAGTTCTATGAGGATCTGCAGGACCTACTGGATAATACACCAAAAAGAGACATTATTTTCATTACAGGAGCCTGGAATGCCAAGGTGGGAAGTCAAATGACAACTGGGATCACAGGCAAGCATGGTCTGGGAGAACAAAATGAAGCGGGACGCAGGCTGATAGAATTTTGCCAGGAAAACTCGCTGTGTATAACGAATACTCTCTTCCAACAACCTAAAAGACGGCTTTATACATGGACCTCACCAGATGGTCAACACCGACATCAGATTGACTACATCCTTTGCAGCCAAAGGTGGCGGACATCCATCCAGTCGGTGAAAACAAGACCTGGGGCTGACTGTAGCTCAGATCACGAACTTCTTATTGCCAATTTAGAATAAAACTAAAGAATCAGGGAAAATACACAGACCAGTTAGATATGATCTCACTAACATTCCTAGCGAATATACAGTGGAAGTGAAGAACAGATTTGAAGGACTAGATTTAGTAAACAGAGTCCCAGAAGAACTATGGACAGAAGTCCAAGACATTGTTCAGGAGGCGGCAACAAAGTACGTCCCAAAGAAAAAGAAAACCAAGAAGGCAAAATGGTTGTCTGCTGAGACACTGGAAGTAGCCCAAGAAAGGAGGAAAGCAAAAGGAAACAGGATAAGGGGAGATATGCCCCGTTAAATGCGCAATTCCAGAGGTTAGGCAGAAGAGATAAGGAACTATTTTTAAACAAGCAATGCATGGAAGTGGAAGAAGACAACAGAATAGGAAGGACAAGAGACCTCTTCCAGAAAATTAGAAACATTGGAGGTAAATTTCAGGCAAAAATTGGTATGATAAGAAACAAGATGGCAGGGACCTAACAGAAGCTGAAGAGATCAAGAGAAGGTGGCGAGACTATACAGAAGATCTGTATAGGAAGGATAATAATATTGAGGATAGTTTTGACGGTGTGGTGAATGAATTAGAACCAGACATCCTGAGGAGTGAGGTTGAATGGGCCTTAAGAGCATTGCTAATAACAAGGCAGCAAGAGATGACGGGATCCCAGCTACACTGTTTAAAATCTTGAAAAATGATGCTGTCAAGCTGATACATGGTATAGGTCCAGCAAATATAGAAAACACAAGAATAGCCATCAGGTTGGAAAAAATCAACTTATCCCCCATACCAAAAAAATGAAATGGTAAAGAATGCTCAGACTTTTGTACAGTGGCGCTTATTTCACATGCCAGTAAGCTAATGCTAAAGGATCCTGCAAGGTAGACTCTAGTAATACATGGAGAGAGAGTTGCCAGATGTACAAGCTGGGTTCAGAAAAGACAAAGGAAAGAGAGACCAAATTGCCAATATCCGCTGGATAATGGAGAAAGGCAGGGAGTTTCAGAAAAAACATCTACTTCTGCTTCATTGACTATTCTAAAGCCTTTGACTGTGTGGATCATAATAAATTGTGGCAAGTTCTTGGTGGGATGGGCATCCCAAGCCACCTTGTCTCTCTCCTGAGGAATCTGTACAAGGACTAAGTAGCAACAGTCAGAACTGACCACGGAACAACAGACTGGTTCAAGATTGGGAAAGGCGTACGGCAAGGCTGCATCCTCTCACCCAACCTTTTTAACTTGTATACAGAACACATCATGCGATGTGCGGGGCTGGATGAATGCAAAGCTGGGGTGAAAATTGCTGGAAGAAACATTAACAACCTCAGATATGCAGATGACACCACTCTGATGGCCGAAAGCGAGGAGGAGCTGAGGAGCCTTCTAATCAAGGTGAAAGACGAAAGCGCAAAAGCCGGGTTGCAGCTAAACGTCAAAAAAACCAAGATTATGGCAACAAGAATGATTGACAACTGGAAAATAGAGGGAGAAACCGTGGAGGCCGTGACAGACTTTGTATTTCTAGGTGCAAAGATTACTGCAGATGCAGACTGTAGCCAGGAAATCAGAAGACGCTTACTTCTTGGGAGGAGGGCAATGTCCAATCTCGATAAAATAGTAAAGAGTAGAGACATCACACTGGCAACAAAGATCCGCATAGTCAAAGCCATGGTATTCCCTGTAGTAACCTACAGATGTGAGAGCTGGACCTTAGGGAAGGCTGAGCGAAGGAAGATCGATGCTTTTGAGCTGTGGTGTTGGAGGAAAGTTCTGAGAGTGCCTTGGACTGCGAGAAGATCCAACCAGTCCATCCTCCAGGAAATAAAGCCCGACTGCTCACTGGAGGGAAAGATACTAGAGACAAAGTTGAAGTACTTTGGCCACATCATGAGGAGACAGGAAAGCCTATAGAAGACAATTATGCTGGGGAAAGTGGAAGGCAAAAGGAAGAGGGGCCGACCAAGGGCAAGATGGATGGATGGCATCCTTGAAGTGACTGGACTGACCTTGAGGGAGCTGGGGGTGGTAACGGCCGACAGGGAGCTCTGGCGTGGGCTGGTCCATGAGGTCACGAAGAGTCGGAGACGACTGAACGAATGAACAACAACTGTCCCCTGCCACATGTTGCTGTGGCCCAGTCTGTGTATATATGTGTGTGTGTGTGTGTGTGTATATATATATATGTATATATATATGTGTGTGTGTTTTCATATATATGTGTGTGGTTTTGCGTATGCATTTTTTTTTGGCTTTTAAAGTCTCTTCCACTGTGTTTTCCAGTGTTTTTGTGAGTGATGGTCACTCATTGGCCTAATATGTGCAACGTGTCCAAATTTGGTGTCAATTCGTCTAGTCCCACAAATGAACATTTTTATTTATATAGATGTAATGTAATATTACTAATACTATAGTAGTATAGTGGTATAGTATTATTGCTATGCTAATAATCTATTATATATACATATAACTTGTAAGCTGCTAAGTTCTCTTCAGGGTGAGAAGGGTGGGATATAAATGTCATAATAAATAATAATCCTGCTAGTGCCAAACAATAATTCCCAGGATACCATAGCATTTTCTGTATGATAAAAACAGTTTGATGACTGCAGTGATGCAATAACGTATTATCTTTGGCTTTTTTACAGGTTTCTGGATGGTTCTTGTTTGAATTCTGTTTATCTAAGAGCGTATAGTACATATAATGTTCCCTCTTTTTCTGGACAGATCTTCGATTACAAAGGGGAAGTTAAGTCAGTCTTAGGATGGCACATGTTTCAATCCACTGGTTCCGCAAAGGACTTCGCCTCCATGATAACCCCGCCTTGCTAGCGGCAATGAAGAACTGTGCTGAGATCTACCCCATCTTCATCCTCGATCCGTGGTTCCCCAAGAATATGAAAGTCAGCATCAATCGCTGGAGGTTTTTGATTGAATCATTGAGGGATTTGGATGAAAGCCTCAAGAAACTGAATTCAAGGCAAGTGTCATGGGCTCAGCAGCCCTGTATTTATTTATTTATTATTTATTTTATTTACAGTTCTTATATTCCGCCCTTCTCACCCCGCAGGGGACTCAGGGCGGATTACAGTCAACACATATATGACAAACATTCAATGCCAGTTTGACAAACAACGTTTAACACACAAATACACCGAGGCTATTTTAACTTTTTTCTGGCCGCCAGGGGAGCTGCTGCTTTTCATTGTCCATCAGCGACACCGATGAAGTTCTTCCACATTCCACATTCCCCGGAGTCTTTTTTCTTTATGGCCTCATAAATTAGTTAAATTTAGCCTCCCACACAAGGTGGTACCTTATTTTCCTACTTGACAGATGCAACTGTCTTTCAGGTTGCAAAGGTCGACAATGGGCTACACAAATGGCTGGACGCCCACTCCAGCCCGGGCTGGCTTCGAACTCATGACCTTTTGGTCAGAGTGATCTTAATGCAGCTGACACTCAGCCAGCTGCGCCACAATCCCGGTGACCATAAAGGGCCAAGTGACCTTTCCCTTTCACCCAAATGCAATATTATGTAAGCAATAACATCACATCAATAATGAAAAGTTGTATTGTTGGAGGCTTTCATGGCCAGAATCACTGGATTGTTGTGAGTTTTCTGGGCTATATGGCCATGTTCCAGAAGCATTCTCTCCTGACAGTTTGCCTGCATCTGTGGCAGGCATCCCCAGAGTTTGTGAGGTCTGTTGGAAACTAGGAAAATGGGGTTTATATATCTGTAGAATGTCCGGGGTGGGAGAAAGAACTCTTGTCTGTTTGAGGTAGTTGTGAATGTTGTGAATGACCTCACAACCTCTGAGGATGTCTGCCATAGATGTATCTATGGCAGGCATCCTCAGAGGTTGCGAGTTCTATTGGAAACTAGACAAGTGAGGTTTATGTGTGGAATGTCCAGAGTGGGAGAAAGAACTCTTGTATATAACTCTTGCCTAGTTTCCAACAGACCTCACAACCGCTAAAGATGCCTGCCATAGATGTAGGTGAAACTTCAGGAGAGAATGCTTCTGGAACATGGCCATACAGCCCGGAAAACTCACAACAACCCAGTGATTCCGACCATGAAAGCCTTCAATACGTTTTCAGTGTTGTTTGGCCTGAGAGTCTGATACAGTCTTTGATGTTTTCTCATTCTTCTGATGTGTATCTTGATATTAACATGTGGCCATGTCTCCTCAGGCTGTTTGTCGTCCGTGGTCGCCCTGCAGAGGTGTTCCCGGAACTCTTTATGAAATGGAAGGTGACCCGGCTTGCGTTTGAAGTCGACACAGAACCCTATGCAAAACAACGGGATGCAGAGATTGTGAGACTGGCAGCTGAACATGGGGTCCAGGTCATCCAGAAAGTATCCCATACTTTGTATGACACTGAAAGGTGAGTGACGGTGAGCATGGAGCCTTAGAGGCACCGGGATTGTGGCACAGCTGGCTGAGTGTCAGCTGCATTAAGATCACTCTGACCAAAAGGTCATGTGTTCGAAGCCAGCCCGGGTTGGAGTGGGCTTCCAACAAATTGTGTAGCCTGTTGTCGACCTTTGCAACCCGAAAGACAGTTGCATCTGTCAAGTAGGAAAATTAGGTACCACCTTAAAGTGTGGGGAGGCTAAATTAACTAATTTATGAGGCCATAAAAAAGACTCCAGCAAAGCTTGCGGGGAATGCGGAAGTATTTCATCAGTGTCACAGATGGACGATGAAAGCGACAGCTCCCCTGGCGGCCAGAAAAAGTTAAATAGCTTCTGTGTATGTCTGTATACGTTGTATGTCAAATTGGCATTGAATGTTTGCCATATATGTGTGCACTGTAATCCGCCCTGAGTCCCCTGCGGGGTGAGAAGGGTGGAATATAAATACTGTAAATAAATAAATAATAATAAATGTCATATAATAGGCTTCCACTGTAGGACACTACTGGACATATTGTCTTTATCTTCTGCAGAATTATTGTTGAAAACAACGGTAAAGCGCCTCTGACATACACACGGCTACAGACACTCGTGGCTTCGCTCGGTCCCCCAAAACAACCAGTTCCAGCTCCCAATCTGGAAGATATGAAGGGTAAGTGTGGGAATGTCCAAACTGCAAAATCAAGATTTGCTTCTGGGAGTTTTGCTTCCAGATATTTTTGAGCCACGGCTTGTTGAATCCATGAATGCAGAACCTATGGATATGGACGGCTGCTTATACTTATTATCATTCTCTCTTTTAACCGTCTTAGACGTTAAATACATAGTTAACTTTTTTGTTCAATCTCCTTCTTTAGGCATTTTTTTGTATGTACCAGCCTTATTTTATCATTGTATCACTATTCCTCTTCTAGATGATTGCGAATAATTTGAAAAACGGGAATCTTTCTTGGGTGTACAAATTGAATAATCTTATTGACTATTTTTTGGCAAAGCAACCAGCTCCTCCTCATTTGAAGGATTCTTAGTATCATAGGAATGTAAACATATGGATATAATTCTTAGCATAGTTCGTATCTAAAAGAAAAATGTGAGCTGGGCTGGTCGGGCGCTCACCCTGACCTGGGCTTCAAACTGCCAACCTTTCAATTGGTAAGATATATTGCAGCTGGTGATTAACCAGCTGTGCTAAAGCCCAGCCCTATATAGCCAGTCAGATTGACTCTGGTGAAGACATCTGAAAACCAGTATCAATTATTATTTACAGGGAAATAGTTTTGTTAAAGTTTTTTTATATTGAGCCATCATGAACTGGGGAGGCTTACTTAGCTAAGGGGAACCCAAACCAGTAAAGAGACAAATGTAGATTTTCAAGCTGATACAGCCAGTTTCTGTCTAGATTGCTGTACACCTGTTAAAGAGGATCATGATCAGGAATATGGCATCCCTTCTTATGAGGAACTTGGGCAAGACCCCAAAACGGCTGGCCCTCACCTTTATCCAGGAGGAGAAACAGAGGCACTTGCCCGCCTTGACTTACATATGAAGAGAACGGTACGATTGATGGAAACATCTACTGTGTTTCATCAGTCAAACTTTTATTTATTTGGTGATGCAAAGTTTCCAGAAAGTGGGAAACTGGGGGTGGGGGAGGAGGCAGCTTTTCTTTAGGGTTTTGTTTTGGAAGGGGGAATGAGCATTTTGGTAAATACGCTATTGAAATATTTGCTTTAATTTTTACATCATCACTACTTTCTTAATCTATGTATATAAAAATGCTCTGTGCGTAATGAGTACCTTAAAAACAAAAGAACCATTGAACGAAATCACACCAAATTTGGCAACAAAATGTCTCACAACACAAGGAGTGACCATGACTCAAAAATTATGATTTTCTCATTTGGGAGTTGTAGTTGCTGGGATTTATAGTTCACCTACAATTAAAGAGCATTCTGAACTCCACCAAAGATGGAATTGAACCAAACTTGGCACACAGGACTCCCCTGACTAACAGAAAACACTAGAAGGGTTTGGTGGGTACTGACCTTGACTTTGGGAGTTGTAGTTCACCTACATCTAGAGACCACTGTGGACTCAAACAATAATGGATCTGGACCAAACTTGGCATGAATACTAAATATGCCCAAATGTGAACACGGAGTTTGGGGAAAAAAGACCTTGACATTTGGGAGTTGTAGTTACTGGGATTTATAGTTCACCTACAATCAAGGAGCATTCTGAACCTCACCAACGACAGAATTGGGGCAAACTTCCCACACAGAACTCTCATAACCAAGAGAAAATACTGTGTTTTCTGGTGTCTTTGGTGACCCTTCTGACATCACCCTGGTGACCTCCCCCCGGGGTCCTGACTTCCCAGGTTGAGAAATGCTGCCAGTCCAACTCCCTTCACCAGGGCAAGAAAACATAATCAAAGCCCTCCTGACAAAGGGCTATCCAGCCATTCACACACACACATATATGTATATGACAGATGCAGTATCAAAGATTTGAAAGGGACCCTTAAAGAAGGACAATGATATGTTGCATATTCCAGAGGAGGCAAACCAGACAATCTCCACATCATCACTGACAAAGAGATAGCAAGAAAGACTGTTTACTCACAAGCATAAAGACATTACATATATTAGAAACCAACACTTTCTCATTACGGTACTTTATTTTCCAGATCAACAGACTAGGCCACAGCAACGCCTGGCAGGGGACTGCTAATATAGCATATACAGCTAAACTATTTTGTATATTTGGATTAGGTTCTGTCACATGAGGAGTAGGAAAAAATGAATCTAGAGATTCTGTTTAGAAATAGATTCTTGCATTTACAGACTTAAAGGCAAGGTGGGCAGAATATGTTAAACTCAACACCGAAAATACTGAATCCCCCTTCAATGCTACATTACCATCACAAGCAGTAAAGGGGGATGGCAGAGGATGGCAGCACTCAGTAGATGCAGCAATGCCTCCTGGATTTGTGTGCTGTGTACATCTTGTGAATTGATCTCTAATTCCGTTGCCTTTTATTCCACAAAATTCAAAGTATTTTGAGTGAACAAAAACTGATTTTACTCTTGTCTTCTACACAAGAGTAAAATCTTCTTGTCTAGATTTCCTGTTAAGAAAATCTTACCTGTTAAGAACGTAGCAGAATTCCTCAGGTTGGGCAATTTTTAAAATTGTTTATGTCACTATTATTTTTTGTTATGTGATTTATATGATTTGTATTTTATTGTTTATTGATGTTTTGTTTGATGTATTGTGGATTTGGCCTCATGTAAGCTGCACCGAGTCCCTTGGGGAGATGGTAGCGGGGTACAAATAAAGATTATTATTATTATTATTGAGAAGAAGTTGGATTGTAAATGTCACACTCCTTTCTCTTTTTAAAAAATCTGCAGTCATGGGTATGTAACTTTAAGAAGCCTGAAACACACCCCAATTCCTTGACTCCCAGCACCACAGTGCTCAGCCCCTACGTCAAATTTGGGTGCCTCTCTGTGCGGATGTTCTGGTGGAAACTGACCGAAGTCTACCAGGGGGTAAGAAGTTAAGATTTTCAATTCTACAGTTTGCGACATTAAATGTGGAATGTTGCCAGCAAAGGGTTATTATAGAAACTTTTAAACTGCAGACAACTCATTTCTGATATTGCATGCTGCTCTGGCCAGAGCGAAGACAGAGGGGAGCAGAAGACATTTCCATCTTGTCTTTACTAATATAATATAGTATATTGTATATACATATAATATTTATAAGATTATAATGTAATACAATATAATACTAGTAATAACAATACAATATTATAATTATATATTTACATTACATGTAATATTACTAATAATATTACAATATAATGGTATAGTGCAATATAGTAATACTGATACTGTATTATGCTAATAATATAATATATTGTATGAAAATATATATTGTAAGCCTCTCTGAGTCCCCTTCGGGGTGAGAAGGAAGGCATATAAATGTCGTAAATAAATAAAATAAATAAATAAGGTATCCAGTAAAGCCAGAGGCATGAACAGATTAAAACCTTGGAACTGTATTTAATTTTAAAAATACAAATTGACAACTGTGTTACCTGGCCAGCACAATTGTATTGTCTTCCTTCGTATTACTTTAAATGCTGTATGTTATTATTGTTATTGTTTATTGCTTATTGTGTATTTTTTGTTTTTGAGTTTTATTTATTTTATTTTATTGATTGTTTATTGATGTTTTGTTTGATGTACTTTGGGCTTGGCCTCATGTAAGCCGTACCGAGTCCCTTGGGGAGATGGTAGCGGGGTACAAATAAAGTTTTGTTATTATTATTATTATTATTATTATTATTATTATTATTATTATTAAAGCTTAAGTATACTGTGCAATTGTGCTTTTTCCTTAAGGTAAAGCTTTCCCCTGACATTAAGTCCAGTCATGTCTGATTCGGGGGGGGGGGGGGGGGGTGCTCATCTTTAGCCGGCATTCTCCATAGACAGCTCTAAGGTCATGTGGCCAGCATGACTGCATGGAGCGCCGTTATCCTCCCGCAGAAGCGGTACCGATTGATTTACTCACATGTGCATGTTTTCAAACTGCTAGGTTGGCAGAAGCTGGGGCTAACAGCAGGAGCTCACCTCACTCCCCAGATTCAAACAACTAACCTTTTGGTCAGCAAATTCAGCAGCTCAGCGGTTTAACCTGCTGCGCCTCCTAGGGGGGCCCAAGTTTTTTTCTTTAGATTTCTGAAATAACAGAAGCAAGAATAACCAGTCTTTCTGTGCTACACTTCTCTAGAGGAAACACTCGGACCCTCCAGTCTCTTTACATGGGCAGCTTCTGTGGCGAGAGTTTTTCTACACAGCAGGAGCGGGGATCCCGAACTTTGACCGAATGGAGAATAATCCAGTTTGTGTGCAAGTGGATTGGGACAATAACCAGGAGTACCTGAGAGCATGGCGTGAGGTTTGTTATGCTTAGCAACATGGGTGAAACAGAAAATATCCATAAACATGTGTGGAGTGGCTGATTCCCTTCTTTTCCAGTAGTCTGAATACATTATTCCTTACTATGCAGTAAATGCTAGATGTTGCTTAAAGAACTGGACAGTGTAACCTAAAACCACTACTCACACCCCTGAGCATTAACTCCTTTCTTGCTGGCAGGGTCGGACTGGCTACCCTTTTATAGATGCCATCATGACGCAGCTGCGCACAGAAGGTTGGATCCACCATTTAGCACGGCACGCTGTGGCTTGTTTCCTGACACGGGGAGACCTCTGGATATCATGGGAGGAAGGGCAAAAGGTAAAAGCAAGCTGGACGCCATCATGTGAGCTCTAGAGCTCTGAATCCCATCTGTGACCATGGGAAAGCTGCTTTAATTGATATATCAATGGGAGGTCGTGCATCAAAGAGCTTTGAAATTTATTTATTTTTAAGTAGGGGAAGTGGTTCAGTGGTGGGAAAACTGATGCTCCATTAACCCTTATACAACCCTACTCATCCCCAGAGATATTAAGTTTTCCAAACTGCCCTATTTTAGGTCTTTGAAGAACTGTTGCTGGATGCGGATTGGTCCTTGAATGCTGCAAATTGGCAGTGGCTTTCGGCAAGTGCCTTTTTCCACCAGTTCTTCCGGGTCTACTCACCAGTCGCCTTTGGCAAAAAGACTGACAAAAACGGAGAGTATATAAAGTAAGTATACTTTGAACAGATGTCAGGATTAATCCTGACAAGACAGAGGTCCTCCTGGTCGATCATAAGCCGGATCGGGGTATAGGGTGGCAACCTGTGCTGGATAGGGTTGCACTCCCCCTGAAGTCTCAGGTCCACAGCCTGGGTGTCCTCCTGGATTCATCATTTACGCTTAAAGCTCAGGCGTCGGTGGTGGCCGGGAGGGCTTTCGCACAATTAAGACTCGTGTGCCAGCTGCGACCGTACCTCGTGAAGTCGGATCTGGCCAGGGTGGTCCATGCCTTAGTCACCTCCAGATTGGATTACTGTAATGCACTCTATGTGGGGCTGCCCTTGAAGACGGCCCGGAAATTCCAATTGGTCCAACGGGCGGCAGTCAGGTTACTAACTGGTGTGACTTACAGGGAGCGGTCAACCCCCCTGTTTAAGGAGCTACACTGGCTGGCATTCATTTTCCGGTCCCAATTCAAGGTGCAGGTTCTTACCTACAAAGCCCTGAACGGTTTGGGACCCGTCTACCTGTGTGACTGCATTTCCTTGTACAAACCCACACGATCTCTTCGTTCATCTGGAGAGGTCCTGCTCTCGCTCCCGCCTCTCGCAGGCACGATTGGTGGGAACGAGTGATTCTTTAAAACCCTCCTATTAGATATATCCTACCTTGTTCATGCCCAGCGTTTATTTTTTAATTTTTAACTATTAATCTGGCCCAGCCATAGGTTTTTAAAATCCTTGCATGTTAATGTTTATATGTGATTTATTTAACTGTATTGTTATTTTTTGTTATTGCTTTCTTGTTTTGATGTGTTGTTGGCTTGGCCTCGTGTAAGCCGCTCCGAGTCCCTTGGGGAGATGGAGGTGGGGTATAAATAAAGTATTATTATTATTATTATTATTATTATTATTATGTTAAAATGCATCCGTAGCTTGGGGGGCCAAGCATATATACCTTTTTATCTGTCTTGAGGGGCATATGAGCAGAACCAAATTAGATGTACTGGGAAATAACTAAAAACTGTTTTAATTAGAATATTCTTATCCTGCTGTACATCAGAAATCCCTGTGTTGGTTTCAGAGAAGGTATTATCATATCTTGTGGAATTTTAGACTCCGTCCTTGGGGCTCAGACATTGCATGCTCTCAAAATTGCCAACTATTATTTACTATAACAAGGGGGATATTCAGCTAGGTCTGTGCAAATCAATCTTTAGTCACAAGCTCTTTCCTCTGATTTCCCCCCTTGCACAGGAAGTACCTCCCCTTCTTGCGGAAGTTCCCCAGTGATTATATATATGAGCCGTGGAAAGCACCACGGAGCCTGCAGGAACGTGCTGGCTGCATCATCGGCCAAGACTACCCCAAACCCATTGTTGAGCATGAAAAAGTCTACAAGAGGAATCTGGAACGGATGAAAGCAGCATATGCACGACGGTCACCAAATCTGGCTGTCCAAGCGAAGGATGAAGTCCGCCAGAAGAAAGGTTAAGAGGCAGCTTTCAGACTACAGTGCCTTTATGACTCTCATGTCCAGAATGAAAGTCAGGGCCAGCACTGGCCATGTAGAATAGATTGGCTTTGCTGTTCAGCTTTGTCAACATTTGTCTGATAAAAGACAAAACACAGATGATTCAGGTTGAGAAGAATCATACTTTTTCACCTCTTGTTTTAAAATCAGCTGGAGGTATATTTTTATATACGACTAGCTGTACCCTGCCACGCATTGCTGTGGCCCATTGTGGAGAAATGGGAAAGAAATAAAAGAGGAAGAGCTGGTTTCTAAGCTATCAATACACAATGGAAGTGGCAAAGTGTCAACCTAATACAGGCCCATTTCAGTCTACTCGAGGTCAAAGGGTTCTATGGATGTGTAGAAGGGTTACCTGAGTCCACACTGCCATATAACCCAGTTCCAAGTTATTATATAGGTATTTTTGTCATTATAGACATATAGATATTATTATAGGCATTTAGATATTATTATTATAGATACAAATATTATTATTAAAGCTATATAGGTATTAGTATTATAGATGTTATTTATTTATGAATTTCATATCAAAAGCATTGTATAAATTAGTATAAAACTGAGTAAAAATAGAAGGAGCAGAGGGCTCAATATCTTTTGAGCAAAAACAGGCAACAGATGTATGGATATTATTAGAGACCTATAGATATTATTAGACACATAGATGTGACTATTTTTATTGTTATTTTTATAGATATTATATAGCTATTATTATAGATGTATATATTATTATACTTTATATAGATATTATTATTACAGACATAGATATTATAGGCATATGGGTATTGTTATAAATGTACAGATATTTTTGACAGACAGATATTATAATTATAGACATATGGATATTATTATAGACCTGTAGATATTATTATAGGCATATAGACATTATTACAGACATATAGATATGATAGAAATGTAGTTATTATTGTTAAAGACATATAGATATCAAAGACATATATATTATTAGGGATTGATAGATATTGTTATGATGGATATATAGATATTATTATTATTGTACATAAATTATAGCCCAGGGTTGCTATAAAGTAAAAATGGATGGCCATCTTTTGGAAGTGTTTTGATTCTGCCTTCCTGGACAGCCTTTGCTAACTCACAGAGCGTGCCTTTTTGTCCCTTCTTTGAATACTGGACTTCATTTCCCAGAACGCCTTCCCATTTTGTGGACACACACAGAATCCCTGTGAGTTCCCAGCGGAGGCAGCGAGGCAAGAAGGAAAGGAACACACACTCTCTCTCTCTCTCCCCTCTCTCTCAATCCTTTAGGAAGAGAGAGGCAGGGGGTAGGCAGAGGGATAGACCGGCCACCTTTCCCTCTCTTTTGCTGTGCCTCCCTCTCTCTCAGCGGTTGGGTTTTTTTCCCTCGTACAGGAGCGAGGGAGAGTGTACTTTTAACACAGGCTCTATATAGGCATTTAGCCTTGTGGGGGGCAATAATTCCAGTTAATTATTATTTTTTTGAGTGGAGAACATAAATTGGGTGATTAGGTGTATCGTGTCCAAATTTGGTGTCAATTCTCCCAGTGGTTTTTGAGTTCTGATGGTAGCACAAACAACGTTACATTTTTATTTATATAAACATATCCCATATATATAAAAGTTATCATCTGAAGGTCCTACTCCCCATGTGAATATAAGGCTATATAATGTCTTGTGCAAAAGAGATAAAATGCCACCTGTGCTCATCTCTGTCTGAAGAAGAGACAGAATATAATCACACTGAGTCCAGAAGTACAGCACAATGTTCAGCTCCTAGTAGGAGCCAAAGGGGCAGGGGCAGGGGCAGGCCAGAATAAGACACATAGCAGCAGCCTCAGTCTATTGCAATGTGATGCCATCAGCCAGACGTAAATCTTTAAATTAGATTTGCTTTACTACATGGTGATCTTGCATATTGCACAAGTGTAACTGGAAATTACCGAGTTATCAGTTTCTGCTTGTCCAAAGTACAGCCTGGAAAAATTCAGCAATGTTTTAGAATAAAAGACATTTGAAGGCTTGTCATCAGGAGTTGCTTTGATCTCTAAATTTGCAAGCATCGAGATTGCAAAATCGGGATCAAGGCATAAAATCCATACGTGATTAAGGAAAAGGGTCTCCAATTTAGATGAGTAAAATATAATTTGTAAAATAAAAAGCGGCCCTTTTCTCAGAAAGTAATGATGCTAATAAGTTAATCTGTACATTCAGTAGCACCAACAATGTTTTGAATGTTTCTCTTCTTCCCTTTTAGGTGTCAACCGGAAGCGGCCTGAAGCTCCCATTAAAGCCAAGGTTCAGGCAAAGAAAGTGAAAACAAAAAGCAGTTGAAAGCAGAGTATTTTGCAGCAGGTGATTTAAACATGATCAACAGCTACAGCAAATACATAATAAAGTTGCAATTAAGTTGAATATTTCTATGTCAGCATTCCTGCCTGTAGCAATCTTTCTGGCAACTGGGCCCAACAATTAAACAGTTTTGACATGATTATTTTTCATAGACTTATTTCCCTGTTTAAAAAAATGAGCAGATTATCTTTTAACATATCTTTCTGCCTGAGCTTTCTGCATCACTATTAATTTTGGGACACACAAATACACACATATATATTATTTTGATGTACAGATCAAGAGCTGGTCAGGCTTTCTCAACTTTCAGAAGGAAATAACTAGAAGAAAAGAAACCCAGAGAAATACAACTTATTGCTCTGAAAATTCCACGAGTCCCTTTTTCTTCTCTGGAACCCTAGTAGCTATTTTATATATTGAGCCCTCTATATCCATAGGTTCTGTATCCATCGATTTGACCAACTCAAAAAAATTGAAAATCTATTCCAAAAGTAAACATGTCAAGTAATATGCTGATGCATAGCCACACCCTGCTGTAGCCTGCCACCATTTCACAAATCCTTAGGCTCTCTCTGGCACACATCTGAGTTGTTTGCCATTGTATAGAACAGTGGTTCCCAACCTGTGGCCAGGGACCACCAGTGGTCCTCAAGAACGCAAATACAGTCTGTGGCCTCACCATTACTACACTGTTGCTTCAAAACCACTGGCAACGAGAGCAACTGGTGTCATGAAACCCTCTTATAGTGCCGAAGCAACGGGGATATTGGGAGGGGAAAGGCCGACTACCCACGAAAGATTACTATTACCGCATCAGCTCTAGATTATTAAATATGGTTTTCTGTGGGCGAGCAGATGGTGACTACTGAATGGCATGTGTTCTGTATCAGAAACTAGAGCTGATGTGATCTAAACAATGCCACTTTCTGAATCAGCACTTCAAATAACCAAACAGATTATAAAATTCACCAAAAACTGATTCATAACCCTGTTGGAATCTGGTCAAAGTGGTTCCTGTCAAAAAAAGATTAGGAGACACTGGTATAGAATGTTACTTAAGCATCCATGGTTTTTGATATCCACAGAAGGTGGGAACAGACACCAAAATCAAACTCTAACTGATTTCGAGCAGCCACTGTACTTCAGAGTGGGTTCTGCTGTTTTTTCCCTCTCTCTCTCATTTAAATAAGCCTCCTTTCTGAGCTTGAGACTCGACAATAGGGTTGTTTTTTTTACAAAGCAGGGACAAATATAAAAATACTACTTTGCATCATCTTTACACATTTCTTACATTTACTATGCTGTCATCTCTGATCAAAAATATTTTTGAAATCCAGAAGGGTAAAATTAAGGTAAGGATGCATACCAAAATTAATAATCTTTATCCAACTGATTTCACCTTGAAACAGCTTTTGTCTTTGCCTTCTCAAACAGCTGGGTATTGGGATTTGCAAAAAATCTTCCTTCCTTTTAAAAACAGCATTTAATTTCATATCTGCTTTCTGGTCCAAAAGATAAGAGTCCAGGATAACCAATCGTACTCAAGTTTTTGGCTATTGTTCACCGCATCAAGGTCACCAAAAGCCTTAAAGAGCTAGTGTGTTCAGGACTGTTTTCTATGCTATTGACTTTTCAGAGCATAGCAAACTCAAAGTTGTGGCCAAACATTCATTTCATTTGTATGACCAAAATGACCTCAGAAGCACTTTATTTTATGGTTCGTGCAATTAAATTCTTCCTCATCCCCGGATCCCCCTTCCCGAAAATTTTACATTGCCCTATCTCCCAGTGTTTTTAAATTTTTAAAATTCCATTTTTGAATTGGCCCCGCCCAGTGAAATTCCTTTGTGTTTTAACGTTTGATTTTATATTGCTGTGTCGTCTATTATATTGGTTTTTGCATTTTATGTTTTTTATTTTCTCGTTTTGTTATGTTTTTGTAATATTGTGCTATTGTACTGATGGGAGTGGCCTCATGTAAGCAGCCCCGAGTCCCCCTGGGGGAGATGGAGCAGGGTATAAATAAAGATTATTATTATTATTATTATTATTATTATTATTATTATTATATTTTATCATAGGGCTGCACGGGGGGGGGGAGATAAAGAGTTTTGTGCAAGGACCCCCACCCCTCACAGATGCTTCTTTCACTTGATTTCACTGATCAGAGGATTCCTGCACTATCAGGGAGATGATCCACGTGACACTTATGGATCTCTTCCACTCCACAACTGTTTCCTCCTCTGCAAGGTTTGGTAGATCTCAGGAATTTAAGCCAAAGCTCTAAAGGAAGAGCTTCTTAGCTTTCAGTGCTCCAACTGTGCTCCAACTTCTTAGCTTTCAGTGCCCCAACTGCTTTCAGTGCTCCAACTGTTAACACAGCTGTAAATAAAGAATCAAATAGCTGAGTAAGAAGTCAACCTGATTTCTGGGCTAAGGAGAAAGATGAAAGTTCAGTCGTTCCTCAAAGGATGTTTCTGTGGTTCGCTCAGGGAAAAATCCTTAGTAAAGGTACCCATCCAACTAGCAGTTGCATCTCAACCAGTGATCAATTTCAACAATATCAAATGATTAGATGGCACAGAAAGCCAATTATAACAGAAAGTCCAATTTTAGAAGAGCTGCATTAGATTTCCTCTTTTTGAAAAATGCTGTGTCTTCGCATGCTGAAACTTGAGTGCTGCAGCTTTTCATGACTGTGAAGATTCAAACTAATTCAGTGCTTCATTATGCTTCATCAATCACATTGTGGGTGTTCTTTTTTCATCCAGGACTCCGCGTAAATCCATCTCCTATCTCTTCGTACTGAATCAGGGAAACCCAGGACTGCCACTTGTTATCAATCCATGACGATATTGATGGCCAGATGGAAAGAAGAGGGGGCAGCTTCTCCCTATAAGAGAGCAAATCAATCAATTATACTATGTAACAAAATTTGAAAAAAAATCTGTTCCTGGTTTGTGCAGTACATACTTTGAAAATAATTGTTTTTGTGGCTGCCACAAATTATGTTGAATTGGTTGAGACTTTATGATGAGATATTTATTGAAAACTTATAGCAAAATGTGCCTCTCTAGCAAAAACAGCTTTTGCAGTTTAATAACTTTTTCCATGTTTTTATGATAGAACCAATTAGGAAATGGCATTTATAACCCAGGAATAAACATTGTGTTACATTGTGTTATTATATAAACCTGAACAGCTGAGATTGTGATTGTTCGGGACATTTTTCTTGAGAAAATAAATAATATTAATAATACTAATAATAAAAACTATTTATATTCCGCCCTATCTCCTCGGAGGGACTTAGGGTGGATGGATTCCGAACATAAAAAGGCAAACATTCAATGTCCGAACACAACAACAATACACCCATAGTAACAAAATTTGGCAACCCAATATACAAAAACAAATTATGACTTAACAACTAAAATTAAATAAAAACACAAACTGTAATAATAATAATAATAATAATAATAATAATAATAATAATAATAATAATAGCAGCATTTGGAAACAATAAACATCGACAGAATCACGATCTGTCAATTGCAAAAGGCCACCTGACTTGGATCTGTGCGCATCATTCGAAAATACACCACACAGTCCTAGACGCTTGGGAAGTGTTCGACTTGTGATTTTCTGATACGAAATCCAGCATATAGATCTCGTTTGCTGTGACATACTGTGCTTTTGTGTTAGTAAAATAATAATAAACTTTATTTATACCCCACCACCACTTCCCCAATGGGGACTCGGAGCGGCTTACATGGGGCCAAGCTTGGACAACATGTTACAGCAAAATAAAACCAAAACATAAACAACAAGCAACATAATCAAAATTACATAGAAAAAAGATATGAATACGGTAACAAAATAACTACAATAACACAATCGTGGTAACAGTGGGCAGGCCACATGTACAGGATAAAATGTTAAAAACTCTTAATGAGATAAAAATAGGAGCAAGTTATCTGCAAGGAGCTCATAAAAACGCACAGAGTTGTGAAACTAAGCTTCCCATTTGGGGGGCGTGTACTCCAGTGGCAGAAGCGTTGAAAGGAGCAATAGTATCATGTTGTGCACCTACTTGCCAAAGGCAGAGCAGTAGACCCAGGTTTTAAGGTCCTTTTTAAAAGTTTCTAGTGTAAGGGCTTTCCTGATCCCTCCAGGTAATGAGTTCCAGAGTCGGGGAGCCACAGAGGAGAAGGCTCTCTCCCTTGTGCACACAAGACGAGCTTGTGAGATTGGCAGGGGCAAAAGGAGGGCCTCCCTCGAAGATCAAAGGGCCCGGGTTGGTACATGGAGAGAGATACGTTCACGAAGATAGGCGAGTCCCAAACTGTTTCCTTACATAATATCTTACATAAGACAAAACATCAAACATTGAACAGAGACATCAATTTCCCAGTCCCTCGGGGGCAAGTAGATTGATCATTGCTCAAGACATCTATTAAGCTGGGGCGAACAGGGCATGGATACAGATTGTAGCAATTAACTAGAGGTAAAATGGTAGTATTACCATTAAATACCATTACAGTATCTCCATTTTTATCCTAAGAAATGTTGTCCCTTAACAGCCATTTTCAGAAACCACTGAAACAGGGCGAAAGAGGAGTAGGAGAAGAGATGGTGAGTGGAAACTGTTAGGTAAAATTACCCTAAAATATATAGCAGAGCATCCAAAAGCAAACAGGATACTAAAGTTGAACATCAGCTCATTGGCAAGAAGGGCATGAAGTGCCATGTGATGTGGCTATAAAGAATTCAGAGCTTAGGAGGCAAACATATAGAGTCTAATCTTAAAAATAACAAAAGGTTTATTTACAACAAGCCGTTCCCCTGCCACGTGTTGCTGTGGCCCGCATGAGAGTTCTGTGTGTAATGTTTGGCCCAAATCTATCATTGGTGGGGTTCAGAATGCTATGTGATTGTAGGTGAACTATAAATCCCAGCAACTACAACTCCCAAATGTCAAGATTCTATTTTCCTCAAACTCCACCAGTGCTCACGTTTGGGCATATTGAGTATTCTTGTAGAGTTTGGTCCCGATCCATCATTGTTTGAGTCCACAGTGATCTCTGGATGAAGGTGAACTACAACTCCAAAACCAAAGGACACTGCCCACCAAACCCTTCCAGTATTTTCTGTTGGTCATGGGAGAACTGTGTGTCAAGTTTGGTTCAATTCCATCGTTGGCGGGGTTCAGAATGTTCTTTTGATTGTAGGTGAACTATAAACCCCAGCAACTACAACTCCCAAATGACAAAATCAATTTTTTTGAGTGAAGGACATACATTGGGTTGTTAGGTGTCTTGTGTCCAAATTTGGTGTCAATTCGTCCAGTTGTTTTTGAGTTCTGTTAATCCCACAAACGAACATTACATTTTTATTTATATAGATAATAAAGAACAAACTACATTTTTTCATGGTAAAGAACTGGGTCTGAGCTACTCTAATGCCCATCTCTTCTAAGGTTTCAAGAGAGGGAAAAGCCATCCAAGCACTACATCTCTCCTAACACACATGCAGAGAGATCTCAAAGCACACAGCACATACTCGCCATACTGAAGGGTTAGAAGGCAAAATCATTCAAAAAGCTCACAGCAGAAAAGTTTCAATTTTAAACAATCAATCAAAATGAAAGCAGAAAGAGGAGAGAAGAAATTAGAAACATTCCAACTGTCATACAGGAGACATGAGGGAAAGGAAACCCTTAGTCTAACTGCTCCTCATTGAGGACTTGATACTTGGGCAGTGTGTTGAATTCCAACAGAAACAACATGGCTGTGCTACAGTAATAGGGGCAGATGGTTCCTAACTCCTGAGGAAGGAAAGAATGGAGACTGGAAAAGAGAAAAAGGTGGGACTCACCTTCAAAATGGATTTCCAGGTCTATGCTCACATTTAGATGACATTCCTCTCTAGAACCTTCTCCCCCTTGATGAGTCTGTTGAAGGAAAATGCTTCTAGGTCGATTGTCTTGTATTTGCCATCCAGGATGAGCTCGGCAATGGCTTGGCCAACGGCTGGGGACTGCTGCAGCCCATGCCCACTGAAGCCGGTAGCAAAGTAAAGGTTTTCCACCAGTGGGTGCAAGCCAATTACAGGGCTTTGGTCAAAAGTATTGTAGTCGTAATAACCGGCCCAAGAACTCTTCACCTGTCAAAAAGTAAAAATCAAGCTCCTGTCAATTATTTCACACTGCCAATATCTGCAGACTGCATTCACTAAATCATGTTTTTAATTTATTTATTAAAATGTTTTTAAAACTTTCTATTGTTCCATGCTTTAATTGTATTATTGTATATACTCAAGTATAAGCCTAGTTTTTCAGCCCCTTTTTTAAGCTGAAAAAAATCCCTTCGGCTTATACTCGAGTCAAGATTATTTATTATTTTACTCTGCTATTAGTATTATTTTTATTACGTTTATTATTTTACTCTATTAGTATTATTACATTTACATTATTTTACTCTATTATTATTACATTTACATTATTTTACTCTATTATTATATTGATTGCACTTATTATTTTACTCTATTATTGTTATTATTACATTTATTACTTTACTAGCCATCCCCTGCCACGTGTTGCTGTGGCCCACATGGGGGTTCTGTGTGGGAGGTTTAGCCCAATTAGAATGCTCTGTGATTGTAGGTGAGCTATAAATCCCAGCAACTACAACTCCCAAATGTCAAGATTCTATTTCCCCCACACTCTACCAGTGTTCACATTTGGGCATATTGAGTATTCTTGTAGAGTTTGGTACAGATCCATCATTGTTTGAGTCCACAGTGATCTCTGGATGTAGGTGAACTGCAACTCCAAAACCAAGGACACTGCCCACCAAACCCTTCCAGTATTTTCTGTTGGTCATGGGAGAACTGTGTGCCAAGTTTGGTTCAATTCCATCGTTTGGTGGGGTTCAGAATGTTTTTGATTGTAGGCGAACTTTATATAAACTATATAAATATAAATACCAGCAACTACAATTCCCAAATGACAAAATCATTTTTGAGTGAAGGACATACATTGGGTTGTTAGGTGTCTTGTGTCCAATTTTGGTGTCAATTCGTCCAGTGGTTTTTGAGTTCTGTTAATCCCACAAACAAACATTACATTTTTATTTATGTAGATTATTACATTTATTATTTTACTCTTTATTATTGGAAGAATATGTAAGCACATTTACATTGAAGGAGGTTAGAATAATGGTGTAATCAGAGCTGGACAGTCTTATCTTGAATTACCGTTTTATGTAAATATTCAAAAATATTTAAGCTACTGATACCAATAAATTACATTAATTGAGGTACCTATTTTATTTTGAATTTTTCCAGTAGCTGCTGCATTTCCCACCCTTGGCTTATACTCAAGTCAATAAGTTTTCCCAGTTTTTTTGTGGTAAAATTAGATTCCTCGGCTTATATTCATAACTACTATGAAAGTAGTTATTATACTCCAGACTTGGTTTTTGTGCCTGAGGGTAGTACTACTATTACATTCAGTCTAGGCACTTAGTGATTTTCCTTAATGAAAATATGCAATTTTTAACCTTTGTGCAGACCGCAAAGTTTTTGCAGTTTAAGAAACCTTTTCAATTTTTTATAATAGAACCAATTAGGAAATGACGTTTATAACCCAGGAGCAAAAATCATGTTACAGAGTGTAATCTAATGCTCAATTCATTATGCTACTCTGACTCCTTAGTCGAAAGTTGCTGCTTATTATTTTATCATAACTGGGCTGTGTTGCACTGGCACTGTGCTTTAAAAGGATGTTTAAGAATCTCCTTTCATCAAATCACCAATCACTTTACCTTTAAGGATTCAAAGCAAGGCACCCGATGGGCCAAGTTGGGCCAGACCTTCTCTTGGAAAAATTCATGATCTACTTCCAAATCCTGGATATCTGGTTCTTCCTCCTGAGAAGGGATAGCAAACACTAATCTAAACAGAAAGGTGTATGCTAAACAGAAAGGTGTATATGAGAAGCACTGGCGTACACAAGCTGTTTGTGTGAAGAATGGTTTCAATGCTGGGTATGAATCAAGAAAACCCAGCCCTGAATCCTTTCAGAGTCATAATGGTTTTGGATCACCCAGATAAAGTCAAACGTACACCAATACACATATGCTAGTTGAGAATCCCTTATCTTAAACGATTGAAACTAAATGTGTTCTGGAACAGCTGTTCCAGGAGCTCCAGATTTATTTGCTGTGTTTGCATGTTTGTGTGCAATCCCATGCTTGGGATTTGTAGCAGGGGGTTTCCTGTTATAATTTGCATTTATAGGGTAAGCCACCTGCCAGTTATAGTTAGGTTCCCTGATCCCGCCCCTTTTTGAGTTTTGGAGGGAAAAAAGCCATTTTGAGTTAGTTCTCACAGAGAAGCCTTTCGCACAGGACATAGAACGAAGTGGCTCCTGTAGAAAAGCTTCGTCTTTTACAGCTTGGCCGGGGTTATACAGCCCTACGGCTTGGCCAGGAGACATACAGCCACAGCTTGGCTGAGGGACTCCAGCCGGCCATCACAGCAACCTGAACTCCTTCTTTTTCCCTGGAGGTCTACAAAGCTCTGTTGAGGCAAGGGTCACTCGCGGAAGCCAGACGCAGTTGGTACCGGGTGCAGGGGCTCCACGTCAACAGAGGCAAGTACAGACTGCCCAGATTAGAAGCTAGGATTTCCCCATCAGTTAGTTACAGTTAAGAAGACAGTGCCTGTTCCTAGTGGACAAGATATTGAAAGAGCCTATAGACTGTTAAGAAAACCGTTAAAGTACCTGTTTGTTCCTTAATAAAAGAACTTTGTTGGACTTACTTTAAGCATTCTAAAGACTCTGTTTGGGGGAATCTAAGGGCCTTTATTCTGAGGCAGCCCCGGCGTCCCGTTGGGCACAGAGAATTTATGTCCTGTGTACAGTCTAATGCACAGGCCCAGCGTGCGACAGCACAAAATGTGTTTTGCCTTTCAGACTGTAGAAAATTTGAATATTCAAAATATTGGAGATGAGACCCAAGTCTAAACATAGAATTCATTTATGTTATGTTATACATGTAACTGAAGGTACACTGACACAATAATATTTTAAAATATTGGAAATACCATATGTGCGACTTCATAGGGACCAAGATAGAGAAGCAAAGAAGTCACTAACTCAACTAGTGTGTAGACAATTTTGTATTTTGTAGAATTTCAGATTTCCAAATAGGGATACTCAGTCTGCATATGTCACCCTGAACCCTTTGAGAGGATATTTTTTGGAGGAAATAATAGAACCCTAGAATTGGAAGAGACCACAGTGTCCATTCAGTCCAACCCCCCCCCCCCCAACCATGCAGTAAAATACAATGAAAGCACCCCTGACAGATGGCAATCCAGCCTCTGATTAAAAACCTCCAGAGAAGAACACTCTGCCACACTCCAAGGAAGTACATTCCACCTCTGAATAGTTTTTACCATCAGGAAGTTCTTCCAAATGTTTAGGTCTAAGTCCTAGTCTCTAGAGAAGCACCCCTGACAACCCAACAAACTAGCTCAATCCTGCAGTATTCTTGCAAGATCACTTCCCTTTGTGTCATTAAAAGAATGCAGCTGCCAGCATGGCCATAGTCCTCTTTGTCTAAGGGCTCCTTTAGATCAGCTCCCAATGAAATCACAATAAACTCACTTCTGTGGGACTTATGCCTCCAAGGTAGTTGCCACCCAAGCCTTCCCTCCGGCAGTAAGCTCCTGTAGTGTCTATTAGCATTGGGAACCCCAAGCCAGGCCCATCAGGACAGTGAAACACGTAAACATACCTAGTGGCAAAAGGACAAGGAGATACTTGAAGCAACATTTAATAAACATCTAAGTTCTCTGTTCACTGATTGTCTCACAAGGCATTTACCAATGCTCTTTGTAATCTTTTCCAGAGCCAAAAAAAAGAGTGGTTTTGTTGTGATTTAGGTGTCTTACAGAAAACTAACAGAAGCAATTTTACAAGACTGTATTCAGTTCTCTTTCTTTGTAAACAACTTTGGGTCCTATATTGGGAGAAAGGCAGAATTCTACATTGCGAAACGCAGCAGCAACTGGTAAATTTCAAAATTAAATAGATACCAATAAAATTACATCAATTGAGGCATCAGTAGGTTAAATGTTTCTGAATATTTACATAAAACTATAATTTAGGATAAGACTGTCCAACTCTGATTAAACTATTAGTATAAAATTCTTCAATGTAAATGTGTTTATGTACTTTCCAATATTAATAACTAGCCATCCCCTGCCACGCGTTGCTGTGGCCCACATGGCGGTTCTGTGTGGGAGGTTTAGCCCAATTCTATCGTTGGTGGGGTTCAGAATGCTTGTGATTGTAGGTGAACTATAAATCCCAGCAACTACAACTCCCAAATGTCAAGATTCTATTTCCCCCACACTCTACCAGTGTTCACATTTGGGCATATTGAGTATTCTTGTAGAGTTTGGTACAGATCCATCATTGTTTGAGTCCACAGTGGTCTCTGGATGTAGGTGAACTACAACTCCAAAACCAAAGGACACTGCCCACCAAACCCTTCCAGTATTTTCTGTTGGTCATGGGAGAACTGTGTGTCAAGTTTGGTTCAATTCCATCGTTGGTGGGGTTCAGAATGCTCTTTGATTGTAGGTGAACTAAAATCCCAGCAACTACAACTCCCAAATGACGAAATCGCTTTTTTTGAGTGACGGACATATATTGGATTGTTAGGTGTCTTGTGTCCAAATTTGGTGTCAATTCGTCCAGTGGTTTTTGAGTTCTGTTAATCCCACAAACGAACATTACATTTTTATTTATATAGAAGAGAGTAAAATAATAAATGCAATAAAAATAATAATAATAGAGTAAAATAATGGAAATGTAATAAAAATAGTAACAGAGTAAAGTAATAAATAACTCTGATTCGAGTATAAGCAGAGGGCTTTTTCAGCCTAAAAAAAGGACTGAAAAACCCGGCTTATGCTTGAGCATATACGGCACATGTTTTCTTCTCTATCCAAATCTTAGCATCAGAGTATCTTTCACTCCTGAGACTGAAGAAGCACATTAAACAAGACACCGCAAAGACTGTTTGAACAAACCTTTTCTTAGGTTCCACTGGCAACTTGACTCCAGATACTGAATCTGGAGGGCCAGTCCCAATGCCAGCCATCTCTGCCACTTTGCTTGACCAGGCTCCTGCTGCATTCACCACGAGGGAACACTGGATTGTGGCATATTCAGTACTGTTGGGCATTTGGACCTAGATGGGAGACACAGTCAGAACCAGCTCACAATGTTTTACTGGATGTACAGAAGGCTTCTTGAGTGCTGATGACATATATTTATTTTTACTCTGAAAAAAAGCAAGACTGCCACTTTCAAGTCAGTCATCTCCTGTTTACTTTAATCCTCCTTCTCAATTCACAATGTTGCCTGGAAAAGCATACCCCAATAAAGTAAGAAAGACAAGGAACCCTGCTGTGCCATTAGTATATGTTGTGTGTACATATATAGAAGCTTGAAACTGAACTCAATGTTGGTTCACAGTGATCGGGGAAGAGCAATTAGGTCAATGGAAGGAGGACACAAATATACATGATAGAGGTCCTAATACCAGACAAGAGCATTTATGTAGATCTTTGTGCCTGAAGTAGCCTTACCTCTTGTCTATTAGAATCATAGAATCATAGAATCAAAGAGTTGGAAGAGACCTCATGGGCCATCCAGTCCAACCCCCTGCCAAGAAGCAGGAATATTGCATTCAAATCACCCCTGACTGATGGCCATCCAGCCCCTGTTTAAAAGCTTCCAAAGAAGGAGCCTCCACCACACTCCGGGGCAGAGAGTTCCACTGCTGAACGGCTCTCACAGTCAGAAAGTTCTTCCTCAAGTTCAGATGGAATCTCCTCTCTTGTAGTTTGAAGCCATTGTTCCGCGTCCTAGTCTCCGGGGAAGCAGAAAACAAGCTTGCTCCCTCCTCCCTGTGACTTCCTCTCACATATTTATACATGGCTATCATATCTCCTCTCAGCCTTCTCTTCTTCAGGCTAAACATACCCAGCTCCTTAAGCTACTCCTCATAGGGATTGTTCTCCAAACCCTTGATCATTTCAGTCGCCCTCCTCTGGACACATTCCAGCTTGTCAATATCTCTCTTGAATTGTGGTGCCCAGAATTGGACACAATATTCCAGGTGTGGTCTAACCAAAGCAGAATAGAGGGGTAGCATTACTTCCCTAGATCTAGACACTATGCTCCTATTGATGCAGGCCAAAATCCCGTTGGCTTTTTTTGTCGCCACATCACATTGTTGGCTCATGTTTAACTTGTTGTCCACAAGGACTCCAAGATCTTTTTCATATGTACTGCTCTCGAGCCAGGTATCGTCCCCCCTTCTGTATCTTTTCATTTCGTTTTTCCTGCCTGTGGAGTATCTTGCATTTATCCCTGTTGAACTTCATTTTGTTAGTTTTGGCCAATCATCTCTCTAATCTGTCAAGATCATTTTGAATTCTGCTCCTGTCCTCTGGACTATTGGCTATCACTCCCCATTTGGTGTCGTCTGCAAACTTGATGACCCTGCCTTCTAACCCTTCATCTAAGTTATTAATAAAGATGTTGAACAGGACCGGGCCCAGGATGGAACCTTGCAGCACTCCACTTGTCACTTCTTTCCAGGATGAAGAGGAAGCCTTGGGGAGAATCACCCTTGGGGTTCAGCCATTTAACCAATTACAGATCCACCTCACCGTAGTTTTGCCTAGCCCACATTGGACTAGTTTCCTCGCTAGAAGGTCATGGGGGACCTTGTCAAAGGCCTTACTGAAATCCAGATACGCTACATCCACGGCATTCCCCGCATCTACCCAGCTTGTAACTCTATCAAAAAAAGAGATCAGATTAGTCTAGCATGACTTGTTTTTGATAAATCCGTGTTGACTATTAACGATGGCCAACATGGATTTATCAAAAACAAGTCATACCAGACTAATCTGATCTCTAATCTGATAACCAGGAATGCATTGATACTAGAATCAAGCTTATTCTTCTGATGGCCTTAAACATCTGACATATGCAATCAACACTAAATTATCTTCCTAGCCTGCCTTCTTCACCTTTTCTTAAACTGCGAAAGGCAAGATAATTTGGATACTTTTTCAGAGGCATCTTACTTCAAAACGCCCACACAAGCATCTCAAAATGGAAGTTTTGATAGGACACTGATTTTTGGGTGTCAGTATTATGCCTAAAGCTTCCACTCTGCCTCAATTAAAATAGTGAGAAACATGACTTACATTAACATATTTGATACGGGAAAAATCAATTCGCTCTCCATCCTGCGTCGTCATTTCTGTGGCATCCGAAATGAAAGCTGAACAGGGTTGAGAAGCACAGAAATAGCTACAAATTAAACTGTAAATTAAAGGATATAAAAAGGGGGTATGTGTGTGACAGTTTAGTTAATAATAAAACTTGTCCAAATAAATTAGCAAAATCAATTAAAATGCCTGGGAAAATAAAAATATTTGCATAATTATTTTTGTGTCAGATAAACCTGTTTGGAGGGAGCACGCTGCAACTTAGATGTCTAAGTTGGAGTGGTCATCATTCTTTTGATGGAAGAGGACATGAAAAAGGGACTTAGCAGAACTTAAAACAGCCAGATTGATGTATTCACAGAATTACACAAATCAGAGTTGTTTACTAAATTTATGGAATCAGAACACAAATTTATCTTTCATTTTCTTAATTTTATTCTGTTTCCAAAATTTACACGAATAGCCTAGGAGTAAGAGATGGACGGCAGACCTCCATTTTAAAGCACAATGAGGGTTACTGCTGAGTTTATTGTATATGGGCACTTCATAATGCCACACTTAACCTTAAGTAAAGCATTCATATTCATCCTACAGCCATGCTGATACAAAGCAAAGGAATGGCATCAGAAAAAGTATTAAAAGGAAGGAAGGGGAAGGAATCTAGCAGCACTATTAGGATGAATTGCTCTATTTTACTATGTCGATATCACTCTCCTAGCTCAGGGGCCCTTACAGAGTGATATTAAAGCCACAGGTTTTTAAGCATAATTACTCAGTGGTATTAATATAGAGCAATTCATCTTAATAGTGCTGCTAGATTCCTTCTCCTTTCCCTTCCTTCCTTTTAATACTTTTTCTGATGCCATTCCTTTGCTTTGTATCAGCATGGCTGTAGGATGAATATGAATGCTTTACTTAAGGTTAAGTGTGACATTGTGGAGTTCCCATAAAGTTTTGTCAGATACTGGTCTTCCAAGTGACCGGTAGCAGGATGGTTTGTTAAAACTGACACGACAAAGCAATAAATCAACTATCTGCCGGAACCAATTAAATCCTCAAATGCTTGCCACTTTCTAGGCCAGAGACTGAACTGTTTGGTAGTGATAATATTAAGAAAGGAAAAACTCACATGTCACTTCACCACAGCTCTGGTAGACACCCATTGAGATTGCTTTATTTCGTAAGGCATTCAAGAGAGTCCAAGGGTCAAACCAGCCCTCATTTTCCAGCCCTAAAAGACAAGTTAACATCTATATAAATAAAAATGTAATGTTCGTTTGTAGGATTAGCATAACTCAAAAACCACTGGGCAAATTAACACCAGATTTGGACACAATGTACCTATCAGGCCAACAAGTGACCATCACTCATAAAAACACTGAAAAACACAGTGGAAGAGACTTAAAAAGCCAAAAATAAAAAATAAAAATGCATGTGCATGACCACATAAATAGACATATATACACACACACATATTCACACATAAAGCACATGTGTATTTATGCATAGTCACATAAATACACATATGCACAAATATATACACACACATATACACACACAAAACACATATACAAAGACTGGGCCACAGCAACGCATGGCAGGGGATGACTAGTAGGATATAAGAAAGAAGTTCTAGTTTAGATTTGCAAAAATCTGGCACAAAAATAAACTGCAAATTACAAAGAATTCACTATTTTATTTATGTTACAGTTTTACTTTAACTTGCATAGAAAAAAAACCCATAGAGAATGTTATCTTTTCCCCTCTAACGCTTTACTGAAGGTAACAGTGTTGATTATATGTGTTACATTAAACAGAGTCTATTACCACAGGAAGCCAATGCCACACCGTCTGTATTCATCCATGGATATTTCTTTTTCAGTTCTGTTGGTGAAAGCAGAGACACCTTTGCTCCTTCCATCCTGAAAAACCATTAAAAGAATTCTTATTAAAATACAATTGGTTAGAACAGGCATGGGAAAACTTTGGCCCTCCCTCCAGGTGTTTTGGACTTCAAGTTCCACAATTCCTAACAGTCTCAGGCCCTTTTCTTTTCCCCTTCAGCCGCTTGCTAAAGGGGAAAAGGAAAGGGCTTGAGGCTGTTAGGAATTGTGGGAGTTGAAGTCCAAAACACCTGGAGGGCCAAGTTTGCCCATGCCTGGGCTAGAATCCTGGAAAACCAAAATTGTTAGTTAATCAAAACAACAATCAGCTAAGCAATTGCTCCAATTAAAGAAGATGGGAAAGGGATGTCATGTTCATGATTCTGAGTCACAGAAAAGGTACTTGCAGAGGGAGGAGCTAGGCAAATCTGGCTAGTGCCAGCCAATCATAGCATGGGGAAAGCTGTGGAGGGAGGGGGCTACAGGGGAGAAGGGAAGTGGGTTTGGACTAGATGACTCTTGTGGTCAAAATTGTGGCTTGTTTCTCACAGAAGGCAGGGGAAAAATGACACAGAGAAAGGAAAAGACTGCAGAGAGATGATGAAAGATGTCCTAGAAATAGGATAGTCAGCTGTGGGGAAAAAAATATAAACAGGATTTGGGGGAGCTGTGAATGATTAAATTGTTTGGGAGTTAATATGAACTCTAATTTTGTATTAATAAACTTCTACTTGTCTGTTTGGTTACTTGACTGTTTCTTTTCACAACTGCGCCCAGATCTTCCTGTTATTTTTTTTATAAGAATCTGGTCATGTTTACATCTACTGGTTAATACATCTACTGGTCCCTACTGAGAATGTCTTGAGGATTCAGAAGATTCAACCAGTCCATACTTCAGGAAATAAAGCCCGACTGCTCATTGGAGGGAAGAATAGTAGAGGCCAAGATGAAGTACTTTGGCCACATCATAAGAAGACAGGAAAGCTTGGAGAAGACAATTATGTTAGAGAAAATGGACGGAAAAAGGAAGAGGGGCCGACCAAGGGCAAGATAGATGGATGGCATCCTTGAAGTGACTGGATTGACCTTGGAAGGAGCTGGGGATGGTGACGGCCAACAGGGAGCTCTGGCGTGGGCTGGTCCATGAGGTCACAAAGAGTCGGAAACAACTGAACAAATGAACAACAACAAAAAAGCAAGGATAGGATCCAGTCCCCAACAATAAATACTTTATAATCCAATGAGTTCATACATTTATGGCTTTCCTCCTCAGAACCACCTTATTAGCTTTACTTTTAGATGCCCAGGGAGAAAATGGAAAGAGAACTTGGATCTTTCAAACTACTAGGTACTCTCTACTGGGGAAGCAGAGAACCGTATTTAAACATAAACATAAACACGATATTGCCCATGACCTCAGGCACTCTAACATCTGAGACACTGCCTTCTTTTCTCCTCAACGTCCATAGAATCCAATGTCCCCATACCTTTGAACTTTCACATTCTCCTCTAGTATTGCAGCTGTTTCATCTGAAGCCAGGAACAGATAGCCTGAAGGATTAAACTGAACATCTACCGGTGGCTGGCCAATAACGTGAAGGTAGTCCTGGAACCAAAAGGTAATGAACTGAACTTTCCAATGTCTGCTTTATCCGCTTTATTAATAAACCTTGACTGAGAGCTTCATATTATAGATGGGGATCGAAGACTGAGAGAACAGTAGCTTCTCAAGACCTAACCTGCTTCATATATTGCAGTGTAAACAATCTAGGCCTATTAACTCAATAAATGACACAGCATTCAGTGGAAATTCTATAACAAGTGGGCATTCACCAACATTCACTTTGGCCACTGTGCTAGGGATTCCATTTTGAACATAAATTAAAGAAATGCAGAAAGGTAACAAGGGCTGGATAATTTATGTAAGACAGTGAGCAAATGAAACAATTCTTAATGATTGCTTATGTAAATTGTTATCACTGCTATAATTGCTGCTGTTACTGATGTTATGTTTTTGTTGTCATGTAATGCGGGCATCGAATTGTGCCTTGTTTGTGTAAGCCGCCCTGAGTCCCCCCCGGGGTGAGAAGGGCGGGGTATAAGCAACCGTAATAAATAAATAATAAATAAATTATGGCTATAAGGAGACATTTTTGGAGATCCCGTGGTGTGAATAAAATTCCTAACAGCATGTAAGTAAATACAAAAACTACATCTCTAACGTTTACCGAACATAAACACATATAGGCTGAAACTGCTATCTACTTGACCTTTTGAAAATCCTACAACAGTCCTAAAACTGAATTTAAAAGAAATCAGGACACCACTCTAACAGATGTGAGTGCTAAACCTGATATTGGAATGCTCTCAATATTTATATTCATGCAGCTCTCAGAACGCCTGAATGTCTAAAACAGATGCAATGGAGCACATGGCAAAACTTCTCCCAGTGCAGAGCTTTAGCAACAAATATACCTGATGACAATTAAAAGCATGTACAGCTCAGGAATTACAAATTAATCATATATTTGGGTATGCCATCATTGTATTCTTGGCATCTACAGATCTATAAGAATTCACTGCTGTGTGTCCTCCTCTAAGGTAATGTGCCAGCCCATTTGACTGTTCCAGGGGCTCTGATGGGGACTATCAGAAACAACAGAGGCAGGCAAACAGCAAAAACAATCCAGCATCCCAGGAAATCCTAGCTAGAATGACATACGTCTATTAAGCGCAAGAAGTTTGCTGAGAACAGGCTCATCTGGATGTTTTCTGGCATTGAATACTGCTGCCGTATCCCCCCAACAGAAAGTACTGTGGATGCTTTGGAATACTGTAATAAAAAGAGAGAGAAAAGGGGGTGTCACTTATAGTACAATTGAATATTCATAATGTTTATGGATCACAAACAATGGCCCCGAGTCACCCAGAAGTTTCAAGATATTTCCAGAGGAGTGGTCATGCTCAATTGCTGCAATTAAGGAAAAGACTCTTGTGATATCTTGAAGCCTTAACAAGTTTTTATTTACTAACATATATAATTTGTGAGACTTTTAGGTGTCCCAAGACTCTTTATAGTGACAGGCATTTCCAAACAGGTATTCATGGCCTAGTCCAGGGATCCTCAAACTAAGGCCCGGGGGCCAGATACGGCCCTCTAAGGTCATTTACCCGGCCCTTGCTCAGGGTCAACCTAAGTCTGAAATGACTTGAAAGCACACCACAACAACAACAATCCTTTCTCATCAGCCAAAAGCAGGCCCACACTTCCCATTGAAATACTAATAAGTTTATATTTGTTAAAATTGATCTTTGTTTTTATTATTGTATTGTTTTTTAGTGTTTTTTTGCACTACAAATAAGATATGTGCAGTGTGCATAGGAATTCATTCATGTTTTTTTCAAATTATAATCTGGCCCTCCAACAGTTTGAGGGACTGTGACCTGGTCATCTGTTTAAAAAAGTTTGTGGACCCCTGGCCTAGTCTAATGAATATATGACTTCAACACATAATGTTGGCAACCCCCCAAAAGCAACGCCTATTTTTGGGGGGTGGAGATCAAGCAAGTGTTAAGATTCAACAGTAAGGAATTAACATCCAATGGTTAAAATTAAACGATTAATTCAATTATTACACCAGAACTGAATGATTGAAAGATTGGCCTAAATCAACACGCACCCTTGCAGAGCTCTGACAACTCACACTGAGGTCCCGTTCAACCACCACAACTCGAATGGCACCACTCCGGGGCTCATTCCTCTTCAACCAGTAGGCAACCGACCATCCAACCACACCTCCTCCGACAATGACCACATCAGCCTGCTCAGGAGGCAGGTCTCCTGACACAGGCAAAGGGGTCCAGTCACTGCCAGGCAAGATCCCCTTCATTTTCTGACGGAACTTGTCCAATCCCTTCGGCAAATCTGGAAGGAGAGACACACAGTCATTTAACTGTCCTCAGTGATGCATTTACTGAAAACATTTATTATCACTGCTCAGTCCATCAGAGTTCTCAAGATGATAAACAAACATCTAAAAACATCTAACCTAACTTGTTAAGAACAATTTAGAAACAGTAATTTAAAATATTCAGGGAAATCACTCCTGGTTTTGACGACCAAAGACTGTAAAACAACAAAGCCTTATACAGGGTGCAGCATCATAACTTCCTTTTTTCAAAACTTAATAAAATCCATTGTATGAATCAGAAATTTGTTTTTTTATAATGTAGGTGCATACCTAAAGTTTTGTTTTACGTAGTTTTGAAGATCAAATTAGGTAGGTGATGTTTCCCATTCTCCATACACTGAGTAAACTGATTTCTGGTGTTTGTCATGACTCTTGCCAGCATAGCAGGCGTTATGTTGGCAATTTCTTCCTGGATGTTGGTCTTCAAATCTTATAGGGTCCTTGGACGGTTCACATAAACATGGGATTTCAAAAAACCCCGTAGAAAAAAATCACAAGGGGCCAAATCTGGAGAGCGGACCGGCCACTCCAAATCCCCCCTAATTGAGATGAGGCGCTCTGGGAAGTGTTCCCTCAAAACAGCCATTGATGCTCTTGAAGTGTGTGCAGTTGCACAGTCTTGTTGGAACCAAATTAAGTCCAACCCATCTAGCCGTGGGAAATAAAAATTCCTGTAACATGTTTACATGCCGGTCCGAATTCACTGTCACTGCGACTTTATTTTCCTCAAAGAACCAGGGACCAATAATTCCAGCTGAGGAAATTGCACACCACAGTGTGATTTTAGGTGAATGCAAAAGCCTTTGATGCAATTCTCAAGGATTGTTGTCAGCCCAGTAGCGCATGTTTTGTTTGTTGACAGACCCACACAAATGAAAATGAGCTTCATCACTAAAAAAAAAATAGCGTTCTCAGGAACGACTTCGAGAAGAGCCTCACACATGTTCCTTCAAGAAATGAAGTCATGTTCAGAAAGTTCCTGCACAATCGTTATCTTGTAAGGATGGAAATGAAGATCATCATGAAGAATTCTCCTCACAGAACGATCAGAAATTCCAAGGGCAGATGCATGTTTGTGCGCAGAACGCCTTGTCGCACTTGCAGTTTGTCTGAATATAGTGACCCACGTCACAATTTATTTCTGGTCCGGGACAGGGGCCAATGGGGCTAAATTAAAGCGATTCTGAAAGGCACGCTGGGTTGCGATCACAGAACATCCGCTCAAAAAGTAGGCCTCAATGGCAAAAGCACGCTCCTCACTGTTCCAATGCATGATGGCAACTGAACTGTGTCAGGACAAAACTTTATTATCCCGCCTCTCGAACGAGACCACTAGCGCTCCGCTACGTCTTCAACCGACTGAATGGCGCATTTTAAAAAAGGAAGTTATGCTGCCGCACCCTGTATCTGCCCATTAGAAACTCAACAGAGAAATGGACACTCAACGAGACCTCTGCTGAAGATCAAATATTTCGGGAACACTCATATGCTTCAAGCTGTCTAGGGCTTTGTAGGACAAATCCATCACCAGAACTGAATTCGGAAGAATACTGGAGATCAATACAATTAATCCAAGATCAGGGATGCGCACTCTCAAAGGCACAAAAGTGTGGCTGCTGCCTTCTGCAATAATGGTAGCTTCTGAACACTTCTGCAGGCAACCTCATAAGAAAAAAAAAAGGTATCACCTGCACATATTGATAATGTTGGCTTCAGTTGGTGATCCAGTCCAACATCATTTGGGGGACATGCTTAGAAGAGTTTCAGCATTTTCCCACTACAAAGCATTTCAGGGAAATATGGTTTTGATATGGACGCACAGATTGTGCTTCAGGGAAACGTGTCTATCATATTCATATTCTCACAGGACAAAGATTTCCAAGGAACATCCAGATGATTCCACATGAATTCTCAAGACATATAATGAAGGGGAGAAGGGGACCGGGAGGATTTCTTTTCAAATGGGCCTCAGCCAAATATTATTTATTTATTTATTTACGACATTTATATGCCACCCTTCTCATCCTGAAGGGGACTCAGAGCGGCTTACAAGGTATGTATTGTATACAATATATTACATTATTAGCATAGTACAATATCAGCATTAAACATTGCTATATTGCACCATACCACTATATCGTAATATTATTAGTAATATTACATGTAATAGAAATATATAATTATAATATATAATTATTATATTGCATTACATTATAATACTATAAATATTACATGTATATACAATATATTATATTATATTATTAGAATAGCACAGGATCTGAACTGTCTAGGACTTGAAAGGGGATTTTGATATCTCATTAATAGGTGTAATACATTCCTGGAGGCTTTCAGAAGACAGCAATTAACCATTTAACCATGTCAGAAAAGGTTGGTTCAGATGGAAACAAAAACAGCCTTGGAAGAGGCACACTTTGCCCACTCCTGTAATAATACATTCAAGCAATATTAATCATTAGCTTGAACTTATCTATGGATAGAAGGCTATCTGAGAAGGTGAATTAATTATGAACATTTATTACACTTGCATTTCCTTCCGCTCCAATATTACACACCATTTTAATATCACTTTTTGCCTTTACAACAGATAATTACTCTGTTTTTGATTCTGTCATGTACTTATATGATAGCAATCTTATCTATGCTTTACTAATATGCACTTTGATCATTATTTTTTGCAAACAAATTGAATGCAGTTATGAGGACACGGGAGGACAGAAATAAAGGAGAAAAGAGATTGGGTGGCAGTGCAACTTGCCCTTTCAGCAGAGGTCTGGGCTGCCCCATCCAAAATATGAGCAACTTTGGAAGGACCCCATCAAAGTGTGACCTATCACCACAGTTCCAGGCAACACCAAAATTTTATTCAGGACTAAAGCTTTTGCCAAAACCTCGACTCTTTAATTGCATTTAGTTGTAATTTTACACCTTGGATTTCATGCCCTGGTTCATCGTACAACATTCTGAGGTCTAAACATGTCAAGTTCCATCAGAACAAAACCTTTGAACACAAGATCGTGTAAATGTTTGACTCCTTCACATTATCTTACTAGAATTTTAACTTCTATTAATATGGTAGTAGAATTTCTCTTCATAAGAATTTTCTAACACTGTTGTCCAAGGCTATCATGGCAGTAATCACTGGGTGTTTTTTGGGTTGTATGGCCATGTTCCAGTAGCATTTTTTTTCCTGCTGTTTCACCTGCATTTGTGGCAAGCTTCCTCAGAAGTTTTTTCAGAGACCTTTTTCCAACAGACCTCTGAGGACGCTTGCCACAGATGCAGGCAAAATGTCAGGAGAAAATGGTACTGGATCCTGCCCCAACTTCCCAAAAACTTCCCAAAAGGGACTCGGGGCGGCTTACAAGTCAACACAGTGCAAAACAAAACACATAAAATATACAACAAATTTAGCCAAATCACATCAGAAAATGAATGCCCGTATAATGGGAACTTTTTAATATTGTTTGGGGGTGGACTGGGACTCCCATTAGCTCCAAACTTGGTCAGGATGGTAGAATATATATATGCCTTTCAAAAGATGACATCAGTAACTGCTTAACTTTCTGCAAGTATTTACATTACATATAAGCACAATAATTATACTGGTTTGTTGTAGGTTTTTTCGGGCTGTATGGCCATGGTCTCGAGGCATTCTCTCCTGATGTTTCGCCTGCATCTATGGCAAGCATCCTCAGAGGTAGTGAGGTCTGTTGGAACTAGGAAAAAGGGTTTATATATCTGTGGATATATCCAAACTGCAAGCCCAGCACCCTGTAATAATAATAATAATAATAATAATAATAATAATAATAATAATAATAAACAACTTTATTTATACCCCGCTATCATCTCCCCAAGGGACTTGGTGCAGCTTACATGAGGCCAAGCCCAACAGTAGATCAATAACGAAAGCAATAATGAAATCAATACAATACAATTAATACAAATCACATAAACAATAAACAGTAACACACAAGCATTTAAAAACCTATGGCCGGGCCAAATGTAATAGTTTAAAAATTAAAAATAACGCTGGGCATGAACAAGGTAGGATATAACTGGTATAGGGTTTTCAAAGAGAGATGAGGGAACGCAGTCTGTCCTAAATCAGTGGTAAAGTGCATTTTGAGGGCATATTGCTGGGTGTTTTCCTTATTCTGGGAAGGCACAACCATGTTTTCAGGCTCCTCCTAGAGCATGGAGCCATGGCACTTTAAGAGCTGCCAACCCACACTGATTCTGCAGCCTAGATCCCTTCGATACAGCTCAATAAAATCCCACATTTTCTGCTTTGAGATGGATTATATGGCAGTGTGGACTCAGATAACGCTGTTCAAAGCAGATGTTGTGGATTACGTGCCTTGATATTCTGGGTTATATGGCTGTGTGGAAGGGCCCGTAGATACAATCTTTCCCCCACATTTCTCTTTCCACAACTGACCAGACCCACAGATTACATTATGGTTATTACTTATGTATGTATCTATATAAATAAAAATGTAATGTTCGTTTGTGGAATTAACAGAACTCAAAAACCATTGGACGAATTGACACCAAATTTGGACACAAGATACCTAATAACCCAATGTATGTCCTTCACTCAAAAAAATGGATTTTGTCATTTGGGAGTTGTAGATTATTTATTTCATAGAATCATAGAATCATAGAATCAAAGAGTTGGAAGAGACCTCATGGGCCATCCAGTCCAACCCCCTGCCAAGAAGCAGGAATATTGCATTCAAATCAACCCTGACAGATGGCCATCCAGCCTCTGCTTATTTATTTATTTATTTGGAGTGCTTCTACCCCACCCTTCTCAACCCCGTAGGGGGGACTTAGGGTGGCTTACAAAAAAGGCACAATTCGATGCCCAACGATTCACGAAGTACAATATACAATTTAACATCAACAATTGTCACTAGTTAAAACATCACATCAATACAGTAACAGTAGTTGCTGGGATTTATAGTTCACCCGCAATCAAAGAGCATTCTGAACCCCACCAACGATGGAATGGAATCAAACATGACACACGGTTCTCCCATGACCAACAGAAAATACTGGAAGGGTTTGGTGGGCAGTGTCCTTTGGGTTTGGAGTTGTAGTTCACCTACATCCAGAGAACACTGCACTCAAACAATGATGGATCTGGACCAAACTCTTCACCTATACGCAATATGCCCAAATGTGAACAGTGGTGGAGTTTGGGGGAAATAGAATCTTGACATTTGGGAGTTGTAGATGCTGGGATTTATAGTTCATCTACAATCAAAGAGCATTCTGAACCCCACCAACGATGGAATTGAATCAAACTTGGCACACAGTTCTCCCATGACCAACAGAAAATACTGGAAGGGTTTGCTGAACAGTGTCCTTTGGTTTTGGAGTTGTAGTTCACCTACATCCAGAGATCACTGTGGACTCAAACAATGATAGATTTGGACCAAACTCTACACGAATACTCAATACGCCCAAATGTGAACACTGGTGGAGTTTGGGGAAAATAGAATCTTGACATTTGGGAGTTGTATTTTCTGGGATTTATAGTTCATCTACAATCAAAGAGCATTCTGAACCCCATCAACGATAGAATTGGGCCAAACCTCCCACACAGAACCCCATGACCGCCAGAGTGAGCCACAGCAACGCGTGGCAGGGGACGGCTAGTGAATAATAAAAGCGACAGGTCTCCCGAAGAGCGCGCTCCCAGTCAGCCAGCCCCACCTCTGAAGGGGTCGTGGTGCCTCCGGGGTTCCACCGTCAGCCGGGGCCGCAGCCCTCGCAGCAGCAGCGCCGCCCGCCCGCCGAACATACCGCCTCCCTTTGCTTCCCAGGCTGCAGGACACACAGCGCAGGCGCCGTCCTCGACCAAAGAACACAATCTCCCGCGGGGCGGCCATTTTATCCTCCTCGAGCCCTCCCCTTGCCATCCCTGACCCGCTTTGATTGGACGGGCCCGCTCTCAATCCCCTTGACCAATCCGGCGCCGCGTTTTCCCTGCACGCGCCTTACCGGAGGACCAATCGGCGTCCAGACATTTCGCAACTGTTTAAGGAGACAGCCAATGAGCGTAGCCACTCCCCCATCGCCTTTGACCTTCCCAGCTCGCTATCTCTCTGCGCACGCGCAGTGAGGACTGCCACTTTCAATCCCTTCTCTTATCACCTTTACCGAAATTTCTAGTGGATATCAACTCCCAGCAGCCTCAGCTACCTTGGCCAATGACAAGGGGTTCTGGGAGCTGTAGACCATAAGATGCACGCCTTCGTTTGTTTGTTTTCCTCAAAGCGTTCCTCCTGTCTAAGGAAACAAGGTCCCATCAAAGTTCCCTGCTTGAGTGGTGATTGCATGATCATCAGCATAGATGAAACTCTCAGTTCCTGCTGGCAGTGGCTGGTCATTTGTGTAAATGTTTAACATTGATGGAGCAATACAAAAAAGCTCACGCTGCTCAACTCGGTTCATCGCAAGCGCTGAACCTGACTTAGCACATAGAAGACGGTTTTGAAAGGCAGCAGATCACAGGAGCTGTCTTCATAGACTTGTCAGCAGCGTATGATACTGTAAACCACCGCCTCTTTCTGGGAAAAATGTATAATATCACAAAGGACTACCATTTCACCTGCCTCATAGGAAACCTGCTACAAAACAGGAGCTTTTTTGTATTGTCGAATATGGCCATGTTCTAGAGGCATTTTCTCCTGACGTTTCGCCTGCATCTATGGCAAGCATCCTCAGAGGTAGTGACGTCTATTGGAACGAGTAAATTGGATTTATATATATGTGGAATGACCAGGGTGGGGCAAAGAACTCTTGTCTGTTGGAGCTAGGCGTGAATGTTTCAACTGACCACCTTGATTAGCATTTGATGGCCTGGCAGTGCCTGGGGCAATTTTCTGTTGAGTTCCAGGGCCAGAGAAGCAGATGGCGGCCTGCCTCAGGAGAGCATGCTTGCTCCATCCATGTTTAACATTTACACAAATGACCAGCCACTGCCAGAAGGGACAGAGAGTTTCATCGACGCTGATGATCATGCAATCACCACTCAAGCAGGGAACTTTGAGATGGTTGAACAGAAGCTCTCCGAAGCTCTAGGTCAGGGGTCCTCAAACTTTTTAAACAGAGGGCCAGGTCACAGTCCCTCAAACTATTGGAGGGTCAGATTATAATTAGAAAAAAATCATGAATTCCTATGCACACTGTGCATATTTCATTTATAGTGCAAAAAAACCCTCTTAAAAACAATACAATAATTAAAATGAAAAACATTTTTAACAAATATAAACTTATTAGTATTTCAGTAGGAAGTGTGGGTCTACTTTTGGCTGATGAGATAGGGTTGTTGTTGTTGTGTGCTTTCAAGTCATTTCAGTCTTAGGTTGAACCTGAGCGAGGGCCGTATCCGGTCCCCGGGCCTTAGTTTGAGGACCCCTGCTCTAGGTGCTCTTACTGCCTATTACAGGGAAAACCAGCTGATCCCTAATCCATCTAAAACACAGACATGAGCTTTTCACCTCAAGAACAGACAAGCATCCCGAGCTCTCAGGATTACCTGGGAAGGAATCCCACTGGAGCATTGCAGCACACCTAAATATCTGGGAGTCACCCTGGACTGTGCCCTAATTTACAAGAAGCACTGCCTGAATATCAAGCAAATAGTGGGTGCTAGAAACAATTTCATAGAAACACTGACTGGCACAACCTGGGGATCACAACCAGACACAGTGAAGACGTCTGCCCTTGCGCTTTGCTACTCTGCTGCTGAGTACGCATGTGTTGTGATTCAGCATGATTCTGGGCCTGAAATGATGTTCTCTGATGGTGAGGATGATGGGATTCAGATTTCTGGCTCTTTTTCTGTGCCTCAGATTCCTGGGCCTGCAGAGGCTCCCACAGACAGTGCAGAATCAACAGGGCGATTCTCAGAAGAAAGGAATGGCAACAAATTAGAGAGCAAACAGGTGGAGAGGCCTTTGCCTTCCCACACTGATAGTGAAAGTACAGAAAGCCTTGATAGTGACCTGACCCAGCAAGCACGGCTTGATTTGCGAGTCAGGCGGAGTTCACGCCTGGCTAGCAGACGAGAAGCCAGCTTGGGGAAAGATCATCGCAATTCTTTCATGTTGGTGAGAGTGTGATGTTTTCATGGTAGCAAAAGGTATTTAGGCTTCTGGTGAACGAAGGGAAAGTGTCAGTTCAACATAGCTTTTTAGCCTGGAAGCTTCATGGAATATCTTTGAAATCAGCACACTTTGGGGTTTCGCATCGTGATTCTTGGGGCTAGAGTTTCACTGTTTATACCATGGACTATGTTTTGACCTCTGCTTAAAGGATTGTGCCTTTTGTTTTCCCTGAAGATAAACCCTGAAGATTCTTGGAACTGTATTCTGCATTTAACCTAACTCTTTGGAACTTTGCATTGCTTATGCTTTATTTTGACTTGGATTTTTTCCTCAATAAACTATAATCCTACAGCTCTTGTGTGGTGGTGTTTGGGAGCAAGGCGACGCTTACTCTGAGTTGCAACAGTATGCCCAGTGTGGAACACATCTCACCACACTAAAACAGTGGATGTGGCTCTTAATTAGACATGCCGCATTATCACGGGGTGCCTGCGCCCTAAACCACTGGAGAAATTATACTGTTTAGCTGGTATTGCACCACCCGACATCTGCCAGGGAGTAGCAACCAATATTGAAAGGACCAAGGCAGTGACATCTCTGGCCCACCTCCTGTTTGGGTATCAGCCAGCACGCCAACAACTTAAATCAAGAAATAGTTTTCTAAGATCTACAGAGACACTCGCTGGAACACCTCAGCAAGCGAGAGTCCAAAAGTGGCAGGCTCAAACCCAGAACCTCAACCAATGGCTGATACCAAATGAGAGACGCCCCCCTGGGCACACAGAAGACTGGGCGACTTGGAAGGCGCTGAACAGACTGCGCTCTGGCACCACGAGATGCAGAGCCAACCTTCAAGAAATGGGGCCACAAAGTGGAATCCACAACATGCGAGTGTGGAGAAGAGCAAACTACAGACCACCTGCTGCGATGCAACCTGAGCCCTGAGCACATGCACAATGGAAGACCTCCTTGCGGCAACACCAGAGGCACTCCAAGTGGCCAGATACTGGTCAAAGGACATTTAATCAATTACCAAGCTTGCAAACTTTGTATTTTGTTTTTCTGTTTGTTAAAAAAAATGCAATACAACTGTTTGGTCTGCTCCTGACACGATAAATAAATAATTTCGCACTGCCAGGTAATCCAGTTCACACCAGATAATCTGGATGGCATATGGTAGTGTGGAAGGGGCCCCAGTTCCAGGCAGATCCTGTGGATTTATTTATTTATCGTGTCATCAGCCACCAGACATTTGTATTACATTTTAAACAAAAACAAACAGACAAAACACAGAGTTTGCAAGCTTGGTAGTTGATTAAGTGTTCTTTGACCAGTAGCTGGCCGCTTGGAGTGCCTCTGGTGTTGCCGCAAGGAGATCCTCCAGCATGTATTGTAGCAGGGCTCAGGTTGCATTGCAGCAGGTGGTCTGTAGTTTGCTCCTCTCCACACTTGCATGTCGTGGATTCCACTCTGTAGCCCCATTTCTTAAAGTTGGCTCTGCATCTTGTGGTGCCAGAGCGCAGTCTGTTCACCGCCTTCCAAGTCACCCAGTCTTCTGTGTGCCCAGGGGGGAGTCTCTCATTTGGTATCAGCCATGGGTTGAGGTTCTGGGTTTGAGCCTGCCGCTTTTGGACTCTTGGTTGCTGGGGTGTTCCAGCGAGTGTCTCTGTAGATCTTAGAAAACTATTTCTGGATTTCAGTCGTTGACGTGCTGGCTGATACCCAAACAGGAGATGTCTCTGCCTTGGTCCTTTCACTATTGGCTGCTACTTCCCGGCGGATGTCAGGTGGTGCAATACCGGCTAAGCAGTATAATTTCTCCAGTCGTGTGGGGCGCAGACACCCTGTGATAATGTGGCATGTCTCATTAAGAGCCACATCTACTGTTTTAGTGTGGTGAGATGTGTTCCACACTGGGCATGCGTACTCAGCAGCAGAGTAGCATAGCGCAAGGGCAGATGTCTTCACTGTGTCTGGTTGTGATTCCCAGGTTGTGCCAGTCAGCTTTCCTATGATGTTGTTTCTAGTGCCCACTTTTTGCTTAATGTTCAGGCAGTGCTTCTTATAGGTCAGGGCACGGTCCAGAGTGATTCCCAGGTATTTGGGTGTGTTGCTATGCTCCAGTGGGATTCCTTCCCAGGTAATCCTCAGAGCTTGGGATGCTTGGCTGTTCTTAAGGCGAATGGCGCATGTCTGTGTTTTAGATGGATTAGGGATCAGTTGGTTTCCCCTGTAATAGGCAGTAAGAGTACCTAGAGCTTCTTTTCAACCATCTCAACGCTCCCTGCTTGAGCAGTAATGGCACGATCATCAGCATAGATGAAACTCTCTGTCCCTTCTGGCAGTGGCTGGTCATTTGTGTAGATGTTGAACATGGATGGAGCAAGCATGCTTTCTTGAGACAGGCCGTTCTTCTGTTTCCGCCATCTGCTTCTCTGGCCCTGGAACCCAACAAAAAAGCTCCTGTTTTGTAGCAGGTTTCCTATGAGGCGGGTGAGGTGGTAGTCCTTTGTGATATTATACATTTTTCTCAGGAGGAGGCGGTGGTTTACAGTATCATAAGCTGCTGACAGGTCTATGAAGACAGCTCCTGTGATCTGTTGCCTTTCAAAGCCATCTTCTACGTACTGAGTCAGGTTCAGCACTTGTGATATGCAGCTTTTGCCTTTCCTGAAGCCAGCTTGCTGTGGAATCAGACATGGGTCAATTTTTTTCCGTAATTCTACGCCAAATAAGTCTCTGGTTGCCTGGCTATTGGTTTCTTTCCTACTTTGGTGGCAAGGTTGGGTTTCCCATTCTTCAGGAGTTGGTGTGCTTCAGGAGTTGGGGTTCATGCTGCTCAACTTGGTTTCCGGCGGAAGTGAGGCTACTCATCTGACGTGGCTATTCCGCCTGTGTTTACGTCAGCGCCTTAATCAACTTCTCGTTCTCTCTCTCTCTCTCTCTCTCTCTCTCTCCTGAGAACGTCCAATCAGAGCTCTCTTTTCTCAAGGTGGTCCCGCCCTTTAAAGTGAAAGCAATCCTGTCCAATCGGGTCGCCGCTGTTCGATGTACTCCTCCCCCCGCTTTCTGACTTCCGGCGGAAGTGAAGTCGAGTCTCGAGCTTAACCTGACGTGGGTCAGGCAGTCGGGCTGGTTCCCCGGCGCCTCGGCCTGCTCTCGCCCTGTCCGCGGGGCCCGGAGCCCCTCTCCGCCGCCGCCGCCATGCTGGACTTCTTCACCATCTTCAGCAAAGGGGGGCTCGTGTTGTGGTGCTTCCAGGGCGTGCGCGGCCCCGCGGCGGCCTGCACCGCCCCCGTGAACGCGCTCATCCGCTCCGTCCTCCTCCAGGTGAGGCCTGTATGCTTGGGACCACGGGTGGGCAAACTTCGGGCCTCCAGGTGTTTTGGACTCCAACTCCCACCATTCCAAACAGCCTCAGGCCCCTTCCTTTTCGCCCTCAGCCGCTTAAGCGGCTGAGGGCGAAAAGGAAAGGGCCTGAGGCTGTTTGGAATGGTGGGAGTTGGAGTCCAAAACACCTGGAGGCCCGAAGTTTGCTCATGCTTGATTTAGAAGAACTGCCTCAATAGTACATTCAACCTAGGCCCCTTTCATACAGCTGTATACAATCCACACTGAACTACATTGTATGGAAGTGTGGACTCAGATAACCCAGTTCAAAGCAGATATTGTGAATTGTCTGTGTTGATCTTCTGGGTTTGTATGGCTACGTGGAAGGGCCCTAGGTTGAATTGTCTGAGAAACTAACAACGATGTCCCACCAAAACAAAGTTTTTGCAGTTTAATCAACTTTTCCCATGTATTGTCAAAGGCTTTCATGGCCGGGATCACTGGGTTGTAGGTTTTCTTGGGCTATATGGCCATGTTCTAGAGGCATTTTCTCTTGGCATTTCGCCTGCATCTATAGCAAGCATCCTCAGAGGTAGTGAGGTCTGTTGGAACTAGGAAAATGGGTTTATATATCTGTGGAATGACCAGAGTGGGACAAAGGACTCTTGTCTGCTGGAGCTAGGTGTGAATGTTTCAACTGACCACCTTGATTAGCATTTGGTGTGGCTTGTTAGTGCCTGGGGCAATCTTTTGTTGAGAGGTGTTAAGATGTGCCTGGTTGTTTCCTCTCTGCTGTTTTGCTGTTGTAATTTTAGAGTTTTTTAATACTGGTAGTCAGATTTTGTTCATTTTCATGGTCTCCTCCTTTCTGTTGAAATTGTCCACATGCTTGTGGATTTCAATGGCTTCTCTGTGTAGTCTGACATGGTGGTTGTGAGAGTGGTCCAGCATTTCTGTGTTCTCAAATAATATGCTGTGTCCAGGTTGGTTCATCAGGTGCTCTGCTATAGCTGACTTCTCTGGTTGAAGTAGTCTGCCGTGCCTTTCATGTTCCTTGATTCGTGTTTGGGCAATGCTGCTGCGTTTGGTGGTCCCTATGTAGACTTGTCCACAGCTGCATGGTATACGGTAGACTCCTGCAGAAGTGAGAGGATCCCTCGTGTCCTTTGCTGAACGTAGCATTTGTTGGAATTTCTTGGTGGGTCTGTAGATAGTTTGTATGTTGTGTTTCCCCATCAGCTGTTCTTGCCATACATCAAGGGAAACACTGACCTCATAGGGAAGTTCCAACAGACCTCACTGCCTCTGAGGATGCTTGTCATAGATGCAGGCGAAACGTCAGGAGAGAATGCCTCTAGAACATGGCCATATGGCCCAAAAAAACCTACAACAACCCAGTGATTCCAGCCATGAAAGCCTTCGACAACTTTTTCCATGTTTTCATAATCAACCCATTTGTGAAATGACGTTTGTAACGCAGGAACAAAAAACATAGTGTTAAACAGGGCCCTTTCACACAGCCATATAACCCATAGAATAAGATAGAGGCTCCTTCTTTGGAAGCTTTTAAACAGAGGCTGGATGTCTATCTTCCAACTCTATGATTCTACGAGATAGGAATTGTACAGCCTAGATATTGTTGAACTGTTACTCCTAGTTTTCCTACCATTTTCTGTGCTGGTTTTTCATTCATGCCACATGTTATTGCAGCTTAACTGATTCCATATATTTTCTGACACTGGAGAGTAGATCCTTCTTAAGCTGAAAATCTCTGCTGGTTTCCAGAACTGATGATAAAGGTTTTGACCAGATGGGATGAGCCTGTTCTGAGAGCATCTTGTAATTGGGACATTTTGATCCTACATCCTGAAGATCCCATTAGAACTAGCTAAATTAAGGAAGACTAATTTCTTAGTATTCTCATTTGAGACTGCTTCTCTGTTAACTGAATTCTGTTAACAAAGTTGAGGACTTCAGTATCACTCTTGGTTTCTTTTCACAGACATCCCCCCTGTAGCAAAACGTTCTTGTGTTCTTTGTATTCTACTTGGCTTCACCAGTGGTTTTCTTAACTAGCATTAATCTAGTGCCTAAAAAGTCTGTAACACTATACATTAATCCTAGCTCTTTTGTCAATATGTTCCAGAGATTTAATGTGTACCTGAAAATGCTTTTGAAAATACTGTGTGAATATTTATTTATTTATTTATTTATTGCTGCGCTTGTATACCGCTGTTTCTCAGCCTACATTGGCGACTCAACGCGGTTTACAACACTACAATAATCAACAATATTCAGTTTAAAAAGCATAAAAACACATACATAAAACACAATATTGGGCCACCAATAACAAACCAATGCATCTCTTGACTAAAATCGCAATCCAATTTCCTCGTCTGTGATTACCAATCCTTCATCATCAGATTCATTGCATCGGATTAACCGAATGCTTGTTCGAACATCCATGTCTTCAGTCTTTTTCGAAACACCATCAGCGAGGGGGCTGATCTTACCTCTATGGGGAGGGCGTTCCAAAGCCGAGGGGCCACCACAGAAAATATTTGTATTCTCTGGATCATTTCTGAAGGACAAATAGCTATGGATGTAATTTTAATCAGTATGTGATGGAAGGATTTGAGGTTTAGAGATAGTGTTTTAAACAAGACCATCTCATCTTCTTGGAAAAATGACTTTTGAAACCACATTTTTGAGGACCATTGACATTTGAATACAAAACACTCATTGTGTTGCAACTCAGGATAGATTCACCTTGCTCAAGACACCACCACACCCCAAGGCTGTAGGTTTTGTAGTTTGTTGAAGAAAAAGCAAAATCAAAAACATAGAAGTAAAGTTGCAAAAGTTCAATAGCCAAGACAGAGTCTTAAATGCATAGTCATAGTTCACAAGATCCAGAGGCAAATAACATGAAGTATACTCCTTTAGCATTGGTTAAACAAGAATCCATGACAAAGTTCCCAAAAAATCAGGAGCAAAACCAAAGTCCCAAAGAGCTAGAAGCTTTCCCCAAAAGCCAAGGTAATTTCAGAGAGGTTAGCAGGGTATAAACAACATTGCACTGGCAACGGAGAGACGTCAATCAGATCGTTAAATATGTTTCCCCAACATGAAAGCATTACGTTGACCTCGAGTTTCACATTTGTTGGCAAGGTGCGCACTTTGGCAAACCCTTAATTTCAAAGGGTCCTTCCTAATCAAGTTTTCATCTTCAAGGCCGGATCCCCCATTATCTTGAGACTGGTCTCCCTGGGAACCAAGAGGCCCTGCACTCACAGATGGGGCCGGCTTGTCGACCTGCAGTTGTGAAGTTTCACTATCTTTATCTAAAACAACATTCCTTTCCCTGGGGAACAGAAATACCGCCTCTTCTTCAGAATCAACACTGTCTGTCTCAATAACAGGAACAGGTTCAGAAATCTGTAACCCATCATCCTCCTCGTCCTGAGGAAACTCAGGCTCAGAAAGCTCAGGCTCAAAGTGAGCCACAACACATTGTACATCGGTATTTGGAAGACTTCCTTCTTCCTTGGGAAATGATATGGTTCTCCATAGTTATACATTGGTCCCCACATCAGAACACCACTTCATGGATTGTACAGCAATGTGGTATAGCAGTTTGAGTGTTGGAATCTGAGAGATCAGGATTTGAATTCTACTTTACCTTGGAAATTGACTGAGCTTTGGGTCACCATAAGTCAGTCAATTTGAAGGCACATAACTTCACAGATTATATATTTGTATAAGTTTGTTTCAAAGTTACCCTCAACACCCCTGTTTCTGCTGTCAGCCTGACATTTTCTACATCTACTCTAATGTGTCAGTTCTTGGAATTGTTTCTTTGTTGTGCCAAGTAGATGCTATCATTTTATTTTTTGATGTTGTATTACTTGGCCACTTTCACACCTCGTTCCTTTTGTATTTTTTTTGCCTCTTTGTTTATGTAGACATGGCTCTGAAGGTGATAGATTAGATAAAACCATTTCAGTTGCCTAACTATAATTTGTCTCTATTGCTCATAGTATTATTTATTTAAAACTTTTCTGTCCTGATCTTCTCTACCTTCGAAGAGGAACTCAGACCGGCTGACAGCAAAGATTCAATACTAACATTAAAAATCTAAAACATAATATAATAACATTAAATGACCAAATACAAATAAAATAAATTACATAAAAGCCGTTCACCAAGATAAAATCGTGTCCAGTTCCGTATAATCAGTCCATAGATTGTCCATATATTGTGGTCAGTAACTTTGTTCAATTGCCGGTCTCAGACATTATTCTGCAAAAGCTTTGTTCCACAGCCAGGTTTTCACTAGCTTCCTAAAGGTCAGGAGGGAGGGAGCAGATCTAATTTCATTTGGGAGGGAATTCCATAGCTGAGGGGCCACCACAGAAAAGGCCCTGTCTCTCGTCCCCACCAAACGTGCCTGCGAAGGAAATGGGACCGAGAGCAGGGCCTCTCCAGATCATCTTAGCACTCTTGATGGTTCATAGGGGAGAATACATTCGGACAGGTAAACTGAGCCGGAACCGTATAGGGTTTTGTAGGTTAAAACCACAGCATTCCAGGCAGAAGTCTCTCAGACTTGTCTACTATTGGTTGCAGTTCTGGTTTTGTTTCTCATTTCCTTTATTTGAGTCATAAAAATTAAACAATCAAACTTATGCTTTACTAGTCTAACCAAAGATAAATGCTCTTAATTATAGACTGTAAAAACATCTCGGCTATTTGATCGGGCAGCAAAATGCCTGAAATCTTCTAATCCTTTAATGAATCTCTGCTATACTTTCCTTGTTGATGTGCTTTAATTGCTTGAAATTCAACAATGTATTAATATTATATGTGTGTGCTTTTATCTGTACTTTGTTGCAAGGTGCCATAAGGAGGAAAATATATTCAAGAAAACTTATTGATGTGAAAGTTTATATAGACTGAATTACAGTCCATCACTTTGCAATAACATTAAATGCTTGTAAACAGGTCTGGAAAAATGTCTCAAGACGTGAGTGAGGTTGCTTTGGCACCTAAAGTATGGCCACTGTCTTGTCAACTTTGAAATACTTTTCTAGCCCCCCTGCAAAGAATTAGCAGTCAACAGGGCATCGGTTCTACTGAATTGGCAGAAAAATTGAAGTTTAATCTCTACAGCTCCTGCAATGTGGAGATTGAACTTTATATTTAATCATTCTGATATACTTCTTCCTTCTCTTCTCAGGAGCGAGGTGGCAATAATTCTTTCACCCATGAAGCCCTTACGCTGAAGTACAAGCTGGACAATCAATTTGAGCTTGTCTTTGTGGTAAGTGAACTCTTGTATACTTCAGACTGGTAAAAAAAAAACACACACATTTTCACAGTACTGCAACAAGATAAACAGAGCACTGTGATAGAGAACTTGCTTTTCATCATGGATGTATTGTTGTTAAAGGTTCCAGAATGTCCTTTTTGTTTCCTATGATTTGGAGTACATTCTACAGAATTGGCCTACTTTGTCAGTTTTGCACCAGCCTTCTTTACAAGGGCACCATTTTGTATTTGAATCATTTATCTATTTAGAAAGACAACTAGGCTTTAGTTGAGAGCTGGCTTCTTTTTTCTAATTTAATACCTTTACATTTACAAAACAGTTCAAAAACTGTTTTGTTTAAATACATTGTATTTGGGTTTATGTAATCAACTGTTCGCATGAGTGGATAAACAAAAATGGAAGACATATCTGAGTGTGGGATTATTAAGTGCATCCAAACAAGCCAGGTTTATAAAGTAGATTTAAACCAAGTTTTGTTGCTTTATGAATCCTTGTTAGTTCAATTGCACTGGTCTTGATATACATGAAATCACATCTTGATATGGCAGGAAACATTCCCTTATTTATTAATGAAGATGTGGAGAGATGAAACTGGAAACAGTGATTTGTGTGCTTGGGGTGTCAAGTTCTAAACAAAAATGGGTATTAATGGTTATTATTTGTGATCATTATTGATTTATTTACGCAGTGTGACATTAGGACTGAATAGTAATAATATTGGGTCTGAACCCTTCGTCTTCCTAGAGGAACGGTACTTTTGCAACACTTAAAGAGAGCACGAAGAACCAAGGGGATGCCCCTTTATTAAGACACACCCAAGTTGATCCCAAAGGCCCGTTACTTGAGAGGGATGAAGCGAGACGAGTGGGTGGCCCCAATTCCTGGCCGGCCGTGCTTCACTGGCTTGTAGGTGATGGAGAACTCCCCCAGGTAGTGGCCAATCATCTCAGGCTTGATCTCCACCTGGTTGAAAGTCTTCCTGTTGTAGATGCCCACCGTGCTGCCCACCATCTTGGGAAGGATGATCATGTCTCGCAGGTGGGTCTTGACCACCTCGGGCTTTTCCATCGGTGGGGCCTCCTTCTTGGCCTTACGCAGGCGCTTCAGAAGAGAGTGCTGCTTGCGGCTCAGGCCCCGGTTCAGCCAGCGGGCGCTGTAGAGCTGCATTAGCTGTTCATAAGACATGTTGAGGAGCTGATCCAGATCAACACCCTGGTACGTGAACTTCCGGAAGGTCCTCTGCTTCTTCTGCTCCACTTCCGCCATCTTGGTTTCAGCCTTCTCAGGGAAAAAAAAGCTTGTGACCATTATCAATTTGTGATGCCACAAGAATGTAAATGTATATTATTGTTTTAAATTGTTATTTTATGGTGTTTTATACTTATTATCAATGTATTTGGATTATTGTTTACATGATTTCAATATGTTGTAAGCCGCTTTGGGTCCCGTGAGGGAGAAAAGCGGGTTATAAATAAAGAATTATTATTAATGTTATTATTATTATTATTTCTCTTCGCAACAATATCTGTTCTTCTTGTAGGTTGGGTTTCAGAAAATCCTGACTCTAACTTACGTGGATAAGTTAATAGATGATGTCCATAAGGAGTTCCGAGACAAATATCGAAATGAGTTCCAACAGAAGGGAACTCTTGGGATTCTCAATGGCACCTTTGATTTTAAAGAAGATTTTTTACATCTCCTACGGTAACAGTAAAATTCCCTTCATATTTCTTATGAGGAAAGCTACATATTTCTTATGAGGAAACTAATTAAACTAAGCTTAGGAAGCATTGGTTTCCCAATTATAGCCAAGTTTGGTTTACTGCATCCTGAAATCTTGGGATGGATCTGATCATTACTGTTTGCAGTTTGCACACTTATAACTCTCTGCTGGCTTTAGTAATGTTTGTTGCAATCCCTAGACTTCTCTGGTAGTCTTTTTAAGTACAGTGTTCCCCCATGTGGGCAGTTTCTTCTTTTAATCTCAGTGTATGCAGGGAAACAGTATTTTGAAAACTAAATCTTTTTTGGAAAAACAAAAACTGGATGTTTTTAGGTGAAAATTTTATTGGTGTTTAGTTTTCCAGTCCATATTCAAGAAGGGTGACCTTCCTAGAATAAGTCTCCTTGCCATTGTAAAGCTGTATTTTCCATATTCAGGTTTATCAGTAAACAAAATAGGTTATACAAATGGTTATAACAAACCTTGGGTTGTTGCCTTACCTCTAGGTTTAGGGGGTGCAAATTTAAAGTTTCTGTTTGCTATGAGGAATGAGTGGCACTTCCTAATTGTGTCAATTAGAAACATTGTCTTGTGTTCAGAATTGTCAAGAAACAAGATTGTGATTTTATATTCGACTGTGTTATTTATTTATTTTTTACTAACTGCAGTTTGCTGTGTTGTGAATGCAATGGGAAATTGTAGTTATATTCAGGCATAAGTTAAAATCTTCCTCTATCTTGGATAGACTCTCAAGGATGATCTTAAATTGCGAGGTGGGACATAAGGGCAGATGCGTTCAGACAAGTAAGCTGGGCTAGAACTGTATAGAGCTTTATAGGAGAATTTATTTTATTTTTCGTGTCAGGGGCAGACCAAAGAGTTGCATTGCATTTTTTAGCAAACAAACAGACAAACAAAAACACAAAGTTTGCAAGGTTGGTAGTTGATTAAATGTCCTTTGACCAGTAGCTGGCCACTTGGAGAATAAGATGCTTGGTATTGTGATTGAAGGAGCAAACCTCCTTCCGTAAGGGCAGATGCGTTCAGACAAGTAAACTGGGCTAGAACTGTATAGAGCTTTATAGGAGAATTTATTTTATTTTTCGTGTCAGGGGCAGACCAAAGGGTTGCATTGCATTTTTTAGCAAACAAACAGACAAACAAAAACACAAAGTTTGCAAGGTTGGTAGTTGATTAAATGTCCTTTGACCAGTAGCTGGCCACTTGGAGAATAAGATGCTTGGTATTGTGATGGAAGGAGCAAACCTCTGAAATGTATTCTTCTTTCCAATCAGGGATGCAGAGGAGAGCAGTAAAGTCCGAGCTCCCACTGCCATGAAGACTTTTGAACAGTCAGCAAAGTCCCAAAAAACAGTGAAATCTATGATAGAAAACCGAGGAGAGAAACCAAAAGAGAAAACTAAGAATAAGAAAAACAAAGGTTCCAAAAAAGAAGGTGAGTCAATGTTGCAGCTAACTGGTGATCTATGTGGGATCACATAGGTATTTCCGGTGGTTCATCTTTAACATTCCCAGTTGTTTGAAGGGGGCTGTAGAGTGCATGCTTGTAAATAGATTGTGCATCTTTCGTCTCTCTTTCTCTGACATTTCCTTCCGCCTTCTTTTCCTGTCCTTTCATCACAATGCCAAAAATGGTGTAGATCCCACTTGCCAGTGGTCTAATCTGCTAGTTTGCATGGGTCTTTTGAAATTGAGCAAAACTTGTAGCTGGAAAAAAAACCCACAGTGCTGGTTTTTTTTTTCTCCCCCAGCTCCTGGAGGTGAAGCAGTTGCTGCCCCCAAAGCAGCCCCTCCTGTCAAGCAGGACCCTGGTACTGCAGCTGGGGACAGGGAAGAACTGACTAAGGATGAGATTCTGCAGAGGAACCGAGAGGAATTCTTCAGGAAGCGCATGAAAGTGGGAGAGAAGTCTAAGTAAGTGAGGCCAGTAACAGTGAGTTGGCGCACCTTTTACATCCCACTCGGAGATACCAAGCGGAAGGGTTGCATCTCTGTAGATACATTTTAATTTCCTTCTGGTCCAACCTTCATATGGTGTTACAGATTCAAACATAGCTGGGTTCTCACAGCATTTGTGGCATGAAGGGAGTACTTTGAAGGCCCAACGTGCTCAGCTATCTTGGACCAGAATTCAGCTTTGAGAATTGTGCTCCTTTGGGCTGATAAGATAAGGAAAATAATTAAAATGTGCCTTTTATTTTTCGTGTGTTGTTTTATGTTAATTGATAGTGTTATTGTTTAGCATGTTGATGCAGTTTTACCTGTATTTTATGGCACTATTAAGTGCTATTCTGTAAGCCGTCCCGAGTCCTTTTGGGAGATGGTGTGGAATACAAATATTGTTTTTGTTGTTATTATTATTATTATTATTATTATTATTAAAGATCCAGAACATAAATTTGTGTGGTTATCTTTGCCCCTGCAAATGACTTGTGCTATTTTCCGCAACAGCTGAGTTTTAATGGAGCTTCTCTTCTGTCTTCTTTAGCAAGTCCCCAAAGCCGGATGCTCAGAAGGATAAGGGGAAGAAACCCAGAGTGTGGGATCTGGGGAACTCAAATGCCAAAGTACTTGATTATAGCAACTCCACTACCAATGGAAATGCAGACACTTGCCCCATGGAGGATTATGATGCAGAAATGGTAAAGTATTCAAAACCCTTGATATTGTTTTCCTTCTGTATGTGTATCTCCTTCTGGGACAACCCTCCAAAATGGGACTTGGAGGCATGGCTCTGTTGTGGGTCCAGTACTTCCTGGAGGGTTGCTCCCAGATGGTGAATCTGGGAGACACCTGCTTTGACTTGTGGGGTCTCGCAAGGTTCCATTCTGTCCCCCATGCTTTTCAAACATGTACATGAAACCACTGGGAGAGGTCATCCAGAGTTTTGGAGTTGGGTGCCATCTCTATGTAGATGACGCACAACTCTACTACTTTTTTCCACCTAACTCAAAGGAAGCCACTCAAGTGCTGGATGAGTGCTTGGCCGCTGTGGCTGTCTGGATGAGGAGGAACAAGCTGAGGATCAATCCCGACAAGACAGAGGTCCTCTTGGTCGATCGTAAGCTGGCTCGGGGTATAGGGTGGCAACCTGTGCTGGATGGGGTTGCACTCCCCCTGAAGTCACAGGTCCGCAGTCTGAGTGTCCTCCTGGGCTCATCACTTACGCTTGAAGCTCAGGCGTCGGCGGTGGCTGGGAGGGCCTTCGCACAATTAAGACTCATGCGCCAACTGCAACTGTAACTCGTGAAGCCGGATCTGGCCAGGGTGGTCCATGCCTTAGTCACATCCAGATTGGATTGCTGTAATGCACTCTATGTGGGACTGCCCTTGAAGACGGCCCAGAAATTTCAACTGGTACAACGGGCGGCAGCTAGGTTACTAACTGGAGCGACTTACAGAGAGCTGTTTAAGGAGCTCCATTGGCTGCCATTCATTTTCCGGTCCCAATTCAAGGTGCAGGTTCTTACCTACAAAGCCCTGAACGGTTTGGGACCCGCCTACCTGTGTGACCGCATTTCTGTGTACAAACCCACATGATCTCTTCGTTCACCTGGAGAGGCCCTGCTCATGCTCCCACCTCCTTCGCAGGCGCGATTGGTGAGGGCGAGGGAGAGAGCCTTCTCGGTGGTGGCCCCCCGACTCTGGAACTCACTTCCCAAGGACATCAGACATGCCCCAGTGCTGGCAGTCTTTAGGAGGAGCCTGAAAACATGGTTGTTCCAGTGTGCCTTCCCAGAATAAGGAAAACTCTCAGCAATATGCCCTCAGAATGCACGGTACTACTGGTTTAGGGTTGACTGCGTTCCCTCATCTCTTTTTGAAAACCCTATACCAGTTATATCCGACCTTGTTCATGCCCAGCATTTATTTTTTAATTTTTAAACTATTACATTTGGCCCGGCCATAGGTTTTTAAATTTTTGTGTGTTACTGTTTATTGGTTATTGTTTATATGTGTTTTATATTAATTGTATTGTATTTTTGCTTTGTTTATTGTTTATTGTTTATTGATGTACTGTTGGGCTTGGCCTCATGTAAGCCGCTCTGAGTCCCTTGGGGGATATGGTGGCGGGGTATAAATAAAGTTTTATTATTACTTTATTTATTACATCTGGGAGTAATATCTCAGGTGTTGAATGAAGTGGGCTTGAGCACATGAAAGCTTTTGCCCCGATGAAGGCATCTTTCTTAAATGCCCAAACACTGTTTACTGTTTTACAATAAGGAAGCTGACTGAAACTTGTGTTGGCTCTTGGCATTCTTCTCATCCAATTCAGCTTGTCGGGGATCGCAACCATGAGCCTGGTCTTCTTCGTGAAATTGAATATGAGAGTGAAGAGGAGATGGAAGAGGAGAAGGTGGTTCAAAGCTCTTCAAGTACAAGGTAAAACATTCATTCTATATGCCTGTGTGTAAGTTACTTTTGGTGAGAAAGAAATTAGTAGTTGTTTTCTCCAGGACTCATGCCTTGTTTTCAAGGCAGAGAGCCGCAACCATGGAAGAAGGGGTGTATTTAGTTCCTCCTCTTCGTTTGCTATGCAGCAGTTGTATTGTTTTTAGGTATACAAGCTGAAAATGATTCATGCTTTGTGTAGAACTTTTGAAAATGGTTTAAAAAGTGATTTTTCAAGTGTTAGAAAAACCTGACAAGAAGAATCCTGGACTAATGAGATAGGCTTTGCAGTTCAGATTTGTTCTGTAAAAAAATACATGTGTTCTGTGAAGAAAAGCATGTGCTACCTACTCTTTTCCTGTCTCTAGTGCCAAGAAAGGTGGTCTTGGGGGCATGTTTGGGATGCTAAAGGGCCTCGTGGGCTCCAAAAGCTTGACCAGAGAAGACATGGATCCAGTGCTGGAAAAGATGAAGGATCATCTGATTGGTAAGCATTGGCTGCTCTGGCTTTATGCTGGCTAGTCCTGGGGCCTTATAGGGTGGCAATTGATCCTAACAGTTTTCTATTGATTCTAAAAGTGTATGAGGAAGGGTCAAGGGGAAAACCCTCTAGTGGGCATAGTTCCTAAGTTTTTGGAGGGATAGAGAAAGGGCAGATAGCAGATGATGCTAGCATCAAGATGGATAGTGTGGCTAATACTATCAGTCTTGCAACTCCACTACCACCCCTACATGCCACCTTGTAATCTAAGATCATCCAGGGAGGCCCTACTCTCGCTCCCGTCAACAGCACAAATGAGTCTGCCGGGGACGAGGGACAGGGCCTTCTCGGCTGTGGTCCCCCACCTATGGAACACACTCCCAAATGAGGTAAGATCAGCTCCCTCCCTCCTGGCTTTTAGAAAAAAATTAAAATCATGATTCTGGGACCAGGCCTTCGGATAGTAGATGTATGTAGCATTTTAGAGGGACACTGACTGGAACGGCGATTCAACTAATGAGACTGTTTTATTGTTTTAATGCTTGTTGATGTATTGTTTTAATTGTGATTTATTTTTAATTGTGGTTTTACTATTGTAATTGTTTGTATTGGCATTGTATCGGTGCCCAGCGTAAGGCATTGAATCTTACCATTATTTATGTGTAAACCGCTTTGAGTCCCCCCAGGGGTGAGAAAGGCAGTATATAAATACTATAAATAAATAAATACCTTACATTGGTCTGAAAATTGTTTAAAGTTATCTCTTATCCTATTTTTGGGACACGGGATGCTTTGCCATATTCTGGCATTTTTTCGTATCAGGAGCAACTTGAGAAACTGCAAGTTGCTTCTGGCATGAGAGAATAGTCTGTCTGCAAGGACGTTGCCCAAGGGACGCCCGGGTGTTTTACCATCCTTGTGGAGAAGCATCTCTCAGATCCCCGCATGGGAAGCTGGAGCTGACAAATGGGAGCTCCATTTGTCCCCGGATTCGAACCGCCAACCTTTTTGTCAGCAGTCCTGCCAGCACAAGGGTTTAAGCTTTAACCAAAACTCAATAAAACTGCACTCATCAACCAATGGCGGTAAGCTGCTGAAAACATGACCAGGCTGCAAACAATAGGACAAAGGAAGGGGGTAAGTGCAGAGCTGTAACAATGGAGAGAAGCCATGGGATAAAGTGCAGGCTGCATGACTGTTATATAGAACAGCCAGGGACTAGTTCTCAAAAGCTTGTTTGAATAGCTATGTCTTCAAGTCCCCACAAAAGGAGGACAGTGTTATATATGTTTAGAAATAAATACACCCCCCTTGCATCTTCCTTCCCCCTACCAGTCCTTAGGAGGCTAAAATACCATTTGTCTTTGTTGAAGGTTAAGTTTGTATTTGTATTTTTTGTATTGTAATTTGTTGTTCGGGCTTGGCCCCATGTAAGCCACTCCGAGTCCCCATTGGGGTAGATGGTGGAAGGGATAAATAAAGATTATTATTATTATTATTATTATTATTATTATTATTATTATTATTATTATTATTATTATTATTATTGGGTTGTTGTAGGTTTTCCGGGCTATATGGCCATGTTCTAGAGGCATTATGGCCATATAGCCCGGAAAACCTACAACAACCCAGTGATTCCAGCCATGAAAGCCTTCAACAATACATTATTATTATTATTATTAGCTGTTAGAATTACCATGATAATTATGCTAAGCACATAGAATAATAATTCAGCTGGATGCATGATGGGCTTTACAATCTTAACTCATTGTTTTGGGATTTGTTTCCTCTTTCCCAAGCTAAGAATGTTGCTGCTGAGATTGCTGTTCAGCTGTGTGAATCTGTTGCAAAGAAGTTGGAAGGCAAAGTGATGGGCACCTTTACTAGTAAGTCTCTTTTCATTTTGAATACCTGAACCTCTGTCAGGAGTAGCCACTTCCAGGGTGGCAGTGTTACTTCCCTTGGAGATAAGTGCCGACCTCTCATGAATCCCACACTGTACTGAACCCTTGCATAGAAATGCAGAACATGGATGAGGCTGAACTTGGCCCAAAAGCCACACTTTGAATACTGTTATAAACACGGTACAGAGGCATTTTTATAGGATTTAATATGTTAGAAATTATGTGGATTATGTTATGTCTTGTTTGTTTATGTTGGTTTATAATTTAGTGAGTTGTTCTTGATTTGTTTATTGACTTGTTTATATATTACTGTCAGCATGGAATGTTTGCCATTGTGTAGTTTGTTGTAAGCTGCCCTGAGTCCCTTCAAGGAGATAGGGCGGGGTATAAATAAAGTTTCATTCCTTCATTTCATAGGGAGTCTATTTTCTAATTTGGTGTTCTCACGATGTAATGCTGTTCTTAATGCCTGATCTGAGGTATAAATAAATAAATACAGATCTGGAGTATTTACCGTATATACTCAAATATAAGCCGGGGCACCTAATTTTACCACAAAAAATTGGGAAAATGTATTGACTCGAGTATAAGCCGAGGGTGGGAAATGCAGCAGCTACTAGTAAATTTCAAAATAAAAATAGATGCCAATAAAATTATATTAATTTAGGCATTAGTAGGTTAAATGTTTTTGAATATTTACTTAAAACTGTAATTCAAGATAAGACTGTCCAGTTCTGATTAAACCATTATTCTAACCTTCTTCAATGTAAATGTGCTTACATGTCCTCCAATAATAATATATAGAGTATAATAATAATAATAATAATAATAATGAGTAAAATAATAAATGTAACAATAACAAAAATAAATAGAGTAAAATAATAAATGTAATAATGACAACAATAATGAAATAATAAATGTAATAATAATAACAACAACAACAACAACAACAAAGTAAAATAATAAATAATACTGACTCAAGTATAAGCCGGGAAAGACTTTTTCAGCCTAAAAAAAGACTGAAAAACTAGGCTTATACTCGAGTATATACAGTATTTATTTAGTATATTATATTATTTATTTATTTAGTATATTTGTATACCGCCCCTCTCAGCCTTCTGGCGACTTGAGGCAGTTTGCAAGGCAAAATTCAATGCCATCAAGAACACAATTACAATATAAAACGTCAACATCAATAAAATCATAACACTAGAATAAAGCATAATTCAATAAATACTCATTAAAACAATGTCCAGTTCTGTCATGTAGTTGTTCCGTTCTTATATCCGTTACTCAGTATTCGCAAATGCCTGCTCAAATAGCCATGTCTTAAGATTCTTCCGAAATGCTAGGAGCGAAGAAGCCGATCTGATGTCCCTAAGAAGGGCGTTCCATAGCCGAGGGGCCACCACTGAGAAGGCCCTGTCTCTCGTCCCTGCCAGCCGTGCTTGTGATGACGGCGCGACAGAGAGCAGGGCCTCTCCAGATGATCTTAAGGTCCTCAAAGGTTCATAAGGAGTACAAAGAAATCCCCTCTATTGGCTGGGATTTATAGAAGTTGTAGGCCAAAACACCTGGGGATACACAGGTTGAGGACTACTGGTTTAAGCATTTCGTTTTCTACAGAAATGCTCCTGAGGTTCCCTTGATGGCTACTCTTCCCATTACATTATTGCTCATTGGAGCCCCCGGTGGCGCAGTGGGTTAAACCTCTGTGCCGGCAGGACTGAAGACCGACAGGTCGCAGGTTTGAATCCGGGGAGAGGCGGATGAGCTCCCTCTATCCGCTCCAGCTCCTCATGTGGGGACATGAGAGAAGCCTCCCATAAGGATGATAACATCAAATCATCCAGGCGTCCTCTGGGCAACATCCTTGCAGACGGCCAATTCTCTCACACCAGAAGCGACTTGCAGTTTCTCAAGTCGCTCCTGACACGACCAAAAAAAAAGAAAACTGACACAAAAACACAGTATGTCACAGCAAATGAGATATATATGCTGGATTTCGTATCACAAAATTACAAGATGAACACTTCCCAAGCATCTAGGACTATGTGATGTATTTTCGAATGATGTGCCCTTTGCAGTTGACAGATCACGATTATTATTATTATTAAAGATGATGCTATTCCAGAATTGAGATGGCTTATAGTGGAAACCTGAAAACCTATCCTGATGTCCTGCTTGTAATAATTGTGTAGATAGAATCCCTGAGTCTCCCAAAGCAATAATTAGGACCAAAGACTGGAGGAAGATATTAGGAAGATCAGATATTAGGAATATCAGGAACTATCCTGTTCTACAGAGGTTTCAACTTCCTGTACTTAAACAAATCTGCCTCTCTACAAGGAACTTGTTCATGTTGGAATGACAGGAAGAGATTTGGCTTCTTTGGTCACAGTTTGTTTCCAATTTACCAGCGGTGACCTCAACGGTCAAGCAGGCCCTCCAGGAGTCTCTGGTGCAGATCCTACAGCCCCAGCGTCGCGTGGATGTCCTGCGTGATGTGATGGATGCTCAGCGCCACCGCCGGCCCTATGTCATCACGTTTTGCGGTGTCAATGGAGTGGGGAAGTCAACCAACCTAGCCAAGGTATTTATTTACAGGGCCTACAAGCGGGTGGTATGGATAGTGTGACTCTAATGGGACTCAAACAATCCATGATATAGTTATGAGAGACAAAGAAGAAGCCAATGGGTCATTCCGTGGAGATATTGAGTGGAAGACACAACCTTGGATTAATAGATTTCTTTCCCTGTTGGTATGTGTTTTTTTCCCTCCTATCAATTGAAAATGAACACGAGTATCTCCAGGGTTTCCTGAGTCCTTCTGTACTACATATTTTGGCAGCTAGTGGCCCACTTTCCGCTTAGGAAAGAAAAGTAGTCAACCCATAGATTCCCACTAGAATCTTCACTTTTACAGTATTCCAGTAATCACATAGGTGGCACCTGTTTGTGTACCCATAAGATCTTTTCCTTGTCTCGGCTTTTGTTTTCACTTATTTATTTATTTATTTATTTATTTACACACACCATTTCTACCCCGCCCTTCTCACCCTCGAAGGGGGACTCAGAGCGGCTAATATTTATTTATTTATTTATTTATTTATTTGATATACTTGTATACCGCTAATATCTCAGCCTAAATCGGCGACTCATTGCGGTTTACAGCAATTAAAACAATCTCCAATTTAAAAACATATACACATACAATAACAAATTATTGGGCCACCAATAATAATCCCATATATCTCGAGTTGTAATCACAATCCAGAATTCGTTGTCCATGTATTCTGTCCTTAGTCATCAGGATTCGAGTTGCCACAGATTAGCCGAATGCTTGTTTGAACAGCCATGTTTTGAGTCTCTTCCTAAACACCATCAGTGATACAGGCAACAATTCAGTGCCAACAATATCAGTAACAACAATATAAAATCCTAGTACATAGCAAATTAAAACAGTAATATTAATTAAAAATTACATAATCACATAGAACAAATCACATAATCACAAGTCACATAGCCATTTCCAATTATCATAACAAACCTATTGTCCGGGTTCAATGTCTAAAGTGCTGTTGTGCCCACTAGCCAAAGGCCTGGCTCCAAAACCATGTCTTTAGTTTTTTCCTAAAAGAAAGGAGGGAGGACGCGATCTAATCTCGCTGGGGAGTGAATTCCATAAGCGGGGGGTCACCACTGAGAAGGCCCTGTCCATTGTTTCAACCAGACGCGTTTGTGGCGCTGGTGGGATCGAGAGCAGGGCCTCCCCAGTAGATCTTAAATTACGAGTTGGAACATAGAGGGAGATCCATTCGGATAAGTAAGCTGGTAATAATAGTAATAGTAATAATAATAATAATAATAATAATAATAATAATAATACTTTATTTGTACCCCGCTACCATCTCCCCAAGGGACTCGGTGCAGCTTACATGAGGCCGAGCCCACAATACAACAATAAACAATAACAACAATAATACAAAGTAATAAATAACTCATAAGCAAAAATAAGCAATAAACATTAACAGTAACACGACGCGTTTAAAAACCTATGGCTGGGCCAAATGTAATAATTAAAAATTTAAAAAATAATGCTGGGCATGACAAGGTGACATGGAACTGAGATAGAAGTTTTTGAAGAGGGATGAGTGTGCAGACAATCTTAAATCACTAATAAAGAGTGTTTAGGGACATATTGCTGGGAGTTTCCTTATTCTGGGAAGGCACACTGAAACAACCACGTTTTTAGGCTCCTCCTAGGGTTTTATAGGCCAAGACCAGCACTTTGAATTGAGCTCGGAGGTGTGGAAATGTTTCATGAAAACATTTCCAGACTGAAACATTTTGGGCTATTTTCAATAATAGAATCATGTTTCTTTTTCCACATCCAGAATCTCTTTTCCACACTACATTATTATAAGCAGATCTTGCAGGTAATTACAACTTGAACATCAACCCAGAATCTACTGGATGTTATCACTCCTATTGGCATCTGTTTTAAATAATTATCTTCTACATCTTGACAAACTAAATCCCTCAGCTTTGGCAATGCTTGCAGTGGCTAAAAGAAAATGGGACCCAATGTGCAGAGGGCCATAGGTCCATTGAATTTCGTTTTGGAAACATTCTTCCACTTCTTCCTCAGATTTCATTTTGGCTCATTGAAAACGGGTTTAGTGTCCTGATTGCTGCCTGTGATACGTTTCGTGCTGGAGCCGTGGAGCAGCTGCGGACTCACACCCGCCGCCTGAATGCTTTGCATCCTCCGGAGAATCACAGCGGTCGCGTCATGGTCCAGCTCTACGAGAAGGGATATGGGAAGGATGCTGCGGGCATTGCCATGGAGGCAATCCAGTATGGTAAGGCCTGTCTCCTGGTGTTGGATATGCTCCTTTTCCAGGCGGTCAAAAGTTAAAGAAACAGAACAGACTTGAGAGACAGGACTCCCTTTCCAAACCCCCATGTGCTTCTATTGTGGTTTGTAATTATGCCTAACTAATTACAACAGGGAACTGAGAAAGACTACCAGTAGGTTGTGAGGTCTGCTTAGGTCTTGTGCATAATTTGTGGTTAGCAGAACTAATAAATTACAGTCCTATTTCAGCTGCCAAATTTCAATCAATGTTGCTTTTTGTGAAATTACATTTTTTTGGTTAAATTATATTATTTTGTGAAATTTCCTCGGTTGTGGATCTCCCTCCCTAGTGGGATTAGATCAGTCCTTTCCCTTTTGTCATTTGAAAACAAGTGAAAGCATTTGGTCCAGCATAACTATCTGTGCAATACAGTTGGAATTGGCTTTGGGTTGATGAATATGATCCTCTGATTATCTGGTTTTATATATATGCACAATAGTTGTCTAATGTTTACATATGTCCCCTTCAGGGTGAGGACAGGATATAAATGTCATAAATAAATAAACAAATAATGCATTACTGAGTACTGCTGTTATGCAAAGTATAAGAAGCCGAGTGCAATTATGATCTTGATGCTTCAGACAGTATGCATCAAGGTGAATATTGTATGTGGAAACTCAAAATATCCTGGGTTTAGATTCTGTTGGAAAAAATCGTGGCAACCATCTATGTTTGCAAGAAATGCTTTTGGGGCATTGGAGAAAGCCAGCTGTAAATGTCAATATGTTCCCATTCTTGGCAGAAGTCTTATTGCCCCTGGTTCTATTTCTACTTTTGTTGTGACTCAGCTGGAATCAGAGAGTGTTTCTGATGAGGATGATGGGACTCAGGTTCACAGTTTGGTTCAAAATGTCCCTGTTATAGACAGCGAAGAAATGCAGTTTCGCACAGTAAGGCATGAGAGTGTTGATACTGAAAATAGCCATGTGCAGTTTGACTCAGAAAAGGAGGACAGCTCTCAGCCTGGTTCTTAGCCTGATAATGAGCAAACCGGAAAATAGGCTAGCACTAACGAACAGACTGACCGTGACGATATGGGAACTTTAGATCAGGCTGACCAGTTGTAATTCCGAATTCAAAGGAGTGAAAGAATAGCTAATGAGAAGGAGGCCAGGGGCCAGAGAAACGCCTTCATGTTTTGCAAAGGGTATTAAACAGTGTGTTTGAGACCAGATCTTTGTCAAAGCAAATTTGCGTTTACCTATGGAGTTTGCCTAAACTAGGCTGGATTATCTTGCAGTTTTGTTGTTCATGGTTCCAGGACTTTGTCATGTTCTCTTGGGTTTTGCTTTGCTGATGCCTTTTTGGATTAAGCTTCAAGTGCTATATTATATTGATCTTTTGGAACATGATCCTTTGCTTTTAAGAACTTTTTACCTTTTGTTTTTAATAAACTATAAAGACTACTGGCTATGTGCAGTTTGGTGTTCTTCAGCAAGGTGAATCTGCTCTGAGGTGCAACAACTTTATCCATCTGTTTCTTAGCACGAAACCAAGGTTTTGATGTGGTCTTGGTGGACACAGCTGGCCGAATGCAGGACAATGCCCCTTTGATGACAGCTCTGGCCAAACTCATTGCAGTCAACACCCCTGACCTTGTCCTGTTTGTGGGAGAAGCCTTGGTGGGAAACGAGGCTGTGGATCAGCTGGTGAGTTCCTCAGCCTTTCCCATTTTTGAGATTGAAACATGAGGTGGCAAACCGTCCCGTTCCATGTGGACTGATTCACAACATTCTCATATAAATATAAAAATTGATTACTCAGTGTGGAAGTAGAATCATCTTCCCATAGGATTATAAAGGGTACACCAGGTGGGAGTCATGGTTTATGACATCAGGAACAACTTGCTCAGAAGCCTTTACAAGGGCAGTTCTGGAAGGGTTGTTTAGTTCGAAAAATAGCAATGTTGTGCATTGGTAGATTGGTAGATTTCTTAAAAAGCTAAAGGTTTCCCCTTGACATTAAGTCTAGTTATGTTCAACTCTGGGGGTGGTGCTCATCTCCATTGCTAATCTGAAGAGCCAGCGTTGTCCATAGACACCTCCAAGATCATGTGGCTGGCATGACTGCATGAAGTGCCATTACCTTCTCACCGAAGCAGTACCTATGATTCTACTCACATTTGCATGTTTTCAAATTGCTAGGTGGACAGAAGCTGGGGCTAACAGCAGAAACACACCCCACTCCCTGAATTCGAACCATTGACCTTTCGGTCAACAAGTTCAGCAGCACAGTGGTTTAACCCACTGCGCCACCTTTTATTGAAAAGAACACATAGTCTATCAAAGTCCTGACATGGAGGACTCTTTTATCCAAACCATGATGTAAATGAGCAGAAGTAACACATTTTGGTTGTCAGAACTCCTTGTTCATGAACACAACATTTTGTTCTTTTTTTAAGGTTGGGGGAGGGGTCATTTTTCTGGGAATGCAAATCCAATAATAATTTTAAATTTATGTATTAATGTAATTAGTTGTGTTACAGTGGAAGGGGCTACCTTGGAAGATGAGGGGATTGGGTGTTTGGTTGCTTTAGCTGTGGATTTTTGCATTAGTAGGGCACTGCTTTAGATCAGGCCTCTTCAACCTGTTGTCCTCCAGATGTTTGGGCCTCCAACTCTCAGAAACTCTTGCCAGCTTGTTCAGTGGTCAGGAATTCTGGGAAATGACATCTAAAACATTTGGAGAGCCACAGGTTGAAGAGGCCTGTTTTAGAATGTTTGGGATTCCTTTGTAAAATATTTCACAGCACAGTGTTGGTTAATAGTTCACCAAGAGTATTCTTATCTCCTTCAACCTCAGGTCAAATTCAACAAGGCCCTTGCTGATCACTCCGTGGCTCAGACTCCGCGCCTCATTGATGGAATAGTACTCACTAAATTTGACACCATTGATGACAAGGTAAGTGCTTTCTTTGAGAGGATATGAAAAGCAATGTATACATAAATTTGTGTGACAAACATCTTTCATAGTAATCTAATTAGCCATAAAGTACATCAGCATTTTTTTTAAAAGGACCGATGAATGCCTAGCGAACTAAGCCGTGCATTTGTTCCTGACGAGTGCTCTTCTTTCCATTTTAGGTTGGTGCTGCCATCTCCATGACGTACATCACTAGCAAGCCCATTGTGTTTGTGGGTACCGGACAAACCTACTGTGACCTGCGTAGCCTTAATGCCAAGGCTGTGGTTGCTGCTCTCATGAAAGCTTAAACCACCAGTTATTGCACCAAATTCCTGTCTGCAGATCTCTCAGAATGTGCTTTTCCAATGTGACTGTCTTAGCACTTTTCTTTTCTTTCTCATAGTGCGACACAGAATGAAGGGATGCCGGAAGGGGCTGTTTTCCCTGTCTTTTCATCTTTGTCTTGGTTTCATCAATACACATAACTTCCTCTTATGTAATGTGCAGGTTTAATTCTGTTCCACTTCTTTGAAATTAGCCTCATGCTCTAAAAGGTTTTAAGGAAGGAAAAGTCCTTTCCTAGCTTTGGAATTTGCTGTCCTCGCTGTCCTCCAGTCGGTCGACCCTCTTTCCTGTCTTCCTTCATTCTGCCTCTTTGGCACACTGTTCAAGCCCTGAGCTTCGTATTGCTCATCCCAGGTTAATGGGTGTCATCGGACTTTGAGAAGAGGGGGGCTGCTCTACCTCTGCTTTATTTAAAACTCAGTGAGCTCGCGGAGCCATTTTCGATTATGTTTTAGTGGCAAAGCATGGTTAGGTGTTACCATGATAAACAGGCTGTTTTCTAATAGGATAGAGAGAGATGCTTTTAGCAAGTCAAGCTTTGGCCTTGCAGCTTGCTTTGATCCGAAGCTTTCCAACTCTTCCCTGAGACCTGCTGCTTCCAGAGGGGCAGGCTGCGGATGCCTTAAAAATGCCCTCCTATCTGTGTTCTCACAGCAGGGCTAGCCAGGCGCTGCCCCAGGCTACTCTTGGTTATGCAAAGTTTGCAGGGCGCTGTGAGGCCTTTGGACAGACTTGCAAACCAAGGGCACCCCTGATTTCGAATTACAGTTCATCAGAGAGAAAGCTGCTTTTGTTGCATTTTTGAGGTGCTATATACAGACCACTGCTCAAATCATTGCACAAATATCAGATCCTGTTTGTGTTGAACTTCTCTGTTGGTGGTGAGCACACGCTGTAATTTTGCACAACCATACACCCAAGCTTCATCGGCAGTGCTGAAGCATGGGATACACAATGCTGCAAACAACCTCCTTTGCCCTTCTCCCTTCTCATGCAAACAAGGAAAAAACTTAGTTTGGATAAAGAAAGAGCTAGTTGTGTGGATTTTGATTCTTATCTATAAGCATATTAAATCAAAGAGTGGGCAACGCTTCAATGACCCCCTTCCCTTGTTTACAGAGGATACGTTTCAGTCTCTCACTGCCTCACCTCTTAGGCTTTCCTGCCCAATCACCAGAAGTCAGAGGAAGCCTAGCCCACAGAAGTCTTGACTTGCGTAAATGCGCTGGCTTTCTCCTCACAAAACCAGCATGTGAAAGGGATTTTCTGGTGGGAGTAATAATGCTGTGGCCGCTTGCTGCTTTTCTGCTGTCCACTTCCCCCTCCCTTCAGAGTGCCTCTTGATCCTGGTATAAAGTGCTATGTTGAATAATACAAAACTCTTACGAGGATGTCTTGTAGCTCGGTATTGCAGATGTGCTGTAGTGCAATAAGTTGAATGCTGTCTGCTAAAAAGTAATTTATATAATAAAATTTATTTAAGAAAAAAACCCACCAAGTTCCTCTTTCCAATAGTAAGAAACCAGAGGACTAGAAAGAAACAGGCTACTGAATTCTTTTCATTTCTTCCACAATATCATTGATGACAGATAATATTTCCAAGTATGCAATTTGCCTGTTAACTTTTGCTTCAGTGTACAGTTACAGAGGAGTTGTATGTACTGAAATATAATATATCCCAGACTTCACAAAAATCTTCAAAAATGGAGCAGATGATCTAAGGCAGTGTTTTTCAACCTGGGGGTCGGGACCCCTGGAGGGGTCACGAGGGGCGTCAGAGGGGTCTCCAAAGACCATCAGAAAACACAGTATTTTCTGATGGTCATGGGGGTTCTGTGTGGGAGGTTTGGCCTAATTCTATCATTGGTCGGGTTCAGAATGCTCTTTGATTGCAGGTGAACTATAGATCCCAGAAACTACAACTCCCAAATGTCAGGGTCTGTTTTCCTCAAACTTCACCAGTGTTCACATTTGGGCATATTGAGTATCCGTGCCAAGTTTGGTCCAAATCCATCATTGTTTGAGTCCACAGTACTCTCTGGATGTAGGTGAACTACAACTCCCAAACTCAAGGTCAATGCCCACCAAACCCTTCCAGTATTTTCTGTTGGTCATGGGAGTTCTGTGTACCAAGTTTGGTTCAATTCCATCGTTGGTGGAGTTCAGAATGCTTAGGTTGATTCCCGCATAACTGTCACCTGCCCATTTCTGCTATAAATATACAAAACATAAGATTAAATGTACTCAGGCCTACCATGGGGAGGGGTCCCTGCAATTTGGCCAAGTGTCAACCCATTATATACCATTCCAGTATATACCATATACTACCTTTTGAGTGGGGGAGGTCATTCCACCCAGTAAAAGGCAACCAAGGATGCCACAGTGGGCCACTTTGCCAAGCAACAAAAAGGGAGATCCGGTGGGTTACAAATACAGTTTTTATTATTCACTAGCTGTGGCCCTCAGAAAACAGAGAATTTGCAGACATGAAGAAATCTGGGCTAGGGAACTCCTCCCACCAAAAGTTTCCTGCTGGCTAGTAGAAGTCAGGCTGTTAAGGTGCAAGTTGGTATGGAAAATAAAGTAATGAGGAGCAGCCACTGAAGCTGCAAGGCTTTTCATTTATATTCATGCTGGCCAAAACTCTCAAAAAAGCCTCTTTGAAACTGCCTTCTTTCTCCTCCTTCCTCTGGGATAGTTTGTAAGGGTTTTGTAATGTCTTATTTGAGGGGGTGAAAGGGGTATGTGGAGCCCAAAGTGGGAGAGTTGCTGGCCTTCTAATGGTTCACCAAATGGCCGGGGGGGGGGGGGGGAAGAGTTGCCGGGTAGCCACGTGGGCCTCATGATGCCACTGCGGTGGCTCCAACTGTTGCGGGGGCTTGAGCCAGGCCTCCTTCCTTCCCTCTTTCCTTTCCTCAATCCCTCCCCTCCCCAAAAGAAAAGGGACTCTGCTTTCCTGCATGAAAAGGGACTCCATGGCAAGGCTTCTTTTCCCTCACAACGGTTGGTGCTTCATTCTTCTTGTGCAATGGGGAGAGGGTTAGGGTTAGGGTTTGCACTTGCTCTGTAAGGCATTTTTCTTTTTGGAGAGTTTTAAGTTATTTCCCCTTCATTTTGTACGATTTTTTTTGTTTGAAAGACATAGATCGGATTGCTGCCAAATTTGGTGTCAATTCGTCCAGTGGTTTTTGAGCTCTATTAATCTTACAAATAAACATTACATTTTTATTTATATAGACTAGCTGTGCCCTGCCAACGCGTTGCTGTGGCCCACATGGGGGTTCTGTGTGGGAGGTTTGGCCCAATTGTATCATTGGTGGGGTTCAGAATGCTCTGTGATTGTGAACTATAAATCCCAGCAACTACAACTCCCAAATGCCAAGATTCCATTTTCCCCTAACTCCACCAGTGTTCACATTTGGGCATATGGAGTATTCGTGTAGAGTTTGGTCCAGATCCATCATTGTTTGATCCACAGCGATCTCTGGATGTAGGTGAACTACAACTCCAAAACTCAAGGTCAATGCCCACTAAACCCTTCCAGTATTTTCTGTTTGTCATTGGAGTTGTGTGTGCCAAGATTGGTTCAATTCCTTCATTGGTGGAGTTCGGAATGGTCATTGATTGTAGGTGAACTATAAATACCAAAAACTACAACTCCCAAAATCAAAATTTTTTGAGTGAAGGCCATAGATTGGGTTGTTAGGTATCTTGTGTCCAAATTTGGTGTCAATTTGTCCAGTGGTTTTTGAGTTATGTTAATCCCACAAACGAACATTACATTTTTATTTATATACACTTATTATTATATAGAAAACATAAATACTTCGAAAGATATGTGTGTGTGTACATATACATACGTGTGTTTGTACATAGAGATGCCATGAAGGCACGCGTGCGTAGATGCCCGTGTACTGCACGTGCTCAGCCCCCCCCCCCCCGCACCCATCTCGACACGCGTGCATTTTTTTTGTCGTGTTAGGAAGGACTTGAGAAACAAGTCACTTCTGGTGTGAGAGAATTGGCCGTCTGCAAGGATGTTACCCAGGGGACGCCTGGATGATTTGATGTTTTTATCATCCTTGTGGGAGGCTTCTCTCATGTCCCCGCATGCATTGAAGAGCATGGGATCCTCAAGTGGGAAGAGCCCTCATGGGCCATCATCCAGTCCAAGCCCTTTCTGACAAGAACCAGGAACATCACCTTCAAAGCACCATCATCCTCGTATTTTTTTAAATTTATTTACAGCTTTTATATTCCGCCCTTCTCACCCCGCAGGGGACTCAGGGCGGATTACAGTGTACACATATATGGCAAACATTCAATGCCAATTTTTGACATACAAACATATACAGACATACACAGAGGCTATTTAACTTTTTCTGGCTGCCAGAGGAGCTGTTGCTTTGATCGTCCATGTGCGATGCTGATGAAGCACTTCCGCATTCCCCGCATGCTTCCCCGCTGGAATGCTTTTGCTGGAGTCTTCTTTATGGCCTCATAAAGCAGTTAATTTAGCCCCCCCACACTTTAAGGTGGTACCTAATTTTCCTACTTGACCGATGCAACTGTCTGTCGGGTTGCATGCCCACCTCTGGCTGCACGGGTAGGTTTCCTTTCCACACACAGCCTGTCCTGCACACGTGTATCCTGCCTTCCGACACAAACACCTGGCATGTGGGGAAGAAGGCGGGAGGGGGTGGGGAAGGCGCCTGAGGAAAGTCCGCCATCTTTGCGGGGCTTGGGGCGGGGCTTAGGACCTCTACAGCCCGGGGTCTCGAGAGGGGGCGGGGCCTAGAAAGGACGGAGGGCGGGGCTTGGTCCTTTGCGGTTTGGTATCAGAGCGGGAGGGCGGGGCTTGGCGACCTGTTCTCTTGAGAGGGCGGGGCGTGGGGGCTGGGGGCGTGGTTGGGGCGGGGCTTAGGCCTTCGCGGGACTAGACTTGCGGTCTAGAGGGGAAGGGTGGAGCTTGGGCTTTGGGGCGGGGCTTAGGCCTTGAAAGGGAGGGCGTCGCGTGGGGCGGGGCCTAGGGCTCACATCCCGTTCTCTTAAGAGGGGCGGGGCTTGCGTCCTGGGGCGGGGCTTAGAGCTTGTGGTCCGGCCCAGTTTTTGTAAAGAGAAAGGCCTCTGCGGCCTTGTCTCTTGAGAGAGAGGGCGGAGCTTTGGGCGGGCTGTAGATCTTTGCGGCCTGGTGCCTTGAGAGGGGGCGGGGCTTGGGGCGGAGCCTAGGCGTTTGTGTGTGCCTAGAGAGGGTGGAGGGCGGGGCTTGGTTCTTTGCGGTTTGGTATCTGACTGGGAGGGCGGGGCTTCGCGACCTGTTCTCTTGAGAGGGAGGGCGGGGTGTAGACGTTTGCGGCTTGGGGGCGGGGCTTGAGGGGCGGGGCTTAGGCTTTAGCGGCCTGGTCTCCTCCTGGGCGGGGCCTAGACTTGCTGCCTAGTGGGGGGGAAGGGTGGGGCTTATGCCTTGAAAGGGAGGGAGTCGCGTGGGGCGGGGCCTAGGGCTCACGTCCCGTTCTCTTGAGAGGGGCGGGGCTTAGAGGTGCGGCCCGGCCCAGTTTTTGTAAAGAGGAAGGGCGGGGCTTAGGCCTTTGCGGCCTTGTCTCTTGAGAAAGAGGGCGGAGCTTGGGCGGGCTGTAGACCGTTGCGGCCTGGTGTCTTGAGAGGGGGCGGGGCCTAGGCGTTTGTGGGAGGGATGGAGGGCGGGGCTTCGCGACCTGTTCTCTTGAGAGGGAGGGCGGGGCGTGGGGGCGGGGCGTAGACGTTTGCGGCTTAGGGGCGCGGCTTAAGCCTTGACGGGACGTAGACTTGCGGTCTAGCGGGGGGAAGGGCGGGGCTTGGGCATTGGGGCGGGGCTTAGGCCTTGAAAGGGACAGCGTCGCCTGGGGCGGGGCCTAGGCCTTCAGTCCCGTTCTCTGGAGAGGGGCGGGGCTTAGAGCTTGCGGCCCGTCCCAGTTTTCGTAAAGAGGAAGGGCGGGGCTTAGACCTCTGCAGCCTTGTCTGTTGAGAGAGAGGGCGGAGCTTCGGCGGCCTGGTGTCTTGAGAGGGGGCGGGGCTTAAGGCGTTTGTGGGCTGATGCCTAGAGAGGGATGGAAGGCGGGGCTTGGTTCTTTGCGGTTTGGTATCTGAGTGGGAGGGCGGGGCTTGGGCTTTGGGGCGGGGCTTAGGCCTTGAAAGGGAGGGCGTCGCGTGGGGCGGGGCTTAGGCTTTCATTCCCGTTCTCTTGAGAGGGGCGGGGCTTAGGCCTTTGCGGCCTTGTCTCTTGCGAGAGAGGGCGGAGCTTGGGCGGGGTGTAGATCGTTGCGGCCTGGTGCCTTGGGAGGGGGCGTGGCTTAAGGTTTGGGGCGGGGCTTGGGCCTTGGCGGCCTGTCCTCCCCCTCCGCCGGGTCCCTCACTCACTCCCTCACTCGCCGCCTGCCTCTCCTCGGAGTGCCGCCATTTCCCCTCGCTCCGTGCCACTCGCAGCCATGGCAGGTGAGGCATCTCGCTTATTTTACCTAGAGAGAGAGACAGAGAGAGCTCCTCATCGCGGTGAGGCCGCGGTAACCCGCACCCTCGTCGTGTCACCACAAGAACCACTGCCAGGAGGAGGAGCAGGATGCTCCATCCTTTCGGTCAGGCATGAGCCAACTGCTGCCCCCCGCCCATGCCTTTTGGCCATCCAACTCCCACAATTCCTAAGTTGGGAATTGTGGGAGTGGAAGTCCAAAACGCCTGGAGGGAAGGCCCAAGTTGGCCCAGGCCTGCTTTCTAGAGAGAGATTAGGTGGAACTATACTGTAGTCTTGTTTTGGGGCCCCTGCTGTATCCCATTTTTATAATATGTCTCTGTGTGTGTATATATGTATAGCAATAATGTGTGTGTATGTATATATATATAATACTAGCCGTCTCCTGCCACGCGTTGCTGTAGCCCACGTGGGGATTTTGTGTGGGAAATTTGGCCCAGTTCCATCGTTGGTGGGATTCAGAATGCTCTGAGTTTGTAGGTGAACTATAAATCCCAGCAACTACAACTCCCCAATGTCAAGATTCTATTTTCCCCAAATTCTACCAGTGTTCACATTTGGGCATACTGAGTATTTGTGCCAAGTTCGGTCCAGATCCATCATTGTTTGAGTCCACAGTGGTCTTTGTATGTAGGTGAACTACAACTCCCAAACTGAAGGTCAATGCCCACCAAACCCTTCCAGTATTTTCTGTTGGTCATGGGAGAACTGTGTGCCAAGTTTGATACAATTCCATCGTTGGTGGGGTTCAGAATGCTCTTTGATTGTAGGTGAACTATATATCCTAGCAACTACAACTCCCAAATGACAAAATCAATTTTTTGAGTGAAGGACATACATTGGGATGTTTTGTTTTTAGTCATGACAGGGGCGACCTGAGAAACTGCAAGTCGCTTCTGGTGTGAGAGAATTGGCCGACTGCAAGGACGTTGCCAAGGGGACGCCTGGATGATTTTTTGATGTTTTTATCATCCTTGTGGGAGGCTTCTCTCATGTCCCCGCATGAGGAGCTGGAGCTGATAGAGGGAGCTCATCCGCCTCTCCCCGGATTCGAACCTGTGACCTGTCAGTCTTCAGTCCTGCCGGCACAGGGGGCTCCTGATTGGGTTGTTGTGTCTTGTGTCCAGATTTGGTGTCAATTTGTCCAGTGCTTTTTGAGTTCTGTTAATCTCACAAACGAACATTACATTTTTATTTATATAGATGTGTATATATTTAGTAATATGTGTTTAAATACATCTATATATATATATAGCAATAATATGAGTGTGTATATATGTGTGTATGTATATATACATATATATGGCAGTGATATATGTGTGTATATAGTAATATGTGTATGTGTATATGTAGTCATGTGTGTGTATATATGTGTGTGTGTTTAAATATTATATGTATATCCTATGTATATATAGAGAGAGAATTAATATCTATATACGGCCCCTGGTGGCACAGCGGGTTAAAGCACCGAGCTGCTGAACTTGGTGACCAAAAGGTCGCAGGTTCGAATCCAGGGAGCGGAGTGAGTTCCCACTTAGCCCCAGCTGCTGCCAACCTAGCAGTTCAAAAACATGCAAATGTGAGTAATCAATAGGTACTGCTTCTGTGGGAAGGTAACAGTGCGCCATGTAGTCATGCTGGCCACATGACTTTGGAGGTGTCTACGGACAACGCCAGCTCTTCAGCTTAGAAATGGAGATGATTACCAGAGTCCCATAGCCAAGGGAAACCTTTATCTATTTTATATATAGATATAAATGTATATATTTGCATACAAAGAAACGTGTGTGTATATAGTAGTAATGCGTTTATATATATAATATGTGTGTGTCCCCTAAGATTCGTACACAGCAAACAAGATCACTCTGCTGGCTGTTGTATTGGATCACACATCGGACTCTTCCCCAAGTACCTAGGACTGTGTGATGTATTGTGAATAATGTGTGCAGATCCGAGTAGGGTGGCCTTTTGCAGCTGACAGATGGCAATTTTGTCAGCGCTGGTTGTGTTTAAGTGCAGGCCATGGTCTTTAAGCACTGCACCCAGTGTGCCGATCACCACTGAAACCCCTTTGATTGTTTTTTGTGCCAGAGTCTTTGCAGTTCGAGCTCTAAATCCTCGTATTGTGTCAGCTTTTCCGTTATTATTATTAATAATTATTATTACCTTATATCTCCCAAAAGATACTCAAAGTGGCTATGTATTCATTATTATTAATATAATATTTATTAATACTCGGCCTTTTCTCTTCCAAAGGAGACTCAACCAATTATGTATCCATTATTATTAATATTATTAATATACCAGCCGTCCCCTGCTATGCGTTGCTGTGGCCCAGTCTGTGTATATGTATTTTGTGTGTATATATATATTTGTGTATATGTGTGGTTGCATATATGTGTGTGTGTGTTTTGCACATGCGTTGTAATGTAATTTTTGTTTTTTGGCTTTTTAAGTCTCTTCTGCTGTGTTTTTCAGTGTTTTTATGAGTGATGGTCACTCGTTGGCCTGATAGGTGTCTTGTGTCCAAATTTGGTGCCAACTCGTCCAGTGGTTTTTGAGTTATGTTAATCCCACATACGAACATTGCATTTTTATTTATATAGATTTCTTTCTACCCTGCTTAATCTCCCCCGAAGGGACCTTAACGCAGCTTAACATGACAGTATTAGCACACAATATAATATATGCAAATATACACACTTTAAAACAGAATTAAGTGTAAACAGTATTAAAAATCCACAGTTAAAAACCATTCAAGCATATTCAACGCATAATCAGAGTTAAAACCACAGAGTTAACTATGACTCATTTGTAACTATGAGTCCTTTGTAACTCGGGGACAGCTTGTAATCCATTTCCCTCCTTTCCTTCTTTTCTTGCTCTTCCTTTTATGCTCTAACTCGCCACGAGGAAGGGTAGGTAAGAAATAAAATTATTATTATATGACTAGCCATCCCCTGCCACGCGTTGCTGTGGCCCAGTCTGGTGATCTGGAAAATTAAGTAATGGTTTCTAATATATGTAATTTCTTTATGGTTGTGGGTAAACAGTATTTCTTGCTGTTTCTTTGTCAGTTTTGATGTGGAGATGGTCTGGTTTGCCCACTCTGGAATATGCAACATATCATTGTCCTTCTTTAGGGGTCCCTTTCAAACCTATGATATTATTTTTCTCTGTGTGCGAATCATATCTATCTCTCTGTGTGTGAACCATATCTATCTTATCTATATCTATGGCTGGATGACTCTTTGTCAGGAGGGATTTGATAACGTTTTCTTGCCCTGGTGAAGGGAGTTGGACTGGATGGCCTTAAGTATTTTCTGTTGGTCGTGGGGGTTCTGTGTGGGAAGTTGGCCCCAATTCTGTCATTGATGGGGTTCAGAAAGCTCTTTGATTGTAGGTGAACTATAAATCCCAGTAACTACAACTCCCAAATGTTAAGGTCTATTTCCCCCAAACTCTATCTGTGTTCATATTTGGGCATATGGAATATTCGTGCCAAGTTTGGTCCAGACCCATCATTGTTTGAGTCCACTGAGCTCTCAGGATGTAGGTGAAGTACAACTCCCAAGCTGAAGGTCAATGGCCACCAAACCCTTCTAGTGTTTTCTGTTGGTCATGGGAGTCCTTGGTGGAATTCAGAATACTCTTTGATTGTAGATGAACTATACATCCCAGTAACTACAACTCCCAAATGACAAAATCATTTTTTTGAGTGATGGTCATTCCTTGGGTTAATAGATGTCTTGTGTCCAAATTTGGTGTCAGTTCCCCCAGTGGTTTTTGAGTTCTGTTAATCCCACAAATGAACATTACATTTTTATTTATATAGATGATTATTATTATGTCAGTTCCTTTCTCACTCCTTTTCATTTTCCCCAGACGAAGCCTGCATCCTTTGCTCTCCACTCTTCCAGAATCAGGTCTCTTGTTTTCTGTCATTCCTTTGCTTTTTATCCTTTCTTAAGAAGGTGAATTAATCATTTGAGGGGCCATTTTCTAGCTGGTTTATTTTATTTTAATAGAGGGGAGCGCCAAAAACCATTAGGTGAAAGAAATCGTGTGGCAGCTGCTTGTACAGCTGTCACACCCCTCTCTCTGGAAAGCATCTTCTTCCCGGTGTGTCTCGGGGTCAGCGCTTTCCGCGCACGGAAGCATCCCCTCCTTTCCTTCCTTCCTTCCCTCCTTCCTTCCTTCCTTTTGCCTTTTCTTCCCACCAGATCGATATATTCCACCATCCCTCCTCTGCTCCCTTTGCCACAACCGATCTGGGCAAACCTCAATGCCCACGTAAGTATAAATATAGAAACTCTCCCCCCTCTGTCATTTCCCGAGATGAACAGATCCTTCTCTCTCTGCTTACTCTGCTCCCGGCAATGCATGAATCTGGGTTTCCACTTTTAGCAGCCTGGTTTCCTCCACCTACAGGCACATCGGGTCTCTTCTGTTTATTATTATATTCATTATTATTATCATTAACGTTAACTCGGTGTCCTTGGGCTTTAATTAGCCACAGCTGGTATGTCATTGGGGGAGGGGGGGGAAATAATTTAAAAATCAATGTATGCATTCATTTCCATCTTTGCGAATTCTCTGAGAGAGAGAGAGAGTGTGTGTGTGTATGTATGTATGTTGTGTATATATGTGAGTGTGTATAGGTATACATAGATAGATGCATAATGTTACCATATATGTGTGTATGCATGCATAGATAGATTAATAATGTTACCGTATGTGTGTGTGTGTATATATGCATACACATATGTATAGATAGATAGATGAATGCATAATGTTACCGTATATTTGCGTGCGTGTATATGTATAGATAGATGCATGTTACTATGTATATAGTGTGTGTGTACACACACACACACACATATATGTATGTATGTATTTATAGATAGACTAGCTGTCCCCAGCCATGCGTTGCTGTGGCCCAGTCTGTTGGTCTGGAAAATAAAGT